TCTTTTTCTTTCTGAAACTAAAAATTATGTTTCTGTTATGCAAGAGTTTAAGACTTTTTTTAATTATGATAATCTTTACACCTTGGATCTTGTTGGTAGGAGCGGTGGTTTGGCTTTGTATTATATGAATTGTTTTGCTGTCAACATTCTGTTTTCGAATGACCGAATGATAGATGTTGAAGCCACGGTGGAGGGACATAAGGTCTATATGACCTTCGTATACGGGGAGCCAGTTGCTGAACATCGTGGAGCAGTATGGGATAAACTGATGAGCATTAGCATGACGCGATCTGGAGCGTAGTTCATGTCAGGAGACTTCAACGAGATTTTAGGGAACCATGAAAAGAAAGGAGGTAGAAGACGCTCGGATGGCTCTTTCTTGGGCTTCAAGAATATGCTGAATAGCTGCGGTATGATTGACTTTCCGTATAAAGGAAATGCTATGTCTTGGTTAGGATATAGAAGATCCGGAAGGGTTCAATGTAGACTGGACCGAGCTATTGGCAATGAAGAATGGCATGACTTATTTTCCCACACTAATGTGGAGTACCTGAAACTCTGGGGATCGGACCACCGCCCCGTGTTAGCAAGAATTCAATCGAGAGAGCTGAGAATTCAAAAGAATTTCCGATTCGACAAAAGATGGTTAGATAAAGAGGGCTTTTACGAGATGGTGAACGAGAGCTGGTTCTCTCAAGAGGGTACAGACCCTCTAGACATCTTTACGAAGATCAGCAAATGTAGAAGCGCCATTTCACGATAGAAGAGGAATAACCCAACAAACTCGCGGAAGAAAATCGAGGAGATTAAAGCCCAGCTCGAAAGCGCTCAACTGGATGACAGTGTGGATAGTGCAAACGTGTTAAATATCAAATGGATGTTATGCTCGGCTTATCGGGATGAAGAACTGTACTGGAAACAAAAGAGCAGAGCCAACTGGTTCAGAAAAGGGGATCGGAATACTAAATTCTTCCATGCTACAACGAAACAACGACGGGCCAGGAACAGGATTACGAAGCTCAAAACCGGGACTGGAACATGGGTGGAATCAGAAGACGGAATAGAACAAGTAGCAACGAGCTACTTCAGGAATATCTTTACTTCTTCTAACCCTGCAAGCATGCAGGACTATGAAGAGTCCCTCCGGTATATTACCGCGAACGTCACAGAATCGATGAATAGATCTCTTACTAGGATGCCTTTGGCTTGTGAAATCAAACAAGCGGTTTTCGATATCAATCCGGAGAAGGCGCCTGGCCCCGATGGCATGACTGGACTCTTTTATCAGAAATGCTGGAAAACCATGAAGAATGATATAGTTAAAATGGTCAAAGACTTCTTTATGGGAGGACTCCTGGATGAGCGCCTAAACCAGACTAATATATGTTTGATACCGAAGACCAAAAGACCGAATGAGATGTCTGAGTTCAGACATATAAGCCTCTGCAATGTGTGCTATAAAGTCATCTCGAAGATCTTATGTAAAAGACTAAAGAAGTTTCTCCCAGTGATAATATCGGAGACACAGTCGGCATTTGTATCAAAGCGGTTGATCACGGATAATATTCTTATTGCTCAGGAAGTCTTCCATGCTTTGCGTACAAATCCTATATGCAACTCAAAGTATGTAGCCATCAAGACGGATATGAGTAAGGCGTACGACCGAGTAGAATGGAACTTCCTACAAGCGCTAATGACAAAGATGGGATTCAATCCAGTATGGATAGGTTGGATTATGCGTTGCATTTCATCTGTTTCGTATCAGGTGTTAATTAATGGGAATCCCCGAGGTTCCATTATGCCTTCGAGAGGACTGCGACAAGGTGACCCCTTATCTCTATTCTTGTTTATTATCTGTACGGAAGGCCTAATCAGTCAACTAAGAGGGACTGAGGAGGAAGGACGGATCACGGGCATTAAAATCGCTCAAGCGAGCCCAGCAATCTCACACCTCTTATTTGCAGATGACAGCCTATTCTTCTGTAAAGCTAACGTCCTGCAATGTGCAGAGATACTACAGATTATCAATTCTTATGGCCAAGTTTCGGGCCAACAGCTGAACACTGCAAAATCATCGATTGTATTTGGGAGTAAGGTAAAAACAGAATGTAAAGCAGCCCTGAAGACAGCAGTCGGAATCCATCAGGAAGGGGGGGGGGGTGGGAATGTACTTAGGAATACCAGAAAGAATTTGTGGATCAAAGATACAAGTGTTCTCATACATCCAAGAAAGACTGAATAAGAGAGTAAATGCTTGGTCAGGAAGACTCTTATCAAAAGGTGGAAACGAGGTACTTCTAAAATCTGTAGCACAGGCTATCCCCACCTATGTCATGTCCTGCTTTCTCCTTCCAAAAAATGTGGTGTCTAAATTAAGGAATGCCATAGCGCGGTTTTGGTGGAGTTCAAAGGTTAATAATCGTGGTCTCCACTGGCTGGCGTGGGACAAGATTTGTATCCCACAAAGTAGGGGAGGGCTGGGCTTCAAGGATCTAAAGAATTTTAACTTAGCTTTGCTTGCAAAGCAGTTATGGAGACTCCTACGTTACCCATCATCGCTACTGGCTAGAGTTCTAAAAGGCCGTTACTTCAGATACTCTTCCCCACTCGAGATCGAGAAATCAAACAACCCCTCCTATGGATGGAGAAGTATGCTAGCGGCTAAAAAATTACTGAAATCAGGTGTGAGGAGACAAATTAAGTCGGGTTTTAACACAAAAGTTTGGCATGATCCATGGATACCGACTATCCCAGCAAGACCAGTGAAAAGCATCAGCAGCGAACAAGACCCAAACCTTTTTGTCAACCACTTGATTGACTTTGATACAAAGAAGTGGCGAGAAGATAAGATCAGGGAACTAATCACAGCAGAGAATGTCCCTAGAATTTTAAGTCTAAAGCCCTCCAGTAAGTTTGATTTTGATGGATTTTGCTGGATATATACGAATTCAGGAAATTACAAAGTCAAAACAGGGTATGAAAAAGCCTGTGATTTGCAAAAAGAGAAACAGGGGGAGGAAGCTACAGAACCGAGCACAAACAGCTTAAAGGAGAAAACATGGAGCTTACGGACGCCAAGAAAAATCAAACATCTCATATGGCAGGCGCTTACAGGATGCATGGCGACTAATGCTAGATTATCGGACCGACACTGTGGCACAACTCGCAACTGCCCGAGATGCGGTAATGATGATGAAACTATACTCCATCTGTTCTTCCAATGCCCCCACTTGATACAATGCTGGACTCTGTCTTCGATTCCGATTATTCCGGGCGTATTCCCGTGTGATGCGCTGTTCACCAATATCGACTTTCTGCTATCTAGAGCACGAAATCATGGAGTTAATGAAAACAAAATGAAGGTGGTTCCATGGATTATATGGTATTTGTGGAAATCATGCAATGACAAGGTGTTTAAAGCCAAAGTTACATCCCCCGCGGAGATAATGGAGAGTGCTACGCAGGAATCGAATAATTGGATATTAGCAAACAAAACAGCTACAAACGCAGAGAGTACTAACCCCCAGAACCCTGTACCACCAATCACAAGTACCGAAAGTGAGGTACCAATTTGTCAGGTGGACGAGTCATGGATAAAGGAAGATGCTCTATTTGGGGGCGGTTTCATTTTAACTCAACAAAGTGCTGGCCTAGTGTTGGGTTCCCTCGCAGGATCAGGAGCTCGCTCCCCACTGCACGCCGAATTCAAAGCAACAATTTGGGCAATGAGGACCATGCGACAAAGAGGTTTCACTACCATACACCTTCAGTCTGACTGCCTGCAGATGATAAAGTTGATCGAAGAAGAAGAAGAGTGGCCGAACTATGCAACAGAAGTAGAAGAATTCGTTCATATACGTTCTGAGTTTGATACTTTTCAACTATCTTTTATCCCTCGAATATGTAATGTCCGGACGGACACTCTTGCCAAAGGAACCCGATCCCGTGATATATGTTTTTCCCATGTTAGCACGACTGTTCCGGAATGGCTAGTCTCATCGACTAATCTTTTTATAGCTTAATAAAGTGCTATTTCGACGTCAAAAAAAAAACTAAACTAATCTTATTTTGAGAGTTTGTGACATTCATTAACAGTATTCACATGATAAGTCTATTTTTGTAAAATGATATTAACCAAAATTTAAAAGTTTTTGGATTGCAAAAAGGCCATATTAATGTAGAAAAAGTAATTTAATTAAACTCTTTGGCTAAATATGTTTTACAGATGCTTACAAATATTTAAGTTTTATTTTTTCTTACTAATTATACATAAAAAATCTGCACATTAAATTTCTCTTAGTTTAATTTAACTATAATTAATGCAAAATTTAATTTACATATGTCACATATCTTCATTTCATTAAATATTTTTGCACATTTATATCTCATTAATGGAAAGATATTAATTTCAGTCCATTCTAAAAAAAAAAAATTGTATATATAGAAGAGACATATACATTTCAAAAACCCATTCATGTGCTAATGCTACAACGGTAAAGCTTGTACTTAAAGTAATTTTTCTGGTTTGTTATTTACAACTTTTTCACAATTTTATATTGAGCGCTCTACCTTTTACCAATATTAGTTTTCAGTACTAAGAATGCTGGCCAATAAAATTTACACTAATTTGATAATGTTGTTTTTCCTCTATAGTAATTTAAATTGTCGAACTGAGCTATTCATAAATGTCAATATCGCCTCTTATATAATTGGATTTGGTTTTTGATTAATTTACCAATGTGAAGTTGATTATGGTCATGTTCTCTTGCTCTATATGGATCAGTGTGTAACTATCTAATTCTAATATTGTGAATTTTAATCATTATACAACATTCTCTCTTCTTTTTTTCCCCAAAGATTTCAAGTTACTTTTCAAAAGTTATTTTTGTTTTTATGCTTTAGATGATTATAACAATTCATTAATTTTTTTTTCAATGCAAAAAAATGAATGTTAACTTTTTTGTTTGGAAAATGAAGATTCGACAAAATTCATTAAAATCATGTCTGGAGAAGAAAACAAAGACTCGCAGAGTGAAAGTAAACCGAACGAAAGTACACTACCCGAAAGTAAAGCTAGCGAAAGTAAACCGAACGGAAGTAAACCAAATGTAACTAAGGATGATGCATTTGGATATCTTAGAGCTATGAAAGATAAATTTCATGACGATCGTAAAAAATATAACGATTTTCTTGTAATTATGAATAATTTTAAAGCTCGTATGTATATACATAATATTTTTGCAAAATGTAAGAATATGTTTAGTTTTCTCTTTATTTCAATCTTTGGTGGGGTATACTCTATAATTTTCTTAAAACTAATTAATTTTGAATGTAATTTGATTGTAGAATTGATAGGAATCGTTGCATAAAAGAGGTGAAAAAATTATTTAAAGGACACCAAGACTTGATTTCTGGTTTCAATGTTTTCTTGCCAAATTATTTGGAGCTCCATGATTGGGACAATGTAGAGGTTAAAATCAACAATTAATGTTTCACTAAAAGATCTACTCGTATAGAACAAAGACAATCAAAATCACTCAATTTCAGAGTTATATGAACAACAAAACAAATTTTTCATATTTTCAAAAAAAGTTGGCCTAGTTTAGTAAAATTGCGTCAACTCTAAACTGCGGAAAGATTTTCCTACGTTTACACGGGCTCTACGGCTGCATTTTAGAACATGGACTAATTATATAATATTGGTTGAGTTTTAGATATTCATAAAGTATATTTACCATATATTATATCTCGATCATGTTGAATATGTTAGTGTATATCTTTATTGAATAACTAAACTAATCTTATTTTGAGAGTTTGTGACATTCATTAACAGTATTCACATGATAAGTCTATTTTTGTAAGATGATATTAACTAAAATTTAAAAGTTTTTGGATTGCAAAAAGGCCATATTAATGTAGAAAAAGTAATTTAATTAAACTCTTTGGCTAAATATGTTTTACAGATGCTTACAAATATTTAAGTTTTATTTTTTCTTACTAATTATACATAAAAAAATCTGCACATTAAATTTCTCTTAGTTTACTTTAACTATAATTAATGCAAAATTTAATTTACATATGTCACATATCTTCATTTCATTAAATACTTTTGCACATTTATATCTCATTAATGGAAAGATATTAATTTCAGTCCATTCTAAAAAAAAAATTGTATATTTAGAAGAGACATATACATTTCAAAAACCCATTCATGTGCTAATGCTACAACGGTAAAGCTTGTACTTAAAGTAATTTTTCTGGTTTGTTATTTACAACTTTTTCACAATTTTATATTGAGCGCTCTACCTTTTACCAATATTAATTTTCAGTACTAAGAATGCTGGCCAATAAAATTTACACTAATTTGATAATGTTGTTTTTCCTCTATAGTAATTTAAATTGTCGAACTGAGCTATTCATAAATGTCAATATCGCCTCCTATATAATTGGATTTGGTTTTTGATTAATTTACCAATGTGAAGTTGATTATGGTCATGTTCTCTTGCTCTATATGGATCAGTGTGTAACTATCTAATTCTAATATTGTGAATTTTAATCATTATACAACATTCTCTCTTCTTTTTTTCTCCAAAGATTTCAGGTTACTTTTCAAAAGTTATTTTTGTTTTTATGCTTTAGATGATTAAAACAATTCATTAATTTTTTTTTTCAATGCAAAAAAATGAACGTTAACTTTTTTGTTTGGAAAATGAAGATTCGACAAATTTCATTAAAATCATGTATGGAAAAGGAAGTAAAGACTCGTAGAGTGAAAGTAAACCGAACGAAAGTACACCACTCGAAAGTAAAGCTAGCAAAAGTAAACCGAGCAGAAGTAAACCAAATGCAACTAAGGATGATGCATTTGGATATCTTAGAGCTGTGAAAGATAAATTTGATGACGATCGTAAAAAATATAACGATTTTCTTGAAATTATGAATAATTTTAAAACTCGTATGTATATACATAATATTTTTGCAAAATGTAAGAATATGTTTAGTTTTCTCTTTATTTCAATCTTTGGTGGGGTATACTCTATAATTTTCTTAAAACTAATTAATTTTGAATGTAATTTGATTGTAAAATTGATAGGAATCGTTGCATAAAAGAGGTGAAAAAATTATTTAAAGGACACCAAGACTTGATTTCTGGTTTCAATGTTTTAATTATTTAAAGGACACCAAGACTTAATTTCTTGCCAAATTATTTGGAGCTCCATGATTGGGACAACGTAGAGGTTAAATCTAGGAAGTGATGTAATAACCTCCATCATACTCTTCTATGGGAAGATTTGTTCTAAGTCGAATCTGTTTATATAATAAAAATCCATTCTGTTTCGATTAGCCATTATAGGCTTATTAATAAAGTATTAAAATATTTATCTTTGTTGTTTCCAACTATTTCTATATCAACCTCCTCTCATATCTCTAATTTTATAACCCAACAAACCTAAATATGCTAAAATTATGAGAATACGTATCAAAGTATGCACCTTAATTAGCGTACGAAAATGTTGGCCCAATAAGTTTGATCTGGAGTGGAGAACCATTCTTTTTTTTAACCGTACCATGCGGTTTTGATAGAAGAGAATGCATAACTCTTCTGAATGCTTTTATTAAACCTTTCCTTGTTTTTTTTTTCTACTAAAATTTTCAGTTAAATTATTTAGAGTATTCACAATGCACAACTCATGTTTAAGTTCTTAAGAGTTTTTTTATTATTAAATATTTTTAGAACCGATGCTATAGATTCTTCTGTAAGAACTGATTCTAAAATATGGATTTTTTTTCTTTTTCTTTTTACTTAAAAACTTCACAAAATCTCTGCATTATGATGCTCTTAGCAGCGCCCACAATTAACTTAGAAGTGCCTGCCTACTTCACTTACCGAACAAAATTTAGGGCTTTGTATTTTACCAGATATTACAGACGATTGGAAGATTGGGAGGATTGGGAAATTTTGTGGGTGCATTGTAGCGTCAAATTTTAACGGATCATCTATACGTATAGAACAAAGACAAACAAAATCACTCGATTTGAGAGTTAAATGAACAACAAACAATTTTTTCATATTTTTCAAATTTTTGGCCTAGTTTAGTAAAATCGCGTGTTTACACGGCCTCTACGGCTGCATTTTAGAAGATGAACTAATTATAATATTGGTTAATAGTTTTAGATAATTTCATAAAGTGTATTTACCAGACATTATATCTCAGTCATGTTAAAATATTGTAGTGTATATCTTTATTGAATAAACAAAGTAATCTTACTTTGAGAGTTTGTGACATTAATTAGCAGTTTCGACATGTTAAGTCTGTTTTTATAAGATGATATCAACTAAAATTTAAAAGTTTTTGGATTGTAAAAAGGCCATATTAATGATTTAATTAAACTCTTTGGTTAAAAACGTTTAAACTGATGCTTACAAATATTTAAGTTTTATTTGCTCTTGCTAAATATACATAAAAAATCTGCATATTAAATTTATCTTAGTTTACTTTAACTATAATTAATGCAAATTTTAATTTATACTAGGTGGTTGGCCTGCACATATGTGCGGGTATAATTTTTTTGATATATATAGTTAATTATAATATTTAAATTTTAAATATTTGTATGTTTGTATATATATTGTTTTAATATTTCACAAACTTTTTTCTGAAATCAATGTATTTTATTACTTTTATTTTTATAATGCTTGTAATAGTATATAATCACAAATATAAAAGTTATGTTAAATAATAATTAAATTCTTATAATATTAATATGTTTTATTTCTCCTTACACAATCTACAATATGCTTTTTTGCGTCTTACATAATATGAGTTTGTAAATACATATATAATATATTTTAAGTATATATTTTTCTTGATTTATTGCAAATTAAACTGAAATAATTTTTATCATTTTTACTTATTTCTAAGAGCGGATAGATGGTTGGCACGCATGTGCGGGCATACCAATCACTTCACTACACTTAGAATAATAAAGATTTTTTTTTAAATATAAATTGGATAATAATTAAAATAAAAATTAGACTGTAACCAATCTTAACAAAATACATGCACGAAAAAGTCCGCATGTGACTTTAACTAATATACAACTAATATTTATATATGTACGCGTATTTGTAAAAAAATTGAAATATGGCGACCAACCCCAATGGAGAACTTATTAAGAAGGTCTTAAAAATATTTTATTATTTATTTTAGACATTGGGTGTCTTAGCTCAACAAAAATATCATATTTTAGACACTGTGTCTATTTTTAAGACCCTTTCACTATTTTTTTATTCATTTTTATTATTTAGATCTTTTGTTTTAGACACCCAAAGTTCTCCATTAGGGTTGCTCTTACGTGTTAAAATTTTTTTAAGTGACTTTGTAAAACAAAGGGCGAGCGATTTTTTTTTTATATACTTCTATTTTTATCTCTTATTTATATTGTTTCTTCTTATTATAATTTATACTTTCGTTCGGTTATTTTTTAATTCATTTATGATCTCAAAATTTTGATATACAATAAAAACAAAATTATGTATATATATTAATATGATATAAACTTTTATTTTTATTTAAAATATGATAAGAGATAAGATCAGATGGTAACATAAGTTATGCACATTTTAGAAAACAACAATAAAAAGATGATAAAAGTTATAGAAAAATATATAGTCCTATTAATATTATAAAATAATAATTAGTATATACTTTATTGATTTAGTAAATATTGGTTTGAAAATATTTTTTTTTTAAATTATGTTTTCTGAAAAAAAAATCAATAAAAGTTATTTATATTTATTATTTTTAACATTTTATTCTTTAAATTATTTTTAACATGATTGTATTTTATTTAAAATTGTATTATTTAATCATTTGTTTATTTAAAACTTTTTTAGATTTAATTAATAACTCTCCAAAATAAAAATATATCATACTTAAAGTAGTATTAATGAATAGAATTTTTACTATTCTATTCGATAATTTAATATTATTTTTTTATTTTTATATGAAATTATAATATATATATATATTGTTGAAAAAATTTCGTAATTATTTTTTATGAAATTATGAATATATGTAAAAAATTAAAATTATAATAGCTTTTATTTTCTGTTAATTTAAATTTGTTAATTTTAGTGTTATAAATATAATTTAGTTTATTTATGTTTTAATTCCACAATTTCTATAATTTCAATTCAACCAATCAAAACATTTCGTTTATTTTAGGAAGTTTGACATGTCACATTTACATGTCATCAATTAAAAGCACTAACTTTGATTGTAGTGTTGACAAGTAAACAATTTTCAATAATGTTACTTCTCAAAAAATATGTAGTGGATATGTCACATATCTGCATTTCATTAAATACTTTTGCACATTCATATCTCATTAATAGAAAGATGTTAATTTCAGTCCATTCTATAAAAAAAATGTATATATAGAAGAGGCATATATATCTCAAAAACTCATTCATGTGCTAGTGCTACAACGGTGAAGCTTATACTAATAGTACTTTTCTGGTTTGCTACTTTGAACTTTTTTCATAATTATTAATCGCTTTACTTTTTATTAATATTAGTTTTCAGTACTAAAAATGCAGATAAATGAAATTTACATTAATTTGATAATGTTATTTTTTCTATATAATAATTTGAATTGACGAATGAGTTATTCATAGATGACAATATGGCCTTGTGTATAATTGGATTTGGTTTTTGTTTAATTTACCAACTAGATTCTAATCTGCGCGTCCGCACAAGACAATGTTTTAAAAAAATTAAAATTTATAATTAATAAAATGTGATATGAAAAAATAAGATATAAATATGTTATTATCATGGTTAAATTTTTTTATATATTATAAAGAGTGAATTTAAATTTTGTAAGTACACAAATATATAACTGAAAAAAAAATATTATAAATTATTTGTTATTGATTCAAATATATTATAACTATAACTACGTAATTTTTTTGTTTTTGTTCTTTTTTTCCATTTATTTATTTTTAAAAATTCATCTGCTTTTTTTATGTTCTTCTCTTCTCTTCCACTTTTCCCTCTTCTCTCTTTTTTTCTCCGCTCTTCTTCTTATTCTCTATTTTTTGTTTGTTTTACTTCTTGTTCTTCTGTTTTTTCTTCTCTAGTTTTTTTCTCTGTTTTTCTTTTTCGTACTTCTTTTCTGTATTTCTCTTTTTCTCCAATTTTGTTTTAAGTTTCTTTTTTATGTTATTCTTCTCCCTTTTTCCTCTTTTCTTATTTTTATTAATTTTATTCTCTATTTTTTCTTTGTTTCTCTTTTTCTACATTTTTTTTTATTTTTCATCTTTTTCCTCATTATTTTTTCATTCTTTTTTCTGTAACTTTTCTTCAGCTTTTTGTTTTTGTTTGTTTTCTTATTCGTGTTTTTTGTGTTTTTTCCTATTTTCTTTTCCTCTTTTCACTTTTTCTTTTTCTTTATTTTTTTTTAAATTTGCAAAACAAAATGAAAATAGAAATTTCTTATACTAAATAATTAATATTATTCTGTTAAAAAATAATTAATATTATATAAATAACTGAATATATATATATATTATGGTGATAGCATTTAATAATAATATATATAAGACGAATCGATATAGGCTTTGTATTGTAATGGGAAGAAACTGATTATGGTATATAAACTTGATTTTCTGGGTATATGAACAGTTATTTAGGAAGTCCAATCGCAAAAATAAAAATAAAGAATATTGACATATAGCCCCGGTCTAACATATTTTATGTCCCTTGTGAAAAATAAAATTTAGACCTTAATAATAATATTTTTTGGTATTTTCTATATATTTTTTAAATTAATTTCCAATTAAAGATAAGAAGTTAGATAGTTCTAAAATTTAAATAAAAATGGGTCTTTTATAAGAAGGATAACAAAATATTGAGCCTCTAATGAGAAGAGTAATAAAAGATTAGTCCTTTAATGATTTAATGAATATAATAGTTTTAATAAATTGTATATATCTAATGAAAGTCCAATGGTAAATCAAGTAAATAACACATTAAGTAAATGTTATTTTTCTAAAGTGGATTCTCTTTTAATATATTATGACCATGTTCTCTTGCTCTACATGGACCAATCTTTAATGCGTGTGTAACTTTCTAATTATAATATTGTGAATTAAGATCATTGATATAACACTAGATTAGACTGGTATGTCAATTGAATAGCTGAATAACTGAATAGTTGAATTATAAAATAGAGGAATCAATGAGAAAAATTAATACTGAATCAAATAACGGAATCAATATGATGAAAAAACTGAAAACTGAATAAATTTAAAGTGCCAAAAGCTACTAATTATTAGATGAATAATTTTTTTTTATCTATATTTGTTATAATTTTAAAATGTGCAGGATAGAAAAATAACTTATTTTTATTTTTTATCATTCCGTGCTTAATATTATGAATTGTATGCATTCGGCATAATCACGTTTTCATTATATTATGAATGGTATGTATTCGATAGAATCACGTTTTCAGATTTGAAAGCGTGAGTAAGCTATGTACCATTAAAGCTCATTTTTGTTTTCTTCAAAGATTTCAAGTTACTTTTCAAAGATTTGTTTTATGTTTGAGATGATGATTAAACAACTAATTAATTAATTTGTTTTAATGAAAAAAACAAAAGTTAACTCTATTGTTTGAAAAATGAAGCTTTTGACAAATTTCAAAGTTTAAACTATGCCTGGAGAAGAAAGCAAAGACAGTAAACTAAGGGAAAGTAAATCACTCGAAAGTGAACCGAGCGGAAGTAAACCATATGCAACTAAGGATGATGCCTATGAATTTCTTAGGGCTGTGAAGGATAAATTTCATAGCGACCGTAAAAAACATGATGACTTTCTTGTAATTATGAATAATTTTAAAGTCCGTAGGTATATATATACATAGTATTTATAGTATTTTTGCAAAATGTGAGAACATGTTTAGTTTTCTCTTTACCTCAATCTTTGTTGGGGTAACACTCTATAATTTTTTTTAAAATAACTAATTTTTGAATATAATTTGATTGTAGAATTACCAGGAATCGTTGCGTAAGAGAGGTGAAGAAATTATTTGAAGGACACGAGACTTGATTTCAGGTTTCAATGTTTTCTTGCCAGGTTTTATGGAGGTGGGGCATCGTAGAGGTTAGAACTAAGAAGTGATGTAATAACCTCCATCATACTCGTCTATAAGATCTAAACCGGTTCGATTTAGATTTGTTCTAAGTCGAATTTGTTTATATTATAAAAATCCGTTCTGTTTCGAATCTTTATCTTTGTTGTTTCCAACTATTTTTATATCAACCTCCTCTCAACTCCCTAATATTATAATGTAACAAACCTAGTATGCTAGAATTACGAGAATATGAAAGTACACACCTTAGCGTACCAAATGTTGGCCCAATAAGTTTGATCTGGAGTGGAGTAACCATTCAAAAACCCTAACCAAACCGTTCGGTTTTGATAGAAGAGAGTGCATAACTCTTCTGAATGCTTTTATTAAACCTTTCCTTGTTTTTTTCTACGAATTTTTTTTTCAGTTAAAGAACTTAGTAGCCCACAATTAACTTAGAAGTGCCTCCCTGCTTCACTTACGGAACAATGAAATTGAATGAGAAGCCTTTTCGTATCGTACATCGACAAAATTTAGGGCTTTGCATCTTATCGGATATTAAAGACGATTGGGAGGATTGTGAAATTCTGTGGGTGCATTGTAGCCATTATAGACTTATTAATAAAGTAATAAAATCTTTATCTTTGTTGTTTCCAACTATATCTATATCAACCTCCTCTCAAATCTCTAGTCTTATAATCCAGCAAACCTAAAAACGGTAGAATTATGAGAATACATATTAAAGTATGCACCTTAGCGTACTAAAATGTTGGTCCAACAAGTTTGATCTAGAGTGGAGCAAGAGCAACCATTCAAAGCCTTAACCGTACCATACGGTTTTGATAGAAGAGAGTGCATAACTCTTCTGAACGGAGGTTAAGGGTTATGACCATCATGCAAGCTTCAGTGGTGACGATAAAATTTATATATCTTCCGAGGAAGCTTATGAGTATTCAGGCATCACGAGATAAAGGCCAGGAAGAAAGATGGAGCATATATATTCTTTAGCAACTTTTTGGTTTTGAACTTCAATATAATAATCATCATCATCGTTGAAATTTGAAAGTAGGTTTGGAATCTTATCAGACTCAAGAATTGTTTAACACAATCTAATATCTACAATCTAGTAAAATGGCTCAACAACTTAGCACAGTTTGATGAGAATTATGAATTCTTGAATCTAGCCACTAAGCTAAGTGTTTCTGTAACTAGAGTTGTCACCAAGAGTTCGCTAGTTTTACACTAATGTGATTGCAGTTGTCTTATATAACATTTTTTTCCGAACTATATCTTTAAAAGTTATTTTTTTAAAAACAACAACAATCATAAGATTGAAATTACTAAATCCCATCGGCCTCTTTTGCGCAACACACATCGGTTTCTTGTGTTCCAAGGAATCAGTTGTCAAGTAACTCCGTTTCCTCTTCAAAACCCATCGCCCTCTTTCTTCTGAAACCCGAGTTCCGGTAATGCCTCTCTGACTTGACTCCCTTCATCGAATTGAACTGTGGATCGCATCTGAAGAATAAAACCAATTCAAAAAGCTCACATGAGGGAATCTTCTTCTCAAAAACCAAATTGAGCGAAATGTTGTTGATTCAAGTTTTTAACACCTGCTCAATTTTCAAACGAGACTCCCTCCTCTGGTTTTCAATATCTCTCCGTCTCTGTTCCTCTTGCATCTGTTGAGAATAAGTAAGTAATATCAAATGAGAGAATCTTCTTCTCAAAAACCATATTAAGAGAATTGTTGTTGATTCAAGTTTTTAACACCTGCTCAAGTTTCAAACGAGACTCCCTCTTCTGATTTTCAATATCTCTCCGTCTCTGTTTCTCTTCAATCTGTTGAGAATAAGTAATCAAATGAGGATTCACCGGAAAAAGAAAAAAAACAGAGTAAGGCTCTCTTCTCTTTTCTCCTTGCAGTCACAGTAAAGAAGAGAATCAGATCTTGGTCACAAGTATACATATCTACCTTCATTATCTGTTGCTGCATATCCTCTTTAGGCCCGCTCCCATCACTGAATTCAACAGTGGCTTTCATCTGAAGAAAACACCCAAAAAAAAAGAGAATTCGAATATTCATTAGATATCTCATAAAACGCATTAAGAGATTTATGTTGATGATATTCAATTTCAAGACCTGATCAAGTTTCAACTTTTCCTCTCGCCTCTGCCTCTGAATATCTCTCTGCCTCTTCTCCAGCTCATGATCACGCATCTCCTGTGTCTATATAAATCGAAACAGATTAAAAATTTTAAAAACAGAATATGACTCTGTTTCATCAACTGTAAATAACAGAATCAGATCCTTTATTTTTCAGTTTATTTACCGTCAAGGTTCGTTCCTCCAGAGCCCCTATCAACTGCAACTGCAACCCGAGATTTTCTTCTCCCTGTTCAAACCTCACTCGCTCATATCCAGGCACTATATCTTCTTCTATATTATCCAACTCAACATTTGCTTCTCCCTCTTCAATATCATCGTTTGTTTCTTGAGCTTCTACACTCTGCAACCCAACATTTCCTTCTCCCTGTTCGATATCATCATTCACTCCTTGGACTCTTTCTTCTGGATCACGCTCCTGAGTGGTTCTTGCCTTGAAAAATTAACAATATCCATATTAAGTAAGTTTAAAGTGTAAAACATAAAAAAGGATCACATTTTCGTCTAGTTACCCTCTTCTCTGCCATAGAACTTGACTCTGAACCAACATTTCTCTTTGAATGAGTAAATGGACAACTTGAGCCGAACTTACAATATCCCCTTAGGAAAAACTGCAAATGTATAAAAAGAGAGTTGCTTACAACGTACGTAAGTAGACTAAGTTGTAATCTCGTTTCGTTGCTGATTACAACAACCATTGGAAATTAATCAGATTTGAGAACTGTGTACCTTGCATTGTGGAGCAATCCTCTCTGTAGCCTCCTGTTCAAATGTTTCAAAGCAGCAAGACAACATCAGGAAAAGTTTAAAACTTAGAGTCAAAGCTAAAAAAAATACATAATTTTTTCATTCTTTCTCACCGGTGAAAAATGAGTAGGAGGATGATTGAAACGGCAGTTACTTCCATAGCCACACAGACCAGTTCGTAGATAATGTGCACAATCTCTTTCACCGGGACGAACTGGATACTCACTCGACTGAGCCGATTCGTGTCTGATATGAGTTAGGGATTCAGAGCCTCTCCAATACGAAGTTGTACCCTGAGAATCAAAATCAAGAGGAAAACGTTAATTCAAGGCAAAAACATATTACTCTGTTGCAAGAACTTAAGTTTCTTTACCCAATTCTTCTGTTGCAAAGATCTCGACTCTGTTTCATTGCTTCTCCTCTGCATCTGAATATCTCTCTGTCTCTGTTGCTGAAAATTAGCTCGTGTCTCTGCGTCTGACTCTTTGCTGTCACGAATCTGACCTGATTCGTTGATTCTTAAACCGGAGTCTTCATTATCCTGAGGAAACCGTACCGACTCTGTTTTATCATTTTAAAGAACAGAGTAGCGAGTTCTTGTTCAGTTTCTTTACCTTCTTCTCTGCCCCGACTCTTGGATCTCTATTGCTTCTACGATTTGTACTATCATTAGGTTTTCTCATCCCCGAATCCGGATTTTTTCCCTGAGAATCAAAATTAAAAAGCAAAACGCTCGAATCAAAACACCACCATTCGCAAAAACAGAGTTCGACTCTGTTTCAGGGCGTCTTTGACTAATCTTTCTCTGGATACTATTTTGTAAGGAGTAAAACCGAAACGCGAAATCAAATGAGTAATCATTTTCGTTCAGTTTCTTTGTTTTACCTTGGTTTCTTCCATGGATCTCGACTCTGTTCTTGCTGAGTAAGTTCTCGTGTCAGTTTCTCTATAGCCTCTTCGATTCTTCTGAGCTCTCTCTTCAATCTTGTCTCTTATTTTGTTTTTTCTTCTTTTCTTACAGCTTTTTTTTTCTCTGTTCTCTAGAAATCAAATCACAAAGAATTGCTTTATTCTTTAAATCTTTAAATCCAAAATTCCAATAAACATACATGCATGCATATTTGATAACGTCCTTTTATATTTATTTTTCTTTGGCGGGAAATGTTTCGTGGTAATTTAGTGGATTTTGTTTATTTCTTCAACACGAATACTATTTTTTTTCTGTCAACACGATTACTTAGAATATTTATGAAGTTTTAGAAAATTTCATAAAGTACATTTACCAAATATTTTATCTCGATCATATTGAAATATTTTAGTGCATATCTTTATTGAATATAACTAAACTTATTTTGAGACTTTATGACACTAATTAACAGTTTCACAAGTTAAATCTGTTTGTTGTAATCGAATTCAACTAAATTTTGAAAGTTTTTTGGATTGCAAAAATAAAAAGCCACATTAATGTAGGAAAAGTAATTTAATTAAGCTCTTAGGTTAAATATGAATAGACAGATGCTTACAAAGATTTAATTTTATGTTTTCTTACTAAAATATACATAAAAAATCTGCATATTAAATTTCTCTTAATTTACTTTTGTAGGAAAAGTAATTTAATTAAACTCTTAGGTTAAATATGTTTAGATGTTTACAAAGATTTAATTTATGTTTTCTTACTAAATATACATAAAAATCTGCATATTAAATTTCTCTTAGTTCACTTTAACTATAATTAATGCAAAATTTTATTTACAACTGACATATTATATGCCACATATCTTCATTTCATTAAATACTTTTGCACATTTAAATCTCATTGACAGAAATATGTTAATTTCAAATGGACTGATTCCAAAAAAAAAAATGTATATATAAAAGACACATATACAACTCAAAAACCTCATGTGCTAGTACAACAACGGTGAAGCTTGTATTCATAGTAATTTTTCTGGTTTGTTAGCTTTAAACATTTTTACAATTCTACATCGATCAATCTATTTTTTACAAAAATTTAATTTTCAGTACTAAAAATGCTGATCAATGAAATTTACATTAATTCGAAAACGTTTTTTTTGTTTCTTGACAAAAACTGACAAAATACATTGTTCATTGATAATATGATCTCCTATAAAATGGATTTGGTTTTTGATTAATTTATTAATATAAAATTGATTATACAATAGAAATTCTATAAATTAATAATGTTAGAACTTTAATATTTTATTATTTATAGAGTTATTAATTTATCAGTTTTGGATAAAATAAATTATTTATTAAAAATAATATTTTCTTTAAAATTTATAATATTTTCTAAAAATTTTATTATAAAATTAGAGATAAATAATAAAATAATTCAATTTTAATATAAAAAACAATAATATACTCATATTTTAATAGATTATCATAATAATATACTTATATAGAATTATTTTATATAATATTTATTAACTTATGATATTAATGGGACTATACTTTACATAGGATTTCAAAAAATAATATTATTTTATTAATTTATCGATTTGCATTAAATTTTGAACCAGCCCAATTCAGGACTGAACAAAATTATTGATTTATCAAATTTATTAATTTATCGAATATTAGTTTATAGAGTTTCTACTGTAATTATGTTCTCTTGCTCTATATGGATCAATCTTTTAACTTTCTAATTCTAGTATTGTAAATTAAGATATCTTTGATTCAGTGATTTTTTTTTTCGTCAAAGATTTCAAGTTACTTTCAAAGTTTTTATTATGTTTGAGATTATTAAAAGTTCATTAATAAATTTGCTTTAATACAAAAAAACAAATAAATACAAATTAACTCTATTATTTGGAAAATGAAGCTTCGATAAAATTTAAAGCTGAAATCATGTCTGGAGAAGGAAGTAAACCGTATGCAACTAAAGATGATGCCTATGCATATCTCAGGGCTGTGAAGGATAAGTTTCCTAACGATGGAAAAAAATATAACGATTTTCTTATAATTATGAATAATTTTAAAGCTGGGAGGTATTTTTCCAAAATATGAGAATATGTTTAGGTTTCTTTTTATTTCAATCCCTATAGGGATTTTCTTAAAACTAATGAACTTTCGAATGAAATTTGATTGTAGAATTGATAGGAATGGTTGCATAGAAGAGGTGAAGGAACTTTTTAAAGGACAGGGAGACTTGATTTCGGGTTTCAATATTTTCTTGCCAAGGTGTTTGGAGATTGCTGATTGGCCCAACGTAGAGGGTAGATGATGTAACCTCCACCATACCCATCTATGGGATTTAAACCGGTTCGGTTAAGATTTGTTCTAAGTCGAATCTGTTTATATAATAAAAATTCATAAACCTTGGTTTTGATTAGCCATTATGGCTCATAAATAAAGTTATAAGATCTTTATCTTTGTTGTTTCTAATTATTTCTATATCAACCTCCTCTCAACTCTCTAATCTTATAATCCAACAAACCTAAAAATGCTAGAATTATGAGAATATCAAATTATACACCTTAGGGGTGGGCGTTCGGATAACCTGGACCTGATCGGATCGGTTCTTTCGGGTATCGAGTTTTCGGATATAGAGCTGAAGACCCCAATCGAATATTTTTAATTTTTGGATCGGTTCAGGTAATTATAATTCGGGTTCGGGTCGGTTCTTACATTGTATATAAAAACCGATATTGATCTGAAAAAATTTTGGTTACAAACGGGTTGGTTCGGTTTTCGAGTGTTTCGATTATATGTATCCTAATTGTAATCAAATTGTAACCAAATGTGCTAAAAATATCTGAAATGCACAAATAATATCCGAAATCTAAGAAAACAAATGGTCAAAATAAACACTAAAATCAGTATCAAAGTATGATTCAACCATTCAAGCAGAAACTGTAACAATTTCCATTATTGTTTATCGAACAACACTACAAACTCGACTAAAAAACTCAAATTGTCAAACTCAAACACAAACAGAGTTTTGAAAATCACAATCCAAAGCTTGTAATAATTACAGAAATCATAACAAATGCGAAAACCGTAAAAATTATCAAACTGAAAACTTAAATTGCCAAACTTAAACCGTAAATCACATAAAAGGAAGACGAAGAAGACGATGGTGTACCTGAAATCAATTTCGGGATGTCTCAGAAGGAAGAGAAAGTGAGGATTGGTGATTTAGGGATTCCAGATTGAATTTAGAAATTTAGAAATTAGAATATTTGATTGATCTGCGAATCTTGGATAGAGATTGAACAGGAAAGTCTAAGAAAGCTACATATTGTGTTTTCCTGTTCGATTTTCTTCGGATTGGAAATCGGATTTCGAGTATAACCGAACCGAACCCGGACCCGAACCACAATCATCATAAGATCCAATCGGTTAGTACAACAATATCGGGTCGGTTCGGTTCAGATTTTTTCGGGTCGGTTCGGTTCGGATTTTCGGGTTTGGTTTAATAAGCCCACCCCTACACCTTAGCGTACCAAAATGTTGGTCCAATAAGTTTGATCCGGAGTGGAGCAACCATTCAAAACCATTTAACCGTACCAGCTTTGATAGAAACTTTTCTGAATGCTTTTATTAAAACCTTTTATTGTTAGAAAACCTTTGCATGAGAAAAGAAAAGATACAAGCCCAGCCAAGGCCTAGTGTTTAGTGGGTCTTAGCCAATAATTATTAAAGAGAACCATCGTGAGCTAAAATCTGCCCACATTGTCTCCTTATTGAGCTTCCCAGCAAACTCGCCTGAAGATCAGAACATTTGCAAGCAGAGAAGGACTCTTGATAGAAATGAATAATGTCCTAAGAAAACTACTTGTAGATCTCTTGACCACACAGAGCTTTAATAAGCAGCAGCAACACCGAGCTGCCTTAGGCCAAGTGCTCCACTTCTCACTTCGATTCCATCATCCTGCAGAATCCACAAAACTTCAAAATACATAAACAATCCAAATAGGTGAACTGAGTTACAACGGTTATACCATACCAATTGGGAATAACTTATGAACTCTTTGATCGCAGCTTCTTCATACCCCCCACTCCTCAAGCTGCTCTTCCGCATTAGGATCATCTCTTACATTTCCTCTCTTGAAGTAGATATTCAGGTTGCTCTCAGGCACCGTGACCAGCTGCAAAGCCAAGCTAACCAACTCAAGCTTCAAAAATGGACAAGCAAGAAGCAAACAAGGACTGGGTTTGAATGTTGATTCTAAATGTTTGGTGTTAGATATCAAATTAAAAGTACCATATAACAAAAATCATACCTCAACAAGTTTGAGAAATATCTAGCAATTTTTTGGATCAATCATTATATGAATGATGTACTAAATATGTATAGGTCAGTGTCTTGCTCATGGCCATGATCTCATTAGCTCTAGCCCCTAGAGTTCGATCCTTTACTAAACGGAATGCATAATGCAGAAATGTTATTTGCTCTTTTGATTTATCTTTCAAATTTTTCCTTTCTTTAATTAACTCAGCTTCCCATTTGTCCACCATCGCTTTGAGATTAGTCTTTTCTCTGATCAGAGTAACATTCTCCTTTGTTAATTTGATCAGAGTGTCACAAAATCTCGTTGTACACAGGTTTCATCTTAACTCCACTCTTCCTTGATTTCTGATTTTGTTTCCTTGCTTCTTTCTAACTATTCAGAGTTTGATCACTTTCACCAATAAAAGCTACAAGGTTGCTCAGATTTTCTTCACTTGCTTCATCTTCAGAATCACTTTCTTGCATGCCTATTATTAGGAGTTATCCTCTAGTTTTCTGATCATTTGTGCACTTCTCTTAGTATGACCAAAACCTTTGCACTTTAAACACTTGAATTTCCTTTGCATTCATAGCACTGAAAATAAGATTTTCTATTACTCTTTCCTGATTTAGCTGATTTTCTGCTGTCTACAAGCCACACTTTCGTACTAGTTGTGGCTTCCTTTCCTTGATCTTTAGCGGGAAAATGTTTCGTGGTTTTTTAGTGGATTTTGTTTCTTCAATACGATTACTTAAAATAGTATTTAAAACATTATAGGTATATATTTACTAATTATAATGTTGATGAAGTTTTAGATAATTTCATAAAGTACACTTACCCAGATATGATATCTCGATCATGTTGAAAACTTTTAGTACATATCTTTATTGAATATTTAAACTAAACTTATTTTGAAATTTTATGACACTAATTAACAGTTTGAAAAGTTAAATCTGTTTGTTTTAATGGAGTTCAACTAAATTTTTTAAAAAATTGGATTGCAAAGATAATGGCCACATTAATGTAGGAAAAGTAATTTAATTAAACTTTTAGGCTATATATGTTTTGACAGATGCTTACAAAGATTTTCATTTTTTTTTCTTACTAATATATATAAAAAAATTGCATATTAAATTTCTCTTATTTTACTTTACTAAAATTAATGCAAAATTTTTATTTACAACTGACATATGTCACATATCTTCATTTCATTAATTAGTTTTGGACATTTATATCACATTGGTAGAAAGATGTTAATTTCAAATGAACTGATTCTAAGAAAAAAATTGTATATATAGAAGATGCATATACATCTCAAAAACCCAAAATCCATTCATTCATCTGCTAGTGCTACAACGGTAAAGCTATCTGCTAGTGCTACAACGGTAAAGCTTGTACTCATAGTAATTTTCTGGTTTGTTACTTTGAACCTTTTTCACAATTCTACATCAATTGCTATACTTTTTTTTATCAAAATTAGTTTTCAGTACTAAGAATGCTGATTAATAAAATTTACATTAATTTGACAATGTTTTCTTTTTCTCAAAAAGTCTTAAACCAACAAAATAAAATTTTCATAAATGATAATATGGCGTCGTATATAACTGGACTTGGTTTTTGATCAATTGCCAATATGAAGTTGATTATGGCCATGTTTTCTTGCTCTATATGGATCAAATTTCACTATGTGTATAACTTTCTAATTCTAACATTGTGAATCATGATTATCTAAGATTTCAAATTACTTTTCAAATATTCTCTTATGTTTGAGATGATTAAAAGAAAAATCATTTAATAAATTTGCTTTAATGAAGAAAACAAAGTTAACACTATTGTTTGTGAAATGAAGCTTCGACAAACTTCAAATTGATATTATGTCTGGAGAAGGAAGTAAACCAAAAGCAACTAAAGATGATGCTTATGCATATCTTAGGGATGTGAAGGATAGATTTGACGGTAAAAAATATAACGAATTCTTTAAAGTTATGAATGATTATAAATCTCAGAGGTATGTATATACATAGACTCATAGTATTTTTTTGAAAATTATGAGAATATGTTGGGTAACACTCTATAATTTTCTTAGAACTAATTAATATCGAATGTAATTTGACTGTAGCATTGATAGAAAAGGTTGCATAAAAAGGGTAGAAAAACTACTTAAAGGACACAAAGACTTGATTTCGGGTTTTAATGTTTTTTTGCCAAAGTCTTTGGAGCTCGATGATTAGCGCCAAGTAGAGGTTAAAAGGAAGTGATTTAATAACCTCCATCATGCTCCTCTATGTGAAATAAACCGGTTCAGTTTAGATTTATTCTAAGTCGAATCTGTTTATATAATAAAAATATGTTCTTTTTTTTCATTTAAGACTCATAAGTCGAATCTGTCTATATAATAAAAATCCTTTCGATTAGCCATTATATGCTTATAAATAAAATAAGGGAAATTCTATAAATTTTTGCAGTAAAAAAAAAATAAAAAAATAAGGGAAATAAGACCTTTCATCTTTCTTGTTTCTTACTATTTCTATATCAACTCTCCTCTAAACTCTCGAATCTTATAATCCAACAAACCTAAAAATGCTAGCTACAATTGTGAGATAATCATAGTACCAAAATATTGGGCCAATAAGTTTTAATCTGGAGTGGTTTTGATACGAGCCCTGCAGCCAAGGCCTTAGTAGCCCACAATTAACTTAAATCAACAATAACCGAAAAATCTGACCCGAACCAACCTTAATTTATGTGAATTGGTTCGGTTCGTTTAAGCCCACATTTTACGGAATCGTCTGTTTTTAAATTAATTGTGAATAATGCCACCAATTAATTCGTCTATTTTCCTTATTTGATCAATGCAATTTCAAACATGATAATTACCCCCAAAGTATAAATACCAATAATACACTCGCGGATAAATAACTCAAAAACAGTCGATAGGGTTTTGCTTTTGGAAATCTTTGAAGTCCGGAACCCTTCGAAGAAGAGGCTTCCTTGCTCATCGTCGCTTTAGATTCGGTAACTAAACTTTCTTCTTCTTCTTCTTCTTCTTCTTCTTCTTTAACATTAGTACCAAAAAAAAAAAAAAATTCTTCTTCTTCTTCGATTTTTATCCTATTTCGTATGATTATGTTAGGCCACGATCGAGACCTCGAATTTCGATTAGGGTTTTGATAATTAGTATCTCGTGATCAAGATTTCTCCACTATGTTCTGTTTCTCTGTTTCTTATTACGATTCAGTGATGTCTTTTGATGAACAAAAAAAGTCTCTTTCTTTGGATGATTCAGGCCAAATTTTTCACACCATGGTTGAAACAAGCGTAGCACCGGAGAAAACTGTGAGTTATGCGAACCAATACATCGCTGATGTGAAGGAAGCATTAAAAGACGAACCTGAAAAACGTAACGAGTTTTTCCAGATACTTGACTATGTCAGAACTCATAGGTACGTACGGGATGATAAAACTTTCTCCTTTGTTCCAAGATTTTCAATTTCTCAAATCTAACACAAGAAACTGGTCAGTGTGAATCGTTATTATTCTCTTTTGTAGTGATGATAAAGCTATTTGCGTTGCAAGGATGGAGGAACTCATCAAAGATCACCCGAATCTGCATCTTGGTGTCTTCCGTACTCCCGAGCCTGAGAGGCTCGTCCCTCTCGAGCCTCCTCAAGCCATTCTTCCCGAGGCTAAGAGTATCATTCATCCCGAAGCTAAAGAAAGCAGAGGAAAAATCGTTACTTTTGCTGTAAAAGATGAGAGAAGTATCGTCCCTCTCGAGGCTCAGCAAACCATAGATCCCGAGGCTAAAGAAAGCAGAGGAAAAATCACTACTTTGGCTGTAAAAGATGAGAGAAGCATCACTAGTACTCCTGATGCTAACGAAGGGTTAGGCCAATCGCAAACCATGGTTGGTAAAAGAGCAGCACCACAGGAGCTGCATAAAGATGAGGCGAAATCATACGTTGATGCTGTGAAGGAAGCATTTCGTGATGAACGTGGGAGATATGATGAGTTTCTAGAGATCTGTAACGATTTTTTTTCCGAGAGGTATGAATTGTTTTTTTCTCCTCTTGTTTTGCTCTTTAGTTCACACATGTGACTCGGTTTTCTGATGCGGACTCGTCTCTTTTGTAGATTTGATCGCACGAGTACCATTGCAAGGATGAAGGAGCTCATGAAAGATCACCAGGAGCTGCTTCTTGGATTCAGTTTCTTGTTTTCAGACGATGAGTCTAAGATCACCACCATCCCTCCCGAGCCTAGTAGAACCATCCCTCCCGAGCCTAGTAGAACCATCCCACCCGAGCCTAAGAGAACCATCCCACCCGAGCCTAGAAGAATCAGCCCTCCCGAGGCTAAGAGGACAACCATTATTCTCAAGCCTAGGAGAAACATCCCTACTGATGCTGCTGAACATCATTGTGCTGAGTCTAAGTACTGTACCAAAAGAAAACATGATGGGACGAGTTTTATGGACAAGCTCAAGGTAGTAAACTGATAGATAATCCTAAAGGATATATTTTTTTTTGCTTTTTGCTAACTTTTGATTTGGAAATAACAAATTCATCTTCATCTATCTGCAGACAAGGTTTCGGAGCCTTGATACTCATGTCGTTGAGTCATTTGTTGAGATAATGAACGAGTTTGAAGAGGGAACGATGTCGATACAGAATGTGTTCGGGGAGGTATGTTCTTGGTGGTATACAATTTGTGTTGCACTTGTACTTCTGTGTGTTTTTCTTTCTTGGTTTGATTTGGTTGTATATATTATATATGTCTTGCAGGTCCTTGATCTTCTCTATTATCATGAAGACTTGCTCGAGGACTTTCCCGGATACTTCAAACGAACAAAACTTTCGACGAATAGCATCAACATGTCTACTAGATACTTGAGTCACTTAACTATGTGATATACTGTTACTTCTAGAAAGTAGATACATAAAATGTTTAGAACTTCTAAAATCTGTATAGTTTCTTTTCTTTAGTTCAATATTTCTTCTGACAAGCACATCTGCACATGTATTCTTATGAAATTTGGAGACTTTTTATAGGAATCAATTACGTTATCATTGAGAATGAAGCTGAGGTGTTGCATCCACAATGTTTGATTTGATTTGGTTATTGTTTAGTTTTACACCCAAAAAAAAGGAGAACTTTACTGATTTGTAACTGTTGATTTCACCAAATAGAGCCAAATTGCATTCTCTTTTGTCATGAGAGAAGCAATGCAGAGGATTTGGCTCTTTGTTGTCTTGACACTTGACAGAAAAAGAAACAAAATGACTCCATAAAAAAGGAAGATTTGTTTGATGATGATGTTTTGTTACATGTGTAGAGGGTCCTTTTCACTCACTGAGTCACTGTTGTGTAAAGTTTTGTATGTTTGTAAACATATGACTCTTCGTTTGTAGAGAAAACCATAAAAGGGTTTTGACTTTTTCCATTGAAGAACGACGCCTCTTATATAACTTTCCCTCACTTTACAACAAAGATTCGATTTTTTTCTACCAAACGAAAAAAAAAACGAAACTTTCCAGAGGAAATCGGAGATGGCGTTGTCACGACTTTCTCTCCGATCTAACAGTTTCCTGAAACCGGCGGCTACGGCCTTACCTACCGCCATCCGCCGCCATGTTTCCACAGATACATCGCCGATCACAATCGAAACCGCCGTCCCTTTCACTGCGCATCTATGCGACGCGCCGTCACGCTCCGTGGAGACCTCATCGGAGGAGATCCTCTCGTTTTTCCGCGACATGGCTCGGATGCGGAGGATGGAGATCGCCGCGGATTCCCTCTACAAGGCGAAGCTGATCCGCGGGTTCTGCCACCTGTACGACGGCCAGGAGGCTTTAGCCGTCGGGATGGAGGCGGCGATTACCAGGAAGGACGCGATCATCACGTCGTACCGAGATCACTGCACGTTCTTGGGCCGTGGTGGAGAGCTCGTGGACGCGTTCTCGGAGCTCATGGGGAGGAAAAGGGGATGCTCTAATGGTAAAGGAGGATCTATGCATTTCTACAAGAAGGACGCTTCGTTCTACGGTGGGCATGGGATCGTCGGAGCTCAGATTCCGTTGGGGTGTGGTTTGGCTTTCGCTCAGAAGTATTCGAAAGAAGAGAATGTGACTTTCACACTGTATGGTGATGGTGCTGCGAATCAGGGTCAGTTGTTTGAGGCCTTGAATATTGCGGCGCTTTGGGATTTGCCTGCGATTCTTGTTTGCGAGAATAACCATTGTGAGTCTCTTTTTTTGTTTTTGTTTTGGGCTCTGTGCTTGTGTCTGTTTGATTGAATCTTTAGTGAATGTTGTAGTGACCGATTGTGAGTAATTTTGATGTGTATAGATGGAATGGGAACGGCTACATGGAGGTCTGCTAAGTCTCCTGCCTATTTCAAGCGTGGAGACTATGTTCCTGGCTTGAAGGTGAGACTGAAATTGTCGTCTAAAGTCTTGATCTTGAGATGTTGCAGTGTTTTGGCTTCTATTGTAGTTTTATTGTCTCATTCATTCCTCGGCGTGTAGTTATATGGGGTTGTGTGTGTAGCTGAGACTTTTGGTAGAATATGTTAGTAGTGATGATAGCACTTTCCACACATATTGAGTGAGAAAGGAGGAACCTTTATGTGATATCTGTGATTGACAGTAACTTATTTGCCAATGGCATTGTCTCCAGAGTCTATATATCTTTGTTGTTTTAGTGTTTTATTGGTTTAGCCAATAGAATTGTATCCTTTGTGTTTTTTTTTTTCTGATTGGTGAGAGTGAGAGACCTTAAAGCTAAGTAGTGATCATCGGTCTGCTTTGTGTTCCAGGTGGATGGTATGGATGCATTGGCTGTGAAACAGGCATGCAAGTTCGCCAAGGAGCATGCGCTCAAGAATGGACCTATTGTAAGTTTGCACAATGCTTTTTATCTGTCAACAAGTATTACAGCTTCTTTGTTTGCAGTCTTTGGTGTTCCTATTGTTTCTTCTGAAATCGAACCTAATCAATATGACTCTCTTGAGCATTTTACGGGAAATTAGTAATTCATAGAATCATTTAGTGCTTGCATTTGTGGTGCTGGTTCTAGTAACGAAACTAAATGTTGAGTTCAGCTTCAAACCAAACTTCCTTTATTGCATTTTTGTCACCAAGCTCCAAGCATTTTGAATCTTGTGAATGTGGATCCTTATGAGTCATTCTCTGCCTAATCATATGACTAGCAACATAACATTGCCATTCATCTGCGCAGATCCTTGAGATGGACACCTACAGATACCACGGTCACTCTATGTCTGATCCAGGAAGCACCTACCGTACACGTGACGAAATCTCCGGCGTCAGACAGGTTAGCTCTTTGTTCACTTATAAGAATAGTACGTACTGCTCAAATCGTTAGAAATTTGAATATCATAAAATCTCTTGTGGCCTTTAGGTGCGAGACCCAATTGAAAGGGTGCGAAAGTTGCTCCTGACTCATGACATAGCTACAGAGAAAGAGCTTAAGGACATGGAGAAAGAGGTGAGGAAAGAAGTAGATGACGCCGTAGCTCAGGCAAAGGTAATACATAACCTCTTAGCTGTTTCTATCCCTGTCTTCGTTATCATCTGTATGAAACCATTTTTACTAATATTCTTCCCGTTTAAAATTGTTTCAGGAGAGCCCTGTACCAGAACCATCTGAGCTATTCACAAACATGTATGTGAAAGACTGTGGAGTCGAGGTACTGTATATGCTTCCCACTCCTCAATACCCTTTTAACAGAACATCTCTATTAGGATATTGTACTTTGCATACTTCGTAATAAGATGATTTTTACACGTTTTTTTTTTGTTTTTCCCATTTTATTTTGCAGTCATTTGGAGCGGACAGAAAAGAACTCAAAGTAACACTTCCATAAATCTTTGCTCTGCAGTATCTTATGGTTGAATAAATAAAAAAAAGCAAGGCCACTCAAAGTTTTTTTGTATCTTGCTACCAAAATATTTCTAGTTTTCATTCTCATTTCAAGAGTAAAGCCATTGCTTGAGTTTGCCATCTTAATTCCACTTTTAATACACACTTTAACATTGTTATTAATACCAGGTACCTTTTTTAATTATTTCAAGATTCAAGGATATATCAGGAAAATCGATAAAAGAAAACTGATATTTTTCGTATTTCCTCATCAGAATGAAACTGACCATGCTGTTGAATGTTCTGCTTGATAAACAAACTCATTTCTCTAATAAAAGTTTAGTCCACGTTGCTATTGATGACACTAAGCAAGAAGCTTCGGACATCAGTCTCTTTCTATATATTTGAGATAGATAAGTGAAGCAACAAGAGAGCAGTTAATAAGAGATGATCATCTTCTTTGTCTTTGAATATGAATGTCGACATGTGAGGACAAGATATCATCAAGAACCCGTGTTTAATTCGTTATCTGCAACTACAAATGACACATTTAAAATTATAATAACTTTTTTAAGATAAATAAAAAATAAAAAAACAAAACCAACTTCTTCGTCGGTAGCAATAAAAACCACATGAATTTTAATGTCCCTACCACCTAACTTCAATTATCTTTGCTTCTACTACACGTCCCTTTCTTATTCCCCCCCACATAAACACACCAAATCCTATTGAACAGGTAAACTCTATGACGCACTCGAAACTCTTTTATAATTCTGCATTTTCTTATTATATAATTTAGAATTCTTGTAACTACTAATCACTAATAAGAACTTTGATTCATTCTTCCTTCTTTAACCAAAATTTGATTCTATTTAACAGAAAAAAAAACATTTGGTTCTCCATTGGCTAGTAGAAACCAAACCTTGCCTATTTTTACTCTCAAAAATAGTTAGTTTGACAAGTTTATATAGTGTTCGGTGTGTCTAAACTATTCAAGAATATTCTCTAAACTAAATAAAAACATATCAAATCAAATACATTCAACGGAGATCTTAATCGTGTTCTCTTCTCATCCTCGAGAAAAAGTCATTCGCACACATCACATATCACATCGCAGAGAAAGTGAATATATTAACTAGGTGTTATAAAATATCTTTATATTGTATATGTTACGTCGAGTCGTCGAGCATGAGTTGCACTACCCAACGGGAATATTCGATATAATTGGCTCAGTAGTCGCTACCAACAGCCCAATAAAATACAAACCAGAGAACAAAATTTAAAATTAATGGTCCTAATGAAATTTTGCCGACAAAGAACATTTATCCTAATCAAAATTTGGATTATATGTTTCTTTTTTATTATATTTAAATTGTCAAACTTAGAGAGAATCATAACCTGGAGAGTCGTGAAAACAAATTGTATGAATGAATTGAATAGAAAAGAGTCTCATTCCTCGCTATGAATTCGCATGAACACATATTGATGTTAGTAAAAAGAGCCTAAAGACTTATAGTAACATATCTCTATACTGTTTTTATAAATCGCCTATGGTGTGCATCATTAACTTTAAAAATCATTGGTAAAATGATTGCGATTTGTGAGAGAATCTATAGTTTCCTTGTTTGGGTGTACACAAATCCAGTGCTTTTTATTTATTTCCACGGTTTTGTAATATAAGAGGAAAATTGTCATTTTCTTCCCTTAACATTCTTAGAAATATTATTTCCTCAGGAACCTATACCTTGCTTGCCTGTACCAAAAAAAAACTGATATTTTTAGCCTTTTGTAAAGCAATAATATATTATTTTGATTTATTTCCCAAAACATTCCTGCTAATTCTTTTTTTCTGGGGTATATTGCTTGCCAGTACGAAAATCACACAATTATTTTTTTTCTGTAAAATAAAAAGAATAAAATTCAGCATTTATATTGGCAAACATTTTCTGGTTTTCTAATGCCATTTTGCGTAAGAGATGATTGATTACAAGCAAATGTGTGTGCAGAGCACGTGACAAGTTGTGTTTCTCAACTTCTCATCTATTTAATCTCATCCGTTCAATCGCCACTGTGGACCCCATTACCCAAAAGCGAATCATCCAGCTGTTTCCCTCGAGTTTCCCAGCTGGCATCGTCTTAATGGGTGAAGACAAGTTTCCAAAACCCACCTTTCATTTTCCTTAAATAATTACTGTACACCCTTTCACAGACGAACACAGCCACTCACATTCAGATTATGTCCATTAGTTTTAACTCACCCGAAATCTTTAATTAACATTTTTGGTAATTAAGTTTAGGGAATTGCTCATTGCTCTATGTAAACTTTCCCTTAACGACTAAGCCTCATTACAGTTCTCACGCGCTTTTAATGTCCCGTGATTCTCACTCTCCTTAATGAGGAAACCAAATCATGAGAATCCAAAGCAAAAGCAATTGAGAAACATCTCTTTTATAACCAATCTTTCTTCTTCGTCGCTCTTCCTTATCTCTCCATCTCTTTGGAGAGACAACAATCTTAAAAGAACATTCTTGAAATCTATAATAAATCTTTTCAGAAACTTCTTCAATCTTGCACAATGCTAAATCATTAGCGGATTTAGAAGAAATAAAAGCTCAAATCTTTTTCTTCCTTCGCTTTGAACATAAACGCGTTTTTCTGATAATGCCGTCAAAAGCCGTCGTTTTAGCGGCGGTCTTGTGTTTGATTTCTCTGTCACCGTTTGCCGTCGGAATACGGACGGGTCCGGGGAGGATCACGACCGGAGGCGGCGGCGGACATGGGCGTAATAAACTGGGTCCGTTCATGGAGGCTCCGGAATACAGAAACGGCAAGGAGTGTGCGTCGTCGTCAGTGAACAGAGAGAACTTCTTGTCGTCTACCAACGACCCATCTCTCGTCCACATCGCGATGACTTTGGACTCAGAGTACCTCCGTGGCTCGATCGCAGCCGTCCATTCCGTTCTCCGCCACGCGTCGTGTCCGGAGAACGTCTTCTTCCATTTTATCGCCGCCGAGTTCGACTCGGCGAGCCCGCGTGTGCTGAGTCAACTCGTCCGGTCAACTTTCCCGTCGCTGAACTTTAAAGTCTACATTTTCCGGGAAGACACGGTGATCAACCTGATATCGTCGTCGATCAGGCAAGCCCTGGAGAATCCGTTGAACTACGCTCGGAACTACCTCGGAGACATTCTCGATCGAAGCGTTGACCGAGTCATCTACCTCGACTCGGATGTGATTGTGGTCGACGACATCACCAAGCTTTGGAACACTGAGTTGACCGGGTCACGTGTCATCGGAGCTCCGGAGTATTGTCACGCGAACTTCACGCAGTACTTCACTCCCGGGTTCTGGTCAGACCCGGAATTACCGGGTCTAATCTCGGGTCGAACACCTTGCTATTTCAACACGGGAGTGATGGTGATGGATATGGTTAGGTGGAGAGAAGGGAACTACAGGGAGAAGCTTGAGAGATGGATGCAATTGCAGAAGAAGAAGAGAATCTACGAGCTTGGGTCTTTGCCACCGTTTCTGCTTGTGTTCGGAGGCAATGTTGAAGCTATTCATCATAGATGGAACCAGCACGGTCTAGGAGGAGACAACATACAAGGAAGCTGTCGGTCTCTGCACCCTGGTCCCGTGAGTTTGTTGCATTGGAGTGGGAAAGGGAAGCCATGGGTGAGACTTGATGAGAAGAGGCCTTGTCCGTTGGATCATCTTTGGGAGCCATATGATCTTTATAAGCACAGGATTGAGAGAGCTAAGGATCAGTCTCTGTTTGGGTTTGCTTCTTTGTCGGAGTTAACAGATGATTCCATCTTTTTGTGAGAGTTAAAAAAGAAAATTACATTCGTTACAGATTTTACATTACATTTGTTCAGGTGATTCTTTGATTTTGTGGTGTACAAATCGATTTAGACAGGGAGAGGATATATAAGATATGGAATCCATTGATGAACCCTTTTGGTTTTTTTTTGAGAATTTTTTTCGTCTTGGTGCTCCTTGTGTTTGAATCTTTTGTTCTTAATAAAACTCATCTTGATGTGTCTGTTTAGATACTTTTCATTTGGATCATTTAAGTGTCTGGCTGGAAAAATATAATATGTTTACAATACCTATATTTAGTGATGACGTTAAATATGACTTTTGGGTATTTGGAATCAAACTTTTAGTTTTGGAGGAGCAATTATAGTTTGTTCATGTATTTTTTGCAACTCTTGTATATTATAACAAAAAAAGAATAAAAACAAACATTTGATTCTCCATTGGTTCAGTGGAAACCAAACATTGCTTATTTTTACTCTCAAGATTATATAGTGTTAGATAAAAAATTTGGATTTATATGTTTTCTGATTTACTATAATTAAATTGTTAAACATTGGAAAGAAACATAACCTGCTGAGTTGTGAAAACAAAATATATGAATAAATGTGGAATAGAAAAGAGTCTCATTAGTAGTGGTGAACACGCATGGATACATATTAACGTTAGTAAAGACTATAGTAACATGTATTTTTGTACTGGTTCCACACATTATCTAAGGTGCATTAACTTTAAAAATCATTGGTAAAATGATGTGATCTGTGAGAATATATAGTGGTTGTACAAAAATCCAATGTTTATAATTCTACTAATTTGAAGTATTAAAAAAAATGAAAAATATATTCAGACAAATGTATTTGCCTTTACAAAGAGGGTTCTCATTGAGAAAAGGCTTCATCGGTTAAGATTAAAAGAACCAAACTGGTAATGTCTAAAGAAAAGAGGGAGGGAACAAAAATTATTCTGCTAGGTAACTTAAGTTGTTGCAAAAATTCTTTGGGTTTTTTAAAAAGTTTGTGAAATTTCTTTGTTTTACGAACATTATAATTGGGTTAGGAGTATCAACTGAAGTTACAAAGTGTTCAGTTACGATTTGTTTGTATGAAAAGTATCAGAGCCAGATTGTTGAAACTACATTTGACTAGCTAGACTCGAAACTATAAACTTTTTAAAGTTATCACATCAACATTAACTGACTCGAAACTATAAACTTATAAAGTTTATCACTTCAAAGAGTATGTGAGAATAATGGCCTTTACCTATTGTTAGCAGTTGGCTGGGCTGGGCTGCAAAAGCCCATATATGTTTTTTCTATGTCATTTTAACTCCTCGTTGTTTCCACCGATGACTTATTAGGATGAGATCTATGTGGTCCCCGCACAGTCACAGGTGTCCTGAGAACAGCAGGCAAACAATAATTAGACCAATTTAGTTTTTAATTAATTGACAATCAAAGAAGCAAACTCGTAACTAGTTCGCAAGTAGCAGCACAGTGTTTATTGTCTCTGATCTCTCTCTTGATTGCAAGTTATCACTTCGACATTACTATGGTCCCACCGACTCTTGTCTCCATTGCCGATCTGAGTCTGATCTAATCTCTTCTTCTTCTTCTTCTTCTTCCTTACCCTTTTCATCTCTCTCACCCTCTAAATCTACATGTAAAAAAATTTCAGCTGAGTATTAAATTATCTAATAATTTATTCTTTACAAGGTCTTCATTTTTATCGTCAAAGTCATCCATCTTTGAAAGACATTGGTTTTAACTTTTAGAGAAACTATTTCAACTTTTTGGTGTGTCCACTCGAAGCAGAAATCCCAAACTCGCAAAAAGGTGGATCATCATCATATCATTGGGCGCTAACAACAGTTTTGTTTTGTGGGTTATCTTCACTTTTGCCTGGTAATATTTTTAGATCCTCGTTTCTCTTTTTGTTCTTCCTCTTAGATTCTCTCTCCTTCAAAGTGAAATTCAATCATTGATGAAGATATTTTTTGTTTCTTCAATTTCTTCAATTATTTGAATGGGTTTTTTCCATTTTAAGCACACATTCCACAAGAATCTGAGTTTGCTCACAAAGAAAGGTTATTATTGTGTTGTGCTTAGAGACTTACAAAAAGACAAAAGTGAAAGTAGCTAAAAGTAGATCCTTCGTTGCTTGAGATGAAACGTCTATGGCTAATACAAATTTCCTGGATTTTGTGTGAAACCAAGGTCCTTCTGCTGAGCATTAATGGGGGATATGCAAGTTGGTGTCGCCAATTTTGACGATAAGGTATTTTGTTCTTTTAGATCTCTGCTTAGTACGTCTCTGCTTTTGTGAGATCTTCCAAGTTCTAGACTTTGATTGTTCTGTTTTTCTTGGGGGATTTCTTGAATTTTCCATGGTTTAGGGTTTATATGGCTTGATGGAGGATAAACCGGTAAAGGCGGTGGCTTCATCGAACCCAGACCTGCAAGTGTCTGTTTCATTCGGTAGGTTTGAGAATGATTCACTTTCATGGGAGAAGTTCTCAGCTTTCTCTCCAAACAAGTACTTGGAGGAAGTCGGAAAGTGTGCAACTCCAGGATCAGTAGCTCAAAAGAAGGCTTATTTCGAAGCTCATTACAAGAAGATCGCTGAGAGGAAAGCTGAGATTATGGATCAGGAGAAACAAATGGACAAGAACGCCTCTTTTAGATCCATCGTCACGGATCAGGGAAGCATGGAAGACGAAAATGGCGGGTCGGTGACAGAGTCTGTGGTGGATGAAGAAGTATCTAATGAGCAGTTCACTTGTGAAGAAGATAAGCATGTGACTGACATTGTTGCTGAAGTGAGCATCGATGAGCTTCATGAAGAAACTATCATCGTCAAGGAATGTCAAAGCTCGGTTGATCAGGTTAAGGAAGAAGTCAAGTGTCCCAAATCGGATAAGTCAGAAGTGATTGCTCCTGTGGAGGAGAAACCGGAAGTGATTATACCAGAAGAGGTTTCACAAGCGAGAGAAGAAGTGAGAGAGCAAATTCTATCAAAGGATACTACTGGCGAAACGAATGAAACGCCAACGAAGGAGATGAGAAGAGAGAAAACCCAAAAGCTAACCAAGAAAGATGTAAACGTGGGGATCAGTCGTACAAGAAACTCTCCCAAGGTAAGCTTTTCAACTTCTTCGGAAGTTATTAAGTACAAAACATAGTTCTCGTGTCTTCATTTTGGTTTTTCAAAGACGCTCTTATTACTTTACTTGTCTCCAGCTTAATCAGGTGACCACAAAACCTACGACTAACAAGACTGTGACAAGTAGAAAAACTCCACCGAGCAAGGAGATCAGAAGCATGATGAAGCCAACAAAGAAACCAGCATCACCGATCTCAAGAGCCCCAACTCCAAGAGTGTACAAGCCAGCTTCACCAATCACCTCATTGTCTACGTCTCATTCGTCGATGAAGAAGGAAAATGTCTCGTCTTTACTGAGAAGCAAACAAACCGCTCCAAAGTCATTGCATATCTCTATGAATCTCGCTCCATCTGCATCCGATCCCACGGCTCTTACAGGCACTAGAAAGTCATTGATTATGGAGCGAATGGGAGATAAAGACATTGTGAAACGTGCTTTCAAATCGTTTCAAAAGAGTTATGACTTGAAAACTTCTGTCGACGAGCAAAACACAGCTCTAAAGCAGGTACATTAGTATCTTTTTTTGGTAATGTTTTGTAAAATTCGCCGATTGAGAAAGATTATCCACTGATCAGCTACTTAAACAACCAGAATCCTGCAAAGGCAACTAGTATTCCGTCATTAGCTACACGGCAGAAGGAAAATGGCAGGTATGTCTCTTGCTTAGGTTATTACTGAAACTTCATCATTGTTATGTTAGTGTGCTAAAGTTCTGTTCTTGTCCTAAAACCAGGACTACAAAAGCAAGTAGCATGGAGAAGAGAAGCATTACTAATGCTCATCAGTCTTCATCTCGTGGACTGAAAAGCAACGTGACAGCTGAGAAAGAAGTAAAGGAGGTAAATTATATCATCACTCTCATGACCAAACTAAACATGAAGGAAGGTTTACTCTTAACAATCTCTGTGTACCCGAGCTAATACTTTCTTTATGGTGTTTCAGCTTTCCAAGTCTGGTGTAAGACCTGTAGAGAAGACACGCTTGCAGAAGAACCCAAAGGTTTTACACAGTTTTTCACTTTATATAAATCCCGGAAGATATATTCTTGGTCTCATTACTTTTCCATGTTTTGCAGGCAGGAGTGATTGATGCCAAAACCCGAAAGGACACTCTTAATCAGAAAGCAAAACCGGTGCAGGGATCTCTTCCGGTACGAACCTTACCAAAAGGATCTTTAGACAAGGTGTTATGATAGTGTATGAGTCCGGTGTTTTAGTCTGATCTTATGGATGAAGCTTAAGGCAAAGATCGCCCACCAGTGTTGAGATAAAGGAACCAATGATCTTTTGTTATATATAGAGAAGTCTCTAGTTACCAGTATGTAGCTGTGGAAGGAGTAATAATAAGCCTAATGTTGATGAATAGTGATATTTTACATTCCTGTGGTATGTGTATAGACCATGAGGATTATATGATGTTTATTATAAACAAATTGAATCAGTCTTGTTTATGTTCACCTGATAATAACTACACAGTGAGTTATTCTACAAACCAATCATTTAGAATTGTGATCCCTGCAGTTTTTTTTTTTTAAGATGATTTAGAGATACCATTTTGGGTTTGATCTTTCAGCTCCCTGTGTAGAAGACTGTTTCGTAAGAAGACTGTTTCACCTTTTTGCAAGAAGACTGATTCGTAATATGAACTAAACTCAAACTGCGAAACTCTGTACTTATATCTTGTGATGAACACTGCAGAAGAAGAAGAAAAGCTTCGGACTAAATAATTTTAATCAACACTTCAAAAAGTTATTCAACCAAAAGAAAAAATATAATCAATACCCAAAAGATTCTATTATTTACAACCAAACAAATCTCAGGCTCTTTCTTCACCTTTAACCTCTCCTCTAACCAAATATGATCATCATCATCATGAATCGACATGGGCTATGCAAACTCACATATCGGAATCTGACCCATCAGAATCGCTTTTCGATCTCTCCGACATGAAATTCGGAGGCAGAACCGGAAACTTAACCGCGCTCCGCTGCTGAGGAGGACTCCCCATGGCTCTCCTCTGCAAGTTCCTCGCGATCTCTACGCAGACTTTATCAACCATACCAAGAAAATCTCTAACGATGACAAACAAATGAAGCGGATTCCTCCCTTTCAGAGGAGCTCCCGCTTGGTAATACTCTGTTGTCCTCTTCACAAGCTCCATCACTCTCTTCTCTTCTTCTCTCGCTAGCTTCACTTCTTCCTCCACCGAATCAAGAAACTCAACCATCTTCTTCACGAACCTCTCCCCTTCTCTGTTCTCCCCTCCGCATTGCTCCAAGACTCGTCTAGCGTCTTTCGCTCTAGAGGCAAGAGCCAAGCACGTCGCCGAAACCGTCTCGTAGTCTATCGCTGCAGCTTTCTTGACGTTGGAGAACTCAGTGCTTAACCCTCCAACCACAGGTAAACCGAGTCTCAGATACTCCTTCTCTTGCTCTTCCTTTGATATAACCTCAGAGATCGAATTGCTAACGGTTCGGTTTAAGCTCTTCCGGTTTACAACGCATCGTTTACCTTCCGATCTAACCACTTCTTCCACCACGAAGTTAAGCAGGGTGGTTCTCCCGTCGACGCTCTTCACGTCGGAGAGTTTCAAAAGCGCGGTGAGGTTGAAAGCTTGAGCGTCTCCTCTAGCTGTTCCCGCGTTCATCCTGTTCCCAGATTTCAGTATCGCCTCGAGGAGCTTAACGAACAAGCCGCGTGATCTGAGCTCTGCGCAGGCAGAGTCCAGCGTCTGGAGAGATTTGTTGTGGTGAGTGATCTCTGGGTAGTAATTGGCTCTGAAGAGCAACGCGTTGATGCGAGTGAAGGCGCAAGGCACGGACTTTAGGAGATGATACAGGAACGATTCCGCGTCGGCGAGCTTCGTTGCGTCGCCGTCGAATTTGAGGATCGCTGACTGTTCTTCTTTCGTCGGAGCTATTCTCGAGAGCCTCTCGAGTGTGTCTGGGTGGAAGTCGTTGCCTTCCATTAACGATTCCACGAGCTCGTCGCGGGACATCCCTAGGGATTTGAGCACGATTGCTGTGTTTTGGGATTTTCTCGGGTCGAGGATGAAGATCTGGGTCGGCGAGACTGAGGTGGGCTTTTTGTTATCGCCGCCGTGATCGGGAGATTTCTTTCCGACGGCTACGTAGCCGAAGAGAGCCTCCATTAGATCGCCATCGAAACTGGGGAAGAAACACCAATTGGATCAATATTTGGGATTTTTGTCGACAAAAAAACTGTAAAGAGATCGAAATTTGATTGATTGATTTGATACATACCTGAATGAGCCACGATCGATTTTGTCCCAAACCATGGAATGATCGGGATCAGGGTTGACTTTATCCCAATGGAGAGGCTTGAGCTTGACCTGACCATTTCCACCACTTGAACCTTCCCCTGAAGATGATCCTCTAGGAGCCGGCGGTGGTTTTGACGCCGATGAAGACAGAGCCGCCGTTTTCTTCAACGGCGGAGGTGGCGGCGGAGAAGGACCGTTCTTAGCCGAAACAGGCCTAGATGGAGGAGGAGGGGGAGGCGCCGGCGCTGGTGCACTCTGTTTAACCGGAATTGGAGGAGGCGGTGGGGGAGGCGGATCTGGTTTGGCGAATTCGAAAGAATCGGACTTTACAGGAGGAGGAGGAGGAGGGGGATGTGTGGTAGCGACATTCCGGTAACTATCGTTGTGAATTACACTGTGAGAAGTCGAGGATCTTCCTCTGAGAAGAGGAATCTCCGGTACAGGTCCCGATTTCTTCTTGTTCCTTGGATAAATCACATTCTTCTCATCTCCGTGAACGATCTCTTTTCGAAAGCTTCCGTTTTTATTGTCTCTCTGACTCTGCGACTTTCTCCAATACAACACATCGAGTCCGTTCTCGTCCAAGATCAAACCTTTGACGTTTCCGCCGTATCGGGTAAAGCCCTCGCGAGCCAAAGCCGCTTCCGCCAGCGGAGGAACCGGCTGGAGGGTGTTGTTCTCGACGCCGACTCTGTCCATCCGTCGTTGCCGCCGCCGTCGCCGGCACATATGGACGAAGAAGAAGAACACAGCTGCTACAAGTAACGTGCTTGCCGCCGTTATGAGCACAGCCCTTGTGATCTTTTGTCTGTCCGAAGACGACGATGGTGGATTTTGCGGCGGAGGTGGAAGCGGTGGAGGCGGAGCGGGGAGGCCGGTGACATTTGGGAAAAAGGTTTCGATGTTTCGGGGAGAATCGGATTGAGAAGAGGAAGGATTAGGGAAAAGGAGAAGAATCAAAGAGAGCAAAACTAGGGTTAAATGAGGAAGAAGAAACGGTGGCCATGGCTGCTTCGACATGGCAGCCATGGAGAATCAGCTCATTTGCAAGAGAATTGAGATCAATGTAAGGGTTGAAGAAAGGAAATCCGCAAAAGGTAACGTCTTTTGTTATCTTTCGTTTCAATTGTCAGTTTCAGAAAAACTGAAAAAAGTAATTAGCTAATCAGATTAAAAGATTATGTTCTCTGTGGGTTTTTGAGTTTTCTTTGGGACTTTTTGGGTTTTTTTAGGTATTGTGTTGTTAACGACGTCTACAAGCAGAGTAGTTGATCTGTTTCTCTAAGGAATTTGTATGTGTTTACATTACGAAAATACCCTTGGGTATGGAACTAACAGCGTGAAATACAAGGGACGCTCTGGTCATTTTCTCTCGACTTTCGAAATATTTTCTTACAGAAGACTCCGCGTATTCGCGTAAGTCTTGTTGTGCCGTGAATGAAGTTTTGGTTGGTGGGGTTGACCTTATCTTTGACTTGGTCTGAACGAGTGCTCGGTCTTTTGATTTTGATTTTGATTTTGATCCTTTTTTTTTTCGAAAAAGAGAGCAAATTATTAGATATTTGGGGGTTTAGTTAGTGTCAAATTACTAGTATTATTTTAGACTTTGTTCTTCATTGTTCTAGACTTCTAGTTACCTTTTAATGATATGTGAAAACAAATCAAATTGAATCACAAGTCAAAGAAAAGGGTAACGACGCTTTGGAAACTTTTGAACATTTCTTTAAACAGATTCAAAGGCGTGAAGTTAGTAAGCCAATTAAAAAAAGTCACGAAGCTACTATAAAAACATAAATAATCAATTCCTTGCCTCCTACCTATCATAAAAGAGGAAAAAAAATCAGAGATCTTATAGACTATAGAATAAGAATGTGAAAGAAATATTTGTGTAGTGTCCCCGTTTCTCAATTGATATAGTTTTATATTTTTGAAATCAAAAATATTATTTTTTTCGAAATCAACCGCTACCGAATCTTTCGAGCAATATATGAATATTAATGATAGTGGGTTTACCAAAAAGGTATCAAAAATTGAAAAGACTACCGGAAAATTATGAAAATGGAAGATGTGAACGTGTAGTAGATGTGTGTAACCAAAGGTGCATATATTGAAATTTTCTTTATGTTTGATCAGCTTGAATTGAAAGAAACAACTGCTAATCTTAGTAGTTAATACGTAGTATATAAATGGCCCCTCGTTTAACTTTAATGCGCGACGCGGTATTACACTCGTCAGAAGAAGAAACTAAAAAGATTTTATACTATAAGTTAAGTTAGTATATTAAATAGTCTTCTATACTACTATATTAAAACGAAATTGCAAAATTGACCGATATGTTTTTGTCTCTTCGGTGAAACATGCCAAACCGGTCAACTCCACAATTACCAACCAAACCGTTTTCTTCGTCAAACTTGCAGACTTTTTTTTCCCTCTTATTTTTTCAGAATTTTAACAAACTTCTAGAGACTATAAACTAATGTTTTGTTTTCTGGAACTTTTTTTTTTTTTTTGACTAAATTGTTTTTTGGAACTTGGTGACTATACACTATAGTTCATGATGACCTAATTGGAGTCATGATAGACCAAAAGTTTCCAAACCCTAATTGAACACCAAATTGAATAATATATTCCCCGCATATTCATGACAAAGCGTTCCAAATTCCAACTAAATGTTTTGTGTCTTTGAGTTTTGACTGTATCGAGTTCCATTATTACTTTCCGACTCACGAGAAGATAATAATATGCTTCATGCATGACTCGACTATAAATTGATCACCCATGCAAGCATTTCAACCTCACTTGAAATAAGAAAGCTATTTTGTAGTAATAATTGATAATCGAAGCTGTTTTTATAAAGTATAAAACCTGAAGATGTTTGGATTCGGATTTGGATGCTTCCTGACGATCGTCTCTTGTGTGGTAATGATTGCTCAGGCGGTTATGAGTCTCGCTATTACTTTAGGATATATTTAGGAGGTAAATATGTTCACCTCCTAATAGCTTTTTGAATTTATAAATTATCATATGCTATAATAATTGTAATCGATCGGCTTATATGTCAGATCTCACAATGGATTATTAAATAAATCATGCTTCTTATTTACTATATCTATTTACTCAATTTTCATGTTTGTGTGTGTGTGTGTGATTGACGCTTGATGCTATATTCTAAAATTCTTAATCATTTACGTTTTGCGTAATACTATTGTTTCTTTTATGCTCTTCCAAACTTTAATTAAACCAAATATCCAGAACATTCTCATCAGTTACTACAAGGATTGTTTACGTTTCTCTCAATCCGTTATGAAGGGTATGCCAAAACCCAAGTAACCATAATAATATGATACAAATGAACCTTGTCATATAAAAGTATTTATGATCGGATTAATGGTTAATTAATAATTGAAAACTCAAATATGATCATAATTAATCTCAAAGTATTTTGACGGTCACATACGCATTGACGATACATGGCATGCATAGTCATATAAAAAGAACCATTCATCACCATTTTTCCTCAAACCTTTAAACCAGATTTCAATAATTCATCAAAGTGGAGATCAAATGTATTGGAGTTTTTTAGTTTCGAAATGGTTTGATTCGGCAAAACAAACGATGAATGTTCACAACATCATCTTCCCAAAGGCTGTAAAGGTCCAAGATATTACGAAAAGAATATGACAATATGAACGAGGTTTTCCATTTTAATAGTATAAAAGAAAATGGAAGATGTGAACGTATAGTGGTGTGACCAAAGCACGAAATATTGAAATTGCTAATGTTAGTGATTAATACGTAGTATAAATGGCCCCTCGTTTAACTTTAATGCGCGATGCGGTATTACACTCGTCGGAAGAAGAAACTAAACAGATTTTATAATACTACTATAAGTTAGTATTGAATAGTCTTCTATATGTATTTGAACGAAATTGCAAACCTGACCGATATGTTTCTGCCTCTTCGGTGAAACATGCCAAACCGATCAACTCCACAATTACCAACCAAACCGTTTTCTTCTTTCTTAGTCAAACTTTTTAGACTTTCTGTTCCCTCTTTATTTTCAGAATTTTAACAAACTTATAGACCTACTATAAACTACTGTTTTTGACTAAATTGTTTTTTGGAACTTGGTGATTATACACTATAGTTCATGACCAAAAGTTTCCGAACCCTAATTTGTTGAACCCCAAATTGAACAATATATTGGGCTACAACAGTAAAGATCACTCATTAACAATTTTAATTTAAGCCCAGATTGATTCCCCGGCCGCATATTCATGACAAAGCGTTCCAAATTCCTACTTAATGCTTTTTAGTCTTTGAGTGACTATGAGAAGATAATATGCTTTAGGCATCATGACTCAACTATAAACTGATCACCCATGCAAGCATTTCAACCTCACTTGCAAAAAGAAAGCTATTTTGTAGTAATAATTGATAACTGAAGCTTTTTTTATTAAGTATTCTGAAGATGTTTGGATTTGGATGCTTCCTGACGATCGTCTATTGCTTCGTAATGATTTGCCAGGCAGTAATTGGTATCGCTACATGTATTAGGAAATAATTGGAGGTAAATATGTTTACCTCCTAATAGCTTTTTGAATCTATGAATTAGCATATGCTCGAATAATTGTAATCGATCGGTTTATATGTCCGATCTCACAGTGGATTATTAAATAAAGCATGCTTCTTATCATTTTCAATTTTTTTTTGTGTGTGTGTGATTGACGCTTGATGCTACATTCTGAAATTCTGAATCATGTACGTTTTGTGTAATATTGTTCTTTTATGCTTTTACAAACTTTAAAAACAAGTATCCAGAACATTTTTATCAGTCATATATTACAAGGATTGTTTACGTTACTCTCAATGCGTTATGCAACTTCTCTGGTATTTGCAGTGTCTGAACTCTCTACATTAATTTTGACTTGTTGTCTGATTCTCTTCTTTTTTTTTTTTGTTAGCCCACAAATTATGGGTTTAATTAGTTCATAATCTACATTAGTCTGCTTATATTTTAGCTTTTATGAACCATGAAATCATTGGCCTAATCTACTCTCTTCCTGCCGAGGGTAAGGCATTTGTTACCCGATCCCAATAATCGTTATAATAATACAGTAGTCAACAAAATTACTAGAATTAATCGGTTGGCAAAAAAAAAAACAATTATATAATACAAGATTGACAAAAAAATGCAGTTAATACAGAACGTTTGGGGTTATATTATATTCAATAAAAAAAATGACAAGTACTCGAGCGATATCATTAAAATATGGACGTCTTTCAAACTTAAATCCAAATGTTTGAAATTTTCAAAATTGAGAATTAGAAAATAGAATCTAAGATTTTAGGGAAAAATTGTAGATTAACGAAAAAGTATGAATCAAAGTTAAAATCTTAAACTTGCCAGCCCGTCCATTTGAAAGTTTAAATTGTAACCTTGCATTAAAGAAGAGTGTGTACTGTTTCGTTTATGAGGAACTATGAAGGTTATGCCAAAGGTCTAAAACCCAAGTAACCGGTCCATAATAATAGTAAACAAATGTACCTGGTCATATAATTAATCTCGAAGAATTTTGACGGTCACATACACATTGACGATGTATGGCATGCACAGTCATAAAAAGAACCAATCGTCACCACTTTTCCTTAAACCTTTATACTAGATTTCAATAATTCTTCAGAGTAGAGATAAAATGTTTTGGAGTTTTTTAGTTTCGAAATGGTTTGACTCGGCAAAGCAAACGATCAATGTTCACAGCTTCATCTCCCCAAAGGTTGTAAAGGTCCAAGAGATATTCTCGTTTGCAATTAACAAGCTCAGGGCCGGCCATGATGGTTTCTTCGCTGCGACAGTTGCTAAAAGTCGCAATTTCTTTGTTATGGTTATTGCAAATTTTGGATGTTCCTTCTCTGATGTGACTACATTCTTTCGCCTTGTTCAGAGATTACAAAAGCCGTTCACCCTAACGATGGACTTATTTAATATCTTGGGCAGTGAGGTGGCGATTCTTAGCAAATTCCTACTAATCGTCTTCAAAATCCTTAGCACGATTTTCTGATTGGGAAACTATCACCGGTGAAATGATTATTCTAATTTATCTGATACTTCTGTTGAGAATGCTCTGAAATTAATTGTTTTTATTCTAATGTAATTGAAAGTTGTTTTTTTTCTAAGGAATTGCGTGATAAAAGTCATTTTCTGTTGAATTGAGCAGCTATATTTGTTCTAATGAATTATTTACTTATGCTGTTATTGTTTTCATTTAATCACTCATCTTTGTATACAGTGTCAAAAGTCTTTTCATCTACGATTCTTCTTGTACTTCGATTCTCCAACTTCTTTGAGGTTTACTTGATACACACACATTTCCTTCCATTTGCTCCGGTCGAAAACACATCAATTTTCTTGAAATTAAACGGGATCTTAAAGGCAAGGTCGTTACTGAAACTAGTGGATTATCTTCACAACTTCGTAACCATATTTAGAAAACGGAAGGATGTGAAGAACTAAGTTGAACAAAGTTGAATACATGCCTTCGTGACTAATTTAGAAGACAGAGAGAGATGAGGTCGTGACTAATTTATTGTAATTTTCTAAACTAAATACAATAAATTTCCTGAGTTTGTAGTTTATTGAAGAAATTATGTTTTTTTTTTGCAATTATTGTTGTAAAAAATGTTTGTGTGTATCATCGGGGAAAATATAGAAACAAAGAAAAATATTTTTGCCACAATAACTGGCTTACTAAAGAAGGTGGTCCGAAATGTCCATATAATAACAAAAAGAAAACTTAAGACAAAAATCTATTTTTGTTTTCTCTCAATCTTGTTTATGACTTTGGCCATGTTTATTTTTAATATATAAATAAAATATGAAGTCGTATTCTATTGCACGACTAAAGTTATGTTGGCACACATAAGTTAAGGAAAATTGGCTCCAAGAATCCCATAACTTCATAAATTAGTCAAATAAACATACGTTAAAAATAAAACAAAACTATCTATGGTTTGTGAATATTCATGTAATGTTTTCTCTTTCCTTTTTAATTAGGGAAAACATATTTTGTAACAGTATAATTTTGGAACAAAAGAAAGTACATAATTAAAACTTATGATACATGGCAACACACATGCATATATGAAACGAAGAATCATAGAAATAGCAAACCAACTACAACGTTCGTATAACAACATACTGTATATAATATGTATTCAAAGTTAATAACCCGATCATCAGTGGCCAGGTATGTCTTCACAGCGCTCGGAGATTGGGGTGCACGTTAGGGGTGTGCCTTGAATCCCTACGCAGCGTTTGGTGATTACACACCTTATACAGAGGAAGGACGAGTCGCCTCTTGGAAGAGGACTGAACTGATCATCTGGACCAACATTGGTCGCCATGTTTTTAAATTTTTTGGCTTTGGCGCCTCCACATTTTCTTGATGCGCTCGGTGAAGTATCAATTTTGGAGCTTCTGCTGCCATCGCCTTCCAGGTTCATCAGCTTGAACGTTGTCTCTTCTGCATCATACAACTCACACTTTGGATTATTGCGTCTGAGCCTTTGGTAATTTCAATGATGTATAGCTCTTTGTATGTATCTTGAACTAATTAACGAGGCGCAATATTACAGTAAAATTTCTATAAATTAATACTCGATAAATTAATAATTACTATAAATTAATAATTTTTGCCGGTTCCAAGTCGGGCTAGTGTAAAAATTAACAAATTTCGATAAGATAATAAGATAATAATTTTTTTGAAACTTCTATGTAAAAATATAGTCCCAATAATTAGATAAATTAATAATTATACATTTAAGCATATATAAATAATATAATCTAGTAAAATATAATTATATTATTTTTTAAAGTTTATAAAAATTGTTTGATTTATTTTTTTAATTTACTAATTTGATATTTTCTGAATAAATTTATATTGTTGAAAACATTTTTATGTTTTTTTTACAAATATTTTGAATTTAAACTGAAATATCTCTCTATAAATTAATAATTATTAATTTGCCGATTAATTAATAATTATTAATTTATCGATTAATTAATAATTTTATAAATTAATAAATTTTTGAAATCCCAACATTATTAATTTATAGAAATTTTACTGTAACTACACAACATATTCCACCAGACTGGAATTAAAAAAACAAGATACCGGTACTCATAATTATGTATTCTATATAAAGCAACTGATTAAAGTCGAATTTTTTTTTATAGAAGATGTAATTTTTCTATTAATCTGGAAAATAAATTACTTAAAAATTGATATAAATAATAATAAAAAGATGTAAAAGAGATATGATTTTCTCAAATAACTAGAATAAATATAAAGTAAGAAAACTATGTGAAAACATGTATATGGATCAAATCTTTTAATATTATTACCATATCTTTTAAAACTACAGTAAGTAAATATGAATATCATCAGTTAGTAAAAAAAAAAAAACTCACTGATCAGTTTGCGGATTTCAGTTTGGGCACCGAAAGCTTGATCATCCATATGAACCGAAAACACGAGAAGAAGAAATAGCATGGAAGAGACAACTGTGGAAGATGCCATCTTAATAATTCTCTCTGTTATATTATCACTAAGTCTGATACCTATTTTAGTTTGCATGCGTATCTCAACTTAATCACTGTGACTCGTGTTTATTGCATTTATAAAGAATAGAGAGGTAGAGATAAGCGAGAGATGAACATATGGTAGAGACGTAATCGGTAATCCAAATAAAGGTGGTCAAGATAAGAAAGAGAGAGCTTACTCAAAGATATGTACGACTTTTCATTAGTTTGTCACTTGTGGGATTTGGGTTTTAGTGGTCTCAGCACACCATGTTTTGGTATACGCAGGGGGTTGCATTGCATTATTTACGTGGGGGCAGCTTTGTACTTTAATTTACTTACAATAAAGGAGTTGACACTTGACTTGAGATTCAGTACGTACAAATATTAGTGTTTCTTCCGATTTAAATATAGAGAATATTAGTCTTTAGAGATCGGGTCGGTTCTGACTTTTCCTAGGTATAAACCGAGTTTTAAAAATGTCGTATTCTTAAAAACATTTGGTCACATAAATAATCTGGTATATCCGTATATGCTTTTGAGTTTTGAAGGAGAATCACAGGCGCGCACTACTTAATTATTGCAATACAAACCATATAAACTGGCGAAGCAAGGAGCCCTGAAGATCGATCCTACATATTTTCCATTTTTTATGTTTCCTCATGTATTACGCTGGTTCGATTTACAATTTATGAGAAGGGAACATATATTAAGAAATGTAGAAATGAGTAGGTTTTACAACAGTAAAATTCACAAGGAAGAAAATAAGACAGGCGTTTATATATTATGAACTACTAATAAAATATTGGGGAAAATAGATCAATAATTGTAAGAGACAAAGACCAAGCCTCGAACAGACGGCTACATCATATACAATGATAGATATAAAGGAGTGAACCACACGAACTGTTGAAAATTCTAAAGGAAAAGTCCCATAAATATTTGTCTTGGCACTGTCTCTCGAGAAAAAAAGATACTAATGTGTTTTAACAAAAAAAGATATGCCATTGTGATTTTCCTGGAGAAATCTGTCTCTATTAACGAACAATTGTTTTTGTAGTGTTTGATTCTATTCTTGAAATTTCCAGATCAAACAGAAAGGTGTGGAATATTTCATTAATGTGTTCTAACTTTTAATAAAGTAAAACAGGATTTGGCTTTTGTCAAGATATTTCAAAATCAAATTAAATCCTTTACTAAAACAATATTGTGATTTGAATATGAAATTATCTAGGTGAACCCAAAAAAAAAGGTGAACAAAAAAAATGAATATGAAATTATCTTTATGACCACTTTAGAAGAGAAGTTTTGTCTAGTTCACAAAATTATACAAATGTTACGTGGAGTAGATGGTGGTGAGAAAGAAAATGACGAAATCGAGGATGGAGATGAGAATGAAGGTGAAAACAACGGCGAAATCGATGATGGAAATGAAAATGACGAAGACGTAAAATCTTATTAATGGGCAATTAATAGTTGAGAACTCGAATATGAAGATCATAATTAAACTCAAAGAATTTTGACGGTCATGGCATGCACGGCCATATAAGAAGAACTATCGATGACGCTTTTTTTCTCACAACTCCTTAACAAGTTCCATAACATATAACTTTAGAGAAGAGAACAAATGGTTTGGGGAAATTTGTTTTCGACGGTTTCGAAATGGTTCCATTCTGCTACACAAAAGGTCAAGGACTTACTCTCCTCACCAATGGCCAAGATTCGTGGTTTCTTGGCCACAATTATTGCTAAGCTCCGCAATTTCTTTGTTGCTGCTATATCTAAGCTTTGTGGTCTCTTTGCCACAATTATTGCTAAGATCCGCAATTTCTTTGGTGCTTCTATATCTAAGCTTCGTGGTTTCTTCGCTGTGTTACTGCCAATGTTCGCAGTTTCTTCTCTGCTGTGAGTACGTTATTTCGCCTTATTCAGAAATTGCAAAAGCCACTCAGCGTAACAAACGACTTATTGAATCTATTGGAGAGTGAAGTGCTGCTTCATAGCAAATTCCTTCGTATCCTCAAAATCGTTAATCGATTTGGAGATTTCGGAATTACCTTCTGTGGAATGGTTCATCTTTTTGTTCTAGTTTATGGTATGTTCTAGATTATTAATATAAAAAATTAGTTGCAAAATGAAACTCAATATATATTGAAACAGCTATTGTTGTTTTATGCCATTAAAAAATAATGGATTATCAATTTTATATTAATTTATATGACTACTCGTCTTTCTATCGTCGCCGATCGCTCCTTTACAATCGTTTTTATATTCGTTTATTTAACATTTTCTTAGTGCTAACTTAATTTACACACCTATAACTTAATTTTGTTGGAATTTTTTGTCGAAAAGTTCAGTTTGAATTCATTTTCATTTTCATTTCGTATCTAATTTTATTTTTTAATTTCGGAAATAACGTTTTTTTAATTACTTTCTTTAGTACCGTCAGAAATTCAATGCGAAAATATGTATAAATACATACATGTACATAGTTAATACTAGAAAGATGGGTATAATATTTTGGAGGAAGAAGCATAATGGGTAAATAAGTGACGCTAAGGATAGGAAGGAAACAAAAAGAAAAATTAAGTGAAAATTAACACATTTTTTCTCTCTTTGCCGTGTTTACAACTCACAAACTCAAACCCTCATTTTGAATCTGGATTTTGACACAGTAGCAAAACAAATACATGAACAAAAATAAGTTTTATAGCTTGTAATATGATCCAAAGAATGTGTATTTTAAAATCCTTTTTATAGGTATATAATTAAATCAAGAAAGATTACAAGATGTGTATATATATGATGATGAATTACATGGGATATGATAAATCACTGAATAAAAAAACGACATTATGCCCTAGTATTCATTGACAAGTCCCGCGTGTGCCTAAGCTAAGGGGATCCTCTTACATCTGGCGTAAATGGTGCATAATTCCGTCTTGTTGCTTTGCCCTTGGGGCTTGGCTTGATCAAGATTGGTTTTGGACGGCTCCTTTTTAGTGTTTTTTGATCCACCTTTCGTCGACTCGCTGTGGTGAACCGCACCTTTGGAGGCGGGCCCATTGCCTTGCAAGTTCCTCCTCATGGCCATTGTCACTTTTGCTCCACCTACACATTACACATGACATACAGTATACAGAGCGTCAACCCCTCAGTAATTAATAAAGTAAAACAGTAAATGAGTTGGAACTAATCTAAATTTGCGTAGATATATATCTCACTTAATTCTCGGTGTTCCATATGGCCGGCAAAGGCTTTTCCATCAACGAAAAATGACAATATGAAGAAAACAAGAAATAAAATGATGGACGAGAGTATAGACGCTGCCATCTTTTTCTAGTGATACTTTACATTTCAAGCATTTATACAGTATAGAATAATAGAAGGAGAGAGAGGGCTTGACGTGTCTTTCACGTTTGCCGGTCAAATGGGTTTGCAGTTTGCACTGCGTTATTCAAGTGGGCCAACTTTGTGTTTTTCTTTATTTTTCCATTTTTAATAAACCATAGCGAATGCTGCTAACAAAAGGTGTAAAAAAGGGGTAAATTCGAACACACGGCTGTATATAATAAAGAATTGAGCCACATGCACGTTGAAAATTCCATGAAATATTATTGGCTTCTCTGCTTATGGCCATTATTATTTGTTTCGTGGAAAATACGTTTCTATTGACCAATTCTTTTTGTACTGTTTGACTCCAGTTGAAGAATCTGAATCAGAATCTGCTTGAATTTCTCAGAAGAACAGAAATGTGCGGAATGTTTCTTGCCGAACACTACAAGAATTGGACAGCATTGCCGAAGTACCTAATAACTATTTTCTTTAGTCTTTACAATTTACAGAGCGACATATGGTACAAAGAGAATGCTTTTTTTTTTTTTTTTTTACATTCTGATTCATACCATTTCTAAGATACTAATTTGTTTTCCTTGTTATTTATTTACTAAAACATATTTTAAGGTTTTTAAAAAATAAATTTTCATATTTTCAGATCAATATTTATATAGTTGACCCAAAAGTATTTCGATCTATAAAAGAGAGGAAAATGGAGAAAAGTGGGCTGGGTGGCAACGTATAATCTCCAACTCCGTTATCTAGCTTGAAGAATATAGTTAACCAATAGGAATCAGATATGGCCTCCTACATCCACTTCACGAGGTTATCACGTACTAGTTTCCATAACTAAAACAGCTTTGATCAGCGGTTTTATGTGTTCCCAAGAAAACTCGTACAACCACGTTTTAGTTGCGTTCTAGTATTTATTTTCAGTGATATATCTTGAGCTACCTTAAAAGAAAACATCATTTGTTCCAAGCCCCAACCGGTTTTTTTGAAAATTTTGTTTATCAAAATTTTATAACATCTTGATGATTTTCTATTAAGATAATCCTCAGTGAATAAAGTGTAATTTATCCCAAAAACTCTTATTTTTATCTAAAGTTACCTATGATTTAATTAATTTTGTCGGAAATTTTGTAAAATAATCTTATTTTTATTTAGTTTAACTTTCATTTTGTTTATAGCTTTTTAGTCTTTTTAATTAATATTTAATTTCATCGGAAATAAAGTTTTTTAAAATTAATTTCTTTAATATGGTCAGAAATTCATTGCAAAAGACATATTAAAAAAAAAATACACTTAGCAACTCAAATGTATATTTCTTTAGAAAGATGGGCATGCTGGCAGCTGGAGGAAGACGAAGAATGGTTAAAAAAGTAGATTATGCTCTCTAGAGCTTTATTGAAAGCTAAAGATAAAAGAGATATATAGCTCATGAAGAGCTTTAATCTGCAAAGTAAATAGAGAAAAGGAGAAAGCTTGAGATTGTCTTCAAGAACTTATAATGATTTGCGATAGATATTCATAAAAGGAAAGGAAGGAGAGTTGCTTTGAAACAACTCTCAAAATTACGTTCTTCGTTGTCATTACAAGCATATATATATGAACCTAAACTTGCTAGAACCCTAATTACATTGGGCTTGTATGGGCTTCCACAATATAACAAATATTGGGCCTTTGTGGGCTTCAATAACGCTTACATCGGCTGTAATTGGTGCCGTTGCAGACTGGCTGGGCTTCACCTATACAATTGTGATAGTTGGTGCTGTTGCAGACTGGCTGACGCTTGAGGGAATCGTATCCAAGATACTTTCTTTGCCCTTGGGGCTTCGCTTGATCAGGATGGGTTTTGGACGGCTCATTTTGAGTTTTTGATCCAGCCTTATCCGACTTACTCGGATGAGCTCCAATTTTGGCGCCTCCATTGCCTTGCAAGTTCCTCCTCATAGTCATTATCTCTTTTGATCCATCTACAAATTACACATGACGTATAGAGCGTCAAGCCTTTTAGTAAGTTCAATGGTGATTAATCTCTACGCTATGATATGATTCATAATACGAACAAAACCAGTAGTATAGTAAAACAGTAAAACAGTAAATCAGTTAAAAGTGATATATATATATAAGCCATAATATATGTGTATAGATGATAACTCACATAATTTGCGGTGTTCCATATGGGCAGCAAATGCTTTTTCATTAATAAAAAGTGAAAATACGATGAAAAGAAGAAAGAAAACGATGGATGAGTGTATAGAGGCCGCCATCTTAATAATACTGAGTGAATCACTTTTGATTACGGTTCAAGCATTTATATGGAAATAGAAGAGAGTGAGGAGTTAACGCTATGGACGACTTATGTTTGCGTGTTTGGTCTTAGCTTTTACTTGTCTTAACGTTTACTCGGTCAATGTGTTTGCCGTTTGTATTGCGTTCTAAACATTCATTTCCTGTTTAATTGAGGATGTGGAGGTATATATGAGGAGTAAGTTTAGGCCTCCGTTTTTAGATTCGTTTTTATAACATTTCTTTTTGTTTTTTTTATTAATAAAGGGTTTTTAACATTTATTTTTGTTCTTCTTCGATTCTCCATTTTCTTAGTGCTAACTTAATTTACCCACCCATTTCTTTCCATTTGCTACGGTCGAAACGGGAGCTTTATTAAAGCTAAGTCTTCGAACGCTACTGAAGGTTTAATTTTGTCGATAAGTCTAATTTTATTTTCCTAATTATTTATTTAAACCATCGAAAATAATTTTTAATATTAATTTCTTTAATACGGTCAGAAATTCATTGCGAAAACATATATAAATACATTATTTATTATAAAGATGGGTATGGTGGCTGAAAAAGAAGAATAGAAAAAAAAAAAGACGCTGATGAAGGATATGAAGGAATCAGGGAATAGAAGGAAAAATTAAGGGAAATTTAAAGTAACTTTTCCCTTTGTCGTGTCAACAACTCAAACTCATGTTTTTGCAAAATGGTAAATATTATATAAAATGAAGGTTTAGGATTTACAAAGAGCAGAATTTAAGAAATTGATATCTTGAAAAAAATTAAATAAAAAAAAGGTAACAAATATATATTTGGAAAGTTGACGCACTTTAGTCAATCCACAGCTGCATAAGCTTGCCACGGTGCTTCCGATGTCTGGGAGATGAGATGATGCTGTGGATGTCTCTGTCCAAACCTCGGAACAAGGTCTCTGTCCGTATGTATATCTGCTTCCAGAGATGGTAAATACTTGCTTGGGCGACAAGTTTCCATGTTGAATCTTAAATTTTATAGCTTGTAAAATATCATGTGTGTTTTTGAAGTCTTTTTATAGGTATATAAATCAAGAAATATGATGATAAAATACAAAGGATATGATAAATAACTGAAAATTATCTAGAATCTCAGATTTTTTTTTTTTGTTTTCATACATCAATCTTAGAATTACTTATTCCGGTTTAATAAAAAAAAGCAAAGAATCACTTATTCCGTCAAATAATAGAATGAAATACCACAGAAATAGAAAACCCCACCACAACGTACTAAACCCGGAGTTATAACCAATTTATTGACAAGTCCCGCGTGTGCCTTAGCTTAAGGGCTTATAGGCGTATACGTACAGTTGTCCCAGCTGGTGCATGTCATATAGGTTCGGGGAGTAATATTTTCGTTCTCTTGGGGCTTCGCTTGATCAGGATGGGTTTTGGACGGCTCATCTTGAGTTTTTGATCCAGCCTTATCCGACTTACTCGGATGAGCTCCAATTTTGGCGCCTCCATTGCCTTGCAAGTTCCTTCTCGTGGTCATTATCTCTTGTGATACACCTACACATGACATATCGAGCGTCAAGCCTTTTAAGTAATTTATACGGTAATTTTGTAAAGCTATATATATGATTATGATTCATACATAATACTTATATATATATTTTTTTTTTTGGTAAACAAGTAAGATCATGATGATGATGGTGATGATTCATAACATGAACTAACTAATCTAATAAAACAGTAAACGAGTTAAAACTAATCTATATGTATATGTAATATAAGTAGGTAGATAACTCACTTAATTTTCGGTGTTCCATATGGGCAGCAAAAGCTTTTTCATCAGTAAGAAGTGAAAATATGACGAAAAGAAGAAAGAAAACGATGGATGAGAGTATAGAGGCCGCCATCTTAATAATACTGAGTGAATCACTTTTGATTACAGTTCAAGCATTCATATAGAAATAGAGGAGATAGGGAGGAGATGACTCTATGGACGACTTATGTTGTGTCTTAACTTTGACGTGTTTTTAACGTTTACACGGTCAATGGGTTTGCCGTTTGCATTACGTTCTAAACATAAGCCTTTTTTATGACATTAAATTAAATCATTTTTTTACATTTTCAACTAAATGTCTTATGATAGAGATATGCCAAGTTTTTTGGTTAATGGCTAATGTGTTAAAATCTAAAGCAGCTTTACATATGGGTTTTGTTTTTTCACCAAAAACAAAAGGATCCTGAGGAGGTTGTGGTTGAGAAAGAGCCACAAAATTTTGACGTTGATTTTTGATTTCCTGTTTAATTGAGTAAGCTGGCGGAGATGTGGATGCATCACTATATGAGGAGTAAGTTATAAGACCGCAAGCATTTGAGTTGGATTGTAAAAGAAAAACAAAACTAAAACTTTAAACGGAGATGTTGAGAAGCTGTTTAAGACAAGATATTAAACCATTTTGAAGAACATACGAAATTTACTACAATGTTTTCAGGTCCGCAACTTTTAAATAATATCATAAGGTCCTAGAGAAAATGATTTTGTTTTCTTTATCAGACACTGTTCCGATTGCGATTCAACTTTTGAGTTAGACATCATGAGTTGGATTCTTTTATTACTTCCAAGAAATGTATTTTTAATTACTATAGAAAAATAAAAAGTTATCAGTGTTAAATGTTGACAGTCAAAATTATCAATCTCTTGTCAATTTTTGTTAAATGGGTTGGTCCTCTGCCTTTTGATAAGAGAGAAATCATGAGGCTATGGGAGACTTATTAGTTTGTCACTTGTGGGTTTTGAATTTTAGTGGTCTCCACTCTCCATACACCATGTTTAAACTTCGTTTACTCAGTCAAGTGGGTTATCATTGCATTCTTTTTTATCATATATCCCAGAACCTGACAACTTGATTAAATGTATTATGATCAAGTCTTTGTATTTAGGTATAAATGAAATACTAATCAAGAAGGACTACGAAGGATGTGATGAAAATTTAGGAATGTGAATTGGATTACAAGGAGGTCGAGTTTCCTAAATTGTTTATTTTATCAATGACGAAAACGTGGTTACGAGTGAAGGACCACACAAATGACAAACCAACCACAAACGTAGAACATGTATACATACATATCTGCATTCAAAGTTATAATCAGAAACGCAAAGGAACGAGTATTGTTGGCAGATCTTGGGGTGGGGCAGGAGAAGGTTGTAGAGCTGAGATTTCAATCACTAGCTAGTGCCACGTTTACATCTGTTATAGGCTACGCATATATACATATCCGGCTTTGTCATTCGTTTTCTTATCGGCATGACGCGACGTGATTCCTACAGTTCCAATTTGGGAGCCTCGTACTCCAGTGCCTTTCAAGTTCCTCCTCGTGGTCATGCTAGCATATGATATGGAAATTACAGAAAAAGATTGGGTTTCAATCCTTTTGGTTTATTTGATGGGCTTACCAATAATAAAATTGGGCCTATCCTCTTAATCATTGCCTGGCCTGGGCTGTAATGTTTTTTCTTTCTTTTCATTAATTTAAAATACAAACTCTTAAACAAACAAAAAAAAATTACAAAAAGAAAGATTTAATAATAATAATTGCATGGTTAAACTATGATGGAGTGTTCCTTTGGTCTTTTTCTTTTAACAAAAGTGTATTTTTTTATATTTATATATGGACGAGTAAACTCAGTAAAGTGTTGATTGGTTTTTTTTAAAGGGAATAAGTATGTTACGGATGGAGGAGGAATAGATGTCATAACATGTGGAGATTGTACATTAATTTTATCAATAACAAATATCTCAGGAATGTTAAAAGAAAAAAGATATCTCAGGGAAAAAGAAAACAAATTGTTCAGAAATTCAACCTTTTTAAAAGAAAACAGATATCTCAGCTGGAGTTTGAAGCATTCCATATTGACAAGTCCCGAGTGTGCCTTAGCTAAGGGGCTGTCTTTTACATCTTTTGTAGAGGGCGCATGTCCGAGGTTTTTCGTTTATCTTTCCTGTGCAAATTTAAGTTAAATAAAACCAATTAATATTGCATTAAAAAAAAAAGGCAAGATTAAGCTATATGATTTAAAATTTCCTTTACAAAAAAAAGTTATTTTTAGAACTGTGAATAATGTGCGAATGCACCACAACCATGCCCAAAGAGACAGTCCTAGTTATAGTAATTTCAACATTTCCCTCGACGTTACCTTTACAACTATTATAGCTGGTGGCTCCGCAGGCTGGAACAGAATTAGGCTGGAGGGGGCTATATGAAATAGTTCTTTGCCCTTGGGGCGTCGCTTGATCAGGATGGACTTTGGACGGCTCATTTGGAGTTTTTGATCCAGCCTGATCCGACTTGCTCGGATGAGCTCCAATTTTGGCGGCCCCATTGCCTTGCAAGTTCCTCCTCATGGTCATTATCTCTCTTGATCCACCTACACATTACGCATGACATATAGAGCGTCAATTCGTTTTAGTAATTTCAATGGTAATATGTCTCTAAGCTATAATATGAACAAAACCCGTATAGTAAAACAATAAATCAGTTAAAACTAATAACTCACATAATTTGCGGTGTTCCATATGGGCAGCAAATGCTTTTTCATTAATAAAAAGTGAAAATACGATGAAAAGAAGAAAGAAAACGATGGATGAGTGTATAGAGGCCGCCATCTTAATAATACTGAGTGAATCACTTTTGATTACGGTTCAAGCATTTATATATAGAAATAGAAGAGAGGGAGGAGATGACTCTATGGACGACTTATGTTGTGTGTTTGGTCTGAGCTTTGACGTGTCTTAACGTTTACTCGGTCAAAGGGTTTGCCGTTTGCATTGCGTTCTACATGACAATGACATAAGCCTTTTTCATGACATTATATGCCAAGTTTTTTGGTTATTGGCTAATATGTTAAAATGTAATGCAGCTTTACAGAGGGTTTGTTTCTTTACCAAAACAAAAAGATCCTGAGGAGGTTGTGGTTGAGAAAGAGCCACAAGATTTTGACGATGGTTTTTGATTTCCTGTTTAATTGAGGAAGCTGGCCAAGATGTGGATGCATCACTATATGAAGAGTAAGTTAGACCTCAGCCATTTGAGTTGAATTGTAAAAGAAAAACTTAAACTTAAACTTTAAACGGAGATGTTGAAATAAAATCATAAGGTTCAAGAGAAATGATTTTGTTTTCTTTATTAGACACTGTTCCGATTGCGATTCAGTTTTATTTTTAATATAGAACGGAGAATGGAGAGATGAGAAAGAGAAAGCTGTGAAGCCACAATTACTTTTGAGTTAGAAATCATGAGTTGGATTCTTTTAACTTCCAAAAAATGTATTTTCACTATAAAAAAAAAAAGTTATTCGTGTTAAATGTTGACAGTCAATATTATTAATCTCTTGTCATTTTTTTGTTAAATGAGTTGGTCCTCTGCCTTTTGATAACAGAGAAATCATGAGGCTATGGGAGACTTATTAGTTTGTCACTTGTGGGTTTGGGATTTTTGTGGTCTCCACACACCATGTTTAAACTTCATTTACTCAGTCAAGTGGTTATCATTGCATTGTTTTTTTATCATATGTCCCCGAACCTAACTATTTGATTGAATGCATTATGATAAATGAAATATTAATAAAGAAGGAGTAATGTGTTAATCGGTTATTTGAAAGGGAATAAGTATGTTACGGACAGAAGAATAGATGTCGGATCCACTAGGGGAAAAAATAAGATAACGTAACAAGTCATGCCATTTAGCGTGTAAGGCGGAGATTGTACATTAATTTTATCAATAGCAAATATCTTAGGAATGTCAAAAGAAAACAGATATCTCAGGAAAAAAAACATATTGTTCAGAAATTCAACCTTTTTATATGATCGCAGTTTCTAATGAAGCCTAAGACTAAACCAATTTACGGTCCCAATTAAAGTATAAATCTATCAAGAAAACGACACCATTTATTTCTTCTAGACTTTCTTCCTCATGAGACCTTTGAACGTGCCGAGGACCGAGGAAGTTTCCATTTGAATAATTCAGCCTCTTCTACAAAGAAAATTCGCCAAACGCAAACAATGCCTAACATATATCTGACCTCAGCTTTCTCCAATTCAAAGTCCCAAAAACCTCTTCTCTTCTTTCTTTGTTTAAAACTATTACAAAATCAGCTTCAACGTTTTTCGCCGTTTTAATTTAGTCTTCTCTCTAATCTAAATCCCAACATATTCACCACGATGAGGTTTTGCGTTTTCGGGGTTTTCTTGTTTTTCCTCGTTCCTTCTCCTATCTCCGCCGGTTTCTATCCCAACTCCTCTGCCATCCCACCGGATCTCCGCCGTAACGCAACCGGAAACGTCTGGAACTCATTCTTAAATTTCACCGGCTGCCATGCTGGCATGAAAGTCGATGGCCTCTACAAGCTTAAACAGTACTTTCAACATTTTGGCTACATCCAAGGAAATTTCTCCGGAAGCTTCACCGACGACTTCGACGATATACTCAAGAACGCCGTCGAGATGTACCAGAGAAACTTCCGGCTTAACGTCACCGGAGAACTCGACGATCTCACTCTCCAACACGTCGTGCTCCCACGTTGCGGCGTCCCCGACGTAGTTAACGGCACGTCAACTATGCGTAGCGGTAGAAGAGCCTACGAGGTCTCCTTCGCCGGACGGGGCCAACGTTTCCACGCCGTCAAACGCTACTCACTTTTCCCGGGAGAGCCACGGTGGCGCCGCCGCGACCTAACCTACGCGTTCGAGCCGCGAAACGCGTTGACCGAGGAGGTCAAGAGCGTGTTCTCACGCGCGTTCGCGCGTTGGGCGGAGGTGGTTCCTCTGACGTTCACGCGCGTGGAGACCTTCTTGAACTCCGATATCAGCATCGGGTTCTACTCCGGCGATCACGGCGACGGAGAACCGTTCGACGGCCAAATGGGGACGCTCGCGCACGCGTTCTCACCGCCGAACGGGCATTTCCACCTGGATGGAGACGAGAATTGGGTGGTCTCCGGCGACGTAGGCGGCAACAACTTTCTCTCCGAGAGGGCGGCTATTGATCTTGAATCGGTGGCTGTTCATGAGATCGGACATCTTCTAGGGTTAGGCCATTCCTCGGTTCAAGACTCGATCATGTATCCGACCATCACGACCGGGAGGCGTAAGGTTGATTTGGCGACCGATGACGTGGAAGGCGTCCAGTATTTGTACGGTGCGAATCCTAACTTCAACGGCTCAAGAACTCCACCACCGTCCACTCAACAACGAGACACTGGCGATTCCGGTGCTGCTTGCAGAATCGACGGCTCTCGATCGGTTTTGACTAGTCTTTTGCTGTCGACCGTTGGATTGTTTTTGGGGTTGTATATGCTGTAGATAATTTAGTCTCTTTATATGATTTATTGATATTAGTTAATTAATTTTACAGGCTTTGACACGATTTATTCTTTTGGTTTACTATTATTGGTTTCTTCATTCACGATTTGTTTCTATTTTTAAACATATGATGCCTTTTTATTACCGATTAAGAATTTTGAGATGAATTTTATGAGTCTCTTTTTACAATTGTCACCACTGACCACGAAGACAAAAAAAAAAAAAAAAAATCAAAAAGTGCTGATGTATTGCGTATAAATCAAATGAGAAAGTGATCAAGTTGACAAGAAGAGGAAGATGAAAATGATGGCCAACCAAAATCAATAAATATTAATAAAAATATTTAAAAGAAAGTTCAAATCTAACCAAACTAGATTAAAAATTAGAAGGTTGCTTTGATGTGATGTTTTCACATTTAGTTCACATTTAACTGAACGAAATGGGACAAAAATTTAGTTCACATTTTCCCTTCTGTTCTAATTTGATTGAGCTAAAAGCATAGAAGGATATTCTGATATTTGCATGTTGAAACTTGAAAGTTCAAACTATTCTTTCGTGTTTACTATAAAGTTCAAACTATTATTTTAACTAATTACAATTGCTTAACGTTTTTTAGCAAACAACCAAAAGATTGCTTAATGTTGACAGCAATTTAAATTGGTAAACAAATCCGAACTATGTCGGTACAAAACTTCCAAGATTTGGAAACACAATCCGATTTTAATCGGAAGATTTACAACCAAAAAAGGAGAAGTGCTTTCTCTCTCTAAAAGATAGAGAGAAATCACTGTTAATGGGGAACATTATAACAAAAACTAATGATGACAATTTGACCGTGATGAAGAAGGAACTTTCTCATAACTGTGGAAGCATCGGGTTAGATCTATCAACTCAAGGAATCATTTAAAACTTATATAAAGGGTAATTTACTAACTAGCATTCTTTTTTATAATCATAATTTTTCCATATATATATATATATATTAATCTTTTGAAAGGTTTTTCAAATTTATTAAAAAATTGACGTTTTCACATTTTTTCAGTGGACACTCTGTTCATCATGTACCGTAGTAATGCAAATTGTTCGTGACCACAAGTAATTAAATAAACAGATTAATACAAATTATAAGAGAAATACAAAAATTACAAAAAGCGAAGTTAGGAACAAAAGGATATATTAATTTTATACAAACACATCATCACCCTAGCACAATAAAACGACACATGGTCGATTAGTCCCCTCACCCTACTCTACCCTAAGAGTTTAATTATCTTCCACCTTTCTGTATAATTCTCCATTAACACTAATTTTAAATGTTTATAGTTACATCAATATATTATAAACTCCCCAAATCTTCCCTACCTCGGGATACGACTCGTCGTATAAAAAGCAAAGCATATCCTGATAACCACGATCATTCCCGACAGAAACATAAGTATTAAACAAAAAAAAAACAAAACTCTCTCTAGCTCGCTCAAGAACAATGGGTTTGCTCCCATGTTCTTGTCCTTTGCCTTGCAATAAAACCAGATCACAATGTCAAATGAAATATACTGATCTCCAATCAGAATCCTCCACGTCATCCTCACTGTTGTCTCAGCCAAGTCTCCCATTAATTCCTTCACTGTCGTCTCTGCCGCAGAGCTCTAACGTTGATCACCAGTGCTTAGCTACACTCAAAAGTCACTCCTCATACGTCTCTTCTCTCGCCCTCTCGGGGACATCACTCTTCACCGGCTCTTCCAACAGCGAGATACGTGTGTGGCCTCGTGAACCACCGGAATATTCCACCGGTAGCATAGTTGCCGCCGGGAACGGAGGGGTTAAATCGTTGGTGATTCTCGGAGACAAGCTAATAAGCGCTCATCAGGACCACAAGATCCGTGTATGGAAGATCATTGACGAGAGTAGCCGCAGAGATCAAAAGTACAAATGCGTGGCGACTCTTCCAACAATGAACGACCGTTTCACGAATCTCTTCAGCCGGAAAAGCTACGTGGAAGTCCGACGTCACAAGAAGTGCACGTGGGTGCATCACGTGGACGCGGTCTCATCTCTGGCCTTGTCGCAAGACGGCTCTCTGCTTTACTCTGCTTCGTGGGACCGGAGTTTCAAGATATGGAGAACCTCCGATTTCAAATGCTTAGAGTCTATGGAAAAGGCACACGACGACGCGGTTAACGCCATCGCGGTGTCTCTAGACGGGTTTGTTTACACGGGATCGGCAGATAAGAAGATCAAAGTGTGGAACAAGAAGGACAAGAGTCACTCTCTGGTTGCTACTCTTACGAAACATCTCTCGGCAGTGAACGCGTTAGCGGTTAGTAAAGACGGTAAGGTTCTTTACTCAGGAGCGTGTGATAGATCGATTCTTGTGTGGGAGAGAGTAAGCAACGGAGATGATGAGGAAGTACATATGTCTGTGGTAGGAGCTTTAAGGGGACACACGAAAGCGATTCTTTGTTTAGGGGTTGCGTCTGATTTGGTGTTGAGTGGATCAGCAGACAAGAGCTTGAGGGTTTGGAAGAGAGGATTAATGGAGAAAGATGGTTATTCTTGTTTAGCGGTTTTGGAAGGACATACCAAGCCTGTAAAGTGTTTGGCCGTCTCGGTTTCTAATTCTGATTCTGACTCTGATTCCGGTTATTCTTGTATTGTTTATAGTGGGAGTCTTGATCTTTCTGTTAAGGTTTGGAACTTAAGGGTCTCATCTGTTTAACTACTTTTTTTACAGTCTTTGTCGTAACAATGGATTGATCCCTCTTAATTAGTCTATCTTTTAATATAAGTAAGTATGAATGTGTTATCAGTTATGTGATAAAGGAACTAACTAGGGCTAGTTAATAATCATATATAGACCTACCGCACTCGGTCTTATCGGAGCTCACTTTAGTATTATACGACGATTTACATGTTCGTTTTCTTCCTTAGACCATGCATGCATGATTTCATAAAGTCAAAATCTAAATATATGAGATTTTTCAATTTTGATCGTTGACAATGTTGCTAAAAATGAGCTTCACGGGTGTGCATACGGATTTTTTAAAAGAACTTGTACACAACTAAAAGAGAAAATGTTATATTTTCTTCTTTTAATTATCGGAAACAAGCATATTGACATTTGATTATTAGTATTTTTAAACTACTGATAAAAGAAGTGTGGAACTTTTTCATAAGTTCATAACGAGTCACGTATTTTTGTCTTTTACTAAAGCTAGATTAGTTTTAGTGTTATAATACAATGGTATAAATACAATATTCTATCATATACGTAAAGACCTCTATCCACTAGATAAAAGATAATGTCCAGCATCTTACTATAATAATGTTCACGTTTATATAATGTTTATCACAATATATTATAGTCTAAAACTATGATGTTAGTATACAAAATTTAATTTCAAACCTCTTTTCTATGAAATTGGGCAAATCAGAACACAGTTAGGCAATGTGTATCAGAAAGTTTCATGTTCATATTCTTCATTTAGCTTCTCATTGAGTTTGTATCTGTTTCCAGTTTTACTTTCGTTCTGAATCAGATAATGTTCTTGTTCTGCCTAAAGGTTCAGAAAATAACGAGGTTGCTGCTAATAAATCTAAAATACTTGCGTTTTAAAACTGCGCTAGGAGGTTCAACGTTTTAGGCCGTTTTGATTCAGCTATTGGACTTACAGTTATTTTAGGCCCATAAATAATCCTGTAGATTTTTACTCTTTTGCATGATGTGACGATGTCAACAAGTAATAATCCTAAGCATATGTGATCTTTCGGGGTTTCAGTCATTTTCATAGTAGAAACCCCCATATTTTGGTGATAATTTAAATTACAATGTAATACGTATCGATCTCGTGAAGTGAAAGTAATATTTTGAAAACTGCAAATATCTCGTTCTCCAATGCTTCAATCTAAAATAATCAAAAATGATAAAATATTTCTTAGACCTTGTTTTAAAAATATTTGTTACAACTTACAAACTAATCGCTGATTTTACCCATTAGTTTAAAGCGATCCTCGATAAAGCCCAACAAAAGATCTGGGAAAATCATTAATTAGTTCGAACATTGAACCCAACATGATGATGACCCTTTGATTGTGTTGAATTGTCATCGTCGTTATGTTTTCATTTACTAAAAAAAAAATATATAATATATATATTCAATCAATATTGGACCATTTTTATGAATATATTCCTGAAAAGTTGTACACTGATGCAAGCCAGCATCACAGCCTTTTGGTGAGGATAGGACAGAAAATGACACTAACACTATGATATTAGAGATGGTCTTTCTTAATCCATCGTCTAATTAAATTGGAAAATACTCAAACTAGAGCAGAAGATAATGTTTTTGTCAACAACACTGTTACTATTCAACCCTACTTAAATAGTAGTAAATCCTTTTTATATTTTTACTTTTACCATACAATAAACTAATTCCCATAAAAGTCGCATCATTTTTTCAGAAACAATCCTGTGGCTGAGTGTTTTTGAAAATTGAGGAACATATAATTTCTTATGGTGATTTTTTTATTTCTAAAAATTTCTAATGATAATATTATTTTTTCTAAAAAAATTCCTATGGCGTTACTTTACTGTAATCCATCGAAAATGTTAAAACTTGAACCACTCATTTCCCGTTGGTTAGTTAAAAAATCGTTGAAAAAGTTGTAAGCTCTGTAACTAAACCAAACCAAACAGAAACATACATTTAAGCAAAAAATGATTTTAAAATAAAAGGTCTAACTCATATGAGTTGGATAAGTATTAATTGTTAATTAATCAAGTTTAATTTTATCTGTAAACCTTCTGTCTTGCTCCGCGTGAGTACTACGCGCCCCCAAAAAGATGCCGAAACAAGAAATAACCTGCGGCCCCTAAAATCCAGCGTCCCACGCGCCGATATCACGCGCCGAACAGCGCACTGAAGTGAAAATCCAGAGAGTTTTAAATTTCTCCATCTCTCTTGCGAAACAACCCAAACTATTTCTCTCTCACCTAAATTCCCCCCTTCGATTTCTCTCCTTTGACAGTTCAGTCTTATCTCTCTAGGATCCGGCTCAGAGAGAGAGAGAGAGAGAAGTGGCGGTTCTCTTCCGGCGTCATCTAGGGTTTCGTGGCTTCATTCCAGTTTGAATTTACCGGGAAAGAATTGCAGAAATGAATGAGAAATCGAGAAGATAGATTATCTCCTCTCTGAACATCTTTCGTTTGAAGTGAGGTTCTAAGAGTTTCTTGTGAGGTTTCTTTGTTTCGTTTTGAGGAGAGAAAAAAAATGCCAGCTCATAGATCCAAGTCGGAGAAGAAGGATGCTGAGAAGCAGCTCCGCCGGGACCCTTACGAGGTTCTAGGCGTCTTGAGAAACTCTACGGATCAGGAAATTAAGAGCGCCTACCGGAAAATGGCTCTCAAGTAAGTTTCTTCTATTGGTTTCTAATGTCTCCGGTTAGTTTGAACTTTTGGAATTTGCAATTCGAAAAGCTGCGTCAATCTAGGGACGGAAAAATCTCCCGGCTGTTATGTGATATTGCGAGTATTTTTGGTGGAGGCTTCTTTTAATTCCAGCTTAGTTTAAGAAATCGTACTGAGAAGATCAAATCTCGGAACAATCTTACGTAGAAGAATAATATTTAGGGTTAGGCTACAAAGAAGACTCTTGAATTGAGTCAATTTAGGATACAGAGAAGATTCTTGAATTGAATTTACGAATAAATTCTGGCAACCAGTTTATAATGGCTGCTAATCTGTGATTTACTCATCGAATCCTTAATCGAGATTATCATCTTAAACATTCTCTGAGAAACATCTTTTCCTGCATATCTCTGTTTTAGCCTTGTTCCCATATCAATGTTTGGTGTTTCAGGTACCATCCTGATAAGACTGCAAATGATCCGATTGCAGCCGACATGTTCAAGGAGGTCACGTTTTCTTACAACATCTTGTCTGACCCGGAGAAACGCCGCCAGTATGATACAGCTGGTTTTGAGGTGAGCTTCGTTTGCGTTGCGGTATTGTGGGTTTTCTCTGGGGACGTTCTTGATGTGTGATATGCTTTCAAATTCTTCCAGCAGCTGATGCATCGAATTTCAGACTTTGCTAATTCCAAATCCCTTCTCTTTCACAGGCTGTTGAAGCAGAAAGCCAAGAGCTGGAGTTGGATCTCTCAAGTCTGGGAGCTGTGAATACTGTGTTTGCAGCTTTGTTTAGGTTGGTTTCTTTTTTTATTTGGACTTCTGTTCATTTTCTGTGGCCTTTTTCATATAGCTGGACACAGTTTTACTGAATGCAAGCTGAGTATGTGTTGTGAAATTTCCAACGAAATAGCAAACTTGGTGTGCCGATAAAAACATCTGTATCTGCAACTATTCTGGAGGAGGCTCTTAATGGCAGAGTTTCAGTTGATCCTCTTTTACTCGGACAAGCTGTAACTAAAAAGGTGAGCTATTGTAGCCGATGCCTGGCTATGGTCGCATTTGTGCGTTTAGTAAGTGTCTCATCTCCATGTAAGTGTCATATGTGCTATGTATGGTTCTTACAGGTTGAAAAGCAATGTGCACACTTTTATGCCGTCACAATAACAGAAGAGGAAGTCAGTTCTGGGTTGGTCTGCAGAGTAGAATCATCTAGCAAAAGCAAATTCAAGGTTGGCTCGCCGGAAGTCTTTTCCCGTCAAACTGATATGGAAATGCGAAAGTATTGACAACTAACATGTGCGTCTGCGTGTGCAGTTACTGTATTTTGATCAAGAAGCCAATAGCGGATTGAGCTTAGCTCTGCAGGTATTGGTTTTTTATTAGTTGAAGTAATGAGTTTTACTGTAATGAGTTTTCATATATCAATGCAACGAATGTGGTGTTACATGTACTAATATAACAGATCTTTTACTCTAAATCACTGGTGAATACAGGAGGACAGCAAAAGAACTGGCAAGATAACATCTGCTGGAATGTACTTTCTCGGTTTTCCTGTCTACCGGTTGGATCACACAAATAATTCGGTAGGTTCACTTCACAATGTTCTAAAATAATCGTCACTATGTTCTGCTGTGGATGAGTTTCTTTTTTCTCTCACCCTTTTTTTCCTCCTAACGTGGCTTGATTTTTATTGCTCTAGATGGCTCAAGCAAAGGATCCAGAATCTGCCTTCTTTAAAAAGCTTGAAGGTTTTCAGCAATGTGAAGTTACTGAGCTAAAGGCCGGTACTCATGTCTTTGCTATCTATGGTCAGTTTTCCCGGCTTGTAATCTGATTACAAATTCACCTCTCTTCTCCTTTTTGTTACATATGTCGTCTGGATTCAGCAATCGAATGATCTAACTTGTCAGTCATTTAATGACATGTTCCTTATTTCAGGTGATAATTTTTTCAAAAGCGTGAACTACACAATCCAAGTTCTTTGTGCTGCCTCTTTTACTAAAGAAAAAGAGGACCTTAGGTCTGTAGAAGCTCAGATCCTGACTAAAAGAGCAGAGCTTGCAAAATTTGAGACAGAGTACAGGGAAGTACTCGTGCAATTCACTGATATGACCAGTAGATACGCTCAGGAGATGGAATCGGTTAGTCTTTTCTTCGTTTGAAAAATCATACAACCCATTCACTGAAAAAGCAGAGAAGATGTAACATAGTTCAAAAGAGATATATGTTTGGCTTAAGATACACGAGCTTAAAGTTTGAGGATTATGTGGGTTTTGTTTACAGATCGATGAGCTCTTAAAGCAGAGAAATGAAATTCATTCAGCATACACAACGGCTCCATTGATGAAGCGGAGCTCGAGCAAGAACAGGCTGAGAAAGAGCTCGTTCAAGAAGAAGAAGAAGGCTGAGGCGCCTGCTCCAACTGATCAGGAAGAAGATGAAGAAGAGGAAGAGGAAGAAAGCAGCAGACAGAGGAACGAGAAACCGAGTACTTTTGATAAGTCTGAGACACTTAAGAAGAAAAGCAGATGGTACAATTTACATTTGAAATTGGACAAGAAAAAACCTTGTTAGCGATTTATCTCTTTGTTTTGTTTTACTTGTTCGTTATTTTCTCCCCCATACGTTAGGGATCGGTGTATCTGTAAATCTTTTGCTATATTTTTCTCCTTCCAACTTATCCTTAGTATTAATCAACAATTTACTTGATCATTATTATTTGAGAAAGTTCTCTAAACCAAAGCGATTATCTGATCACTCGTGTATGAAAATCATGTTTCGTTTCATTTTTCATTTAAATTCGGAATCAAATATGAGAAATGGATCACAAAGATGAAATTATAACATAGTTTGTTGTATCAGAGGGTATTAGAACTGATAATAACATACAGAAACACAGTAAACACGTGTTCATTGGCACACAAAAATTTCAATAACGATTTCCCCCCCCCCCCCACCATAATGTGGGTGATTGATACAAGTTTCAATCAATAAATGTTTAGCAACTCAACAATCTGAGAGACCATTCGGTGAAAAATAAATAAAATCACACTACCAAACATAATATGAAAGATTTGTTTGTGTGTGTGTGTTTGAAGAGATAGTTAATTCCTAATTTACCCCTTGTAGTCATTGTATTGATCGCACCGCCTTCGAACATCTCCATGCTTCTCCGTCTTCACCTTCTGCTCGCTAACTTTCTCCATCGCCTTAGCAAACGCGTCGAAGAACGCCGTTTCGTTCCTCGCGTATAGATCCACCAGCGACCGCGTCCTGTTATCAGACGCAATCGCCTGATCCGACTCAAGCAACCCGTAACCATGCTTCAGGTTCTTGTAATACATGTTGTCGAATTTCCCAGGGGTAAAAACGTCATTAAACGCAGACATCTCTTCGTCCTTGGTGTAATTCGCGCACAGCTTCCTCAGCTCCGCCGCGTATTTCGGATTCATCCCCTCCGGAGCCGCAGCGTTGAGATCGGACTGGTTCTTGCTGTTGAAGATCCGACTCGCGAACTCTTTGCAGTGAGAGAAACCGATCGTGTGTGCTCCGACGAGAGCCACCATCTCTTGTACGGTCAAACCACTCTTCTCGAATATCGAGATGATGTGTTCCATCGTCATGTTCGGCCGAGCTAGCTTTCCTTCGACGCGATCCATCTCCGAGACGAGACTGTCTTTCCGGCCGAATTTGACATTGATTCGAGGTCCTCCGACCATGCTGACGAGGCTCCGCGTCGCTCCGACGAGGATGTCGGAGCAGGAGACGACGTTGGGGCATTTAAGCTCGACGGCGGTTTTGATACGAGTGATTAGGTCGAATGCGTCTCCGGGGAGAGAGTGGTTGATATCGGCGTCGCGTTCTGAGGTTTTGCGGGGAGTAGAGGCGACGAGGATCGAGGCGTCGCAGCCGTCGACCATACAATCGTGGAAAAAGAGACGGAGTGTTCCGGCGGCTGTCGTCGGAGCAGCGATCTGTTTCTGGCTGACGATTTCGACGAGTGTTTGGTCGAAGTCAGGGCATGTTTTTCTGTAGTAATCAGGCGAGAGACTGGCTTGAATGAGACATGGAAGCGACAGAAGAATAAACAGACAACGTAACCCACAAGATTTCATTGATAAAGAGGAACAAATATATATTTTGTGATTTTCCTCTTATTTCAAATTTTCTTACTGGTTGATCTTCTCTCCTTATTTTGTTGTCTTTCCTCTTGTTGTGGGCCTGTGTGTTCTCTCCTTTAGCTGTTTGTGTCGATGTTAATTTTGAAACGAAGGTTTTTGTTTGAATAAAATCGAAGGAAGAGAGAGTTTCACGGACAAACAGAAAACAAAATTTAACCAAATTGTAAAACCCTTATTTTAGTCCCATTTTAGTCTCCACAATTATTAATTAGAAAAATGAAGGAGAAAAAACTGTCAAAATGAGGCAGGTGATGAAGTATTTTTTTTTCCCAGATATATACACTTTCATTTCACATACATTTAGGGGTGGACATTAGAATTATCAAATTGGATCAAGTATTTCAAAGTATAGTGTTTAGTATCGATTGGATGTTTATAAATTTTGGATCGAATTTGGTTCGGTTCTTTCCGGTTTAGATCAATTCAAGTATTAATTTTTAGATTTAATTTTGTAGGTTTTTTTTATTCGGTTCGGATTTTGATATATTTATTTGAAAAAAATAATTGAAAATAATTTAAAGTAATCACAAATAAGCAAAAATAATTGAAAATAACTGAAAATCTGAAATTCTAAATTAACCAAACCAACGAAAATTGGGATATAGTTAGGTGCCACCAACGCGAAACGTGAACAATGCGCGTTCAATTATATAAAACCAAATCAAATTATAACACATCGGTCATTTCTATTTTTCCCCTCTTCTGCGTCATCTTCAATTTAAAAAAAAAAAACAAACAAAAACCAAGCTCTGCTGCTTCCTTTCCTTTGAGCTACAATGGTGGAAATAGTCAACAAATGCAAAGGCCACGTCATCATTTTACCTTACCCAGTTCAAGGCCACCTTAACCCCATGGTTCAGTTCGCTAAACGTCTCGTCTCCAAAGGCGTCAAAGTCACCATCGCAACCACTACCTACACCGCCTTCTCCATCTCCACTCCATCAGTCTCCGTCGAGCCAATCTCCGACGGATACGACTTCATCCCCATAGCTATTCCCGGTTTCAGCGTCGACACCTACTCGGAATCCTTCAAGCTCCACGGCTCCGAAACCCTAACCCGCGTGATCGAGAAATTCAAATCCACCGATTCCCCGATCGATTCTTTAGTCTACGACTCCTTTCTTCCCTGGGGACTCGACGTCGCCAGATCCAACTCGATTTCAGCTGCCGCTTTCTTCACCAACAACCTCACGGTTTGTTCCGTGCTGCGTAATTTCTCCACCGGGGAGTTTCCTCTCCCCGCCGATCCAGATTCTGCGCCGTACCTAATCCGTGGCTTGCCGGCGTTGAGCTACGACGAGCTGCCTTCCTTCGTCGGACGCCACTGGTTGAGCCACCCGGAGCACGGGAAGGTTCTTCTGAATCAGTTCCATAACCATGAAAACGCCGATTGGCTTTTCGTCAATGGATTCGAAGGCTTAGAAACACAAGTAAGAAAGAGTCCAAGATTTACGCGATATTGTTCAATTGAAACTTGGAATTGATGTTTTTTGGCTTGGATTTGTGTTCGATTAGGATTGTGAAACTGGAGAATCAGAGGCGATGAAGGCGACGTTGATCGGCCCGTTGATCCCATCGGCGTACCTCGACGACCGGATAAAAGACGATAAAGACTATGGCTCGAGCCTAATGAAACCGCTCTCAGAGGAATGTATGGAGTGGCTCGGGACTAAGCCAGCAAAGTCAGTAGTTTTCGTCTCGTTCGGTTCCTTTGGGATCCTCTTTGACAAGCAGCTCGCTGAGGTAGCAAAGGCTCTGCAAGAATCGAACTTGAACTTCTTGTGGGTGATCAAAGAAGCTCATATCGCGAAACTGCCTGAAGGGTTTGTGGAATCGACCAAAGACAGAGCCTTGCTGGTTTCTTGGTGTAACCAGCTTGAGGTTTTAGCACACGAGTCCATCGGTTGCTTTTTGACTCACTGCGGTTGGAACTCGACGCTTGAAGGGTTGAGTTTGGGAGTGCCGATGGTGGGTGTGCCGCAGTGGAGTGATCAGATGAACGATGCTAAGTTTGTGGAGGAAGTTTGGAGAGTTGGGTACAGAGCGAAAGAGGAAGCTGAGGAAGGAGTCGTGAAGAGCGAAGAAGTGGTGAGGTGTTTGAAAGGAGTGATGGAAGGAGAGAGTAGTGTGAAGATTAGAGAGAGTTCGAAGAAGTGGAAAGATTTGGCTGTGAAGGCAATGACTGAAGGAGGAAGCTCTGATCGGAGCATTGACGAGTTTGTGGAGAGTTTAAGGAAGGAAACGTTGAGGTAGTGAAATTGGAAATTTGTAAATGCACGGAATGTAATTTGTGTGTTTGTATGTTGTTTTAAGAGCATTGTTCCGAGGATGACTATGATTCAATAAACCAATTGTGATTGTGGACAAAGTCTGTCTAGAATTTGAGTTACTATAACCAAATCTTGAAGCTATATAGCCTTTGATTGCTGCGATCCATCACGAATCCAGATAAGATACTATACTTCAAACATTTCAACGAAGGAAAACAATGGGCCTTGTAATAATAATACCCATAGCCACAAGGCCTTTTCCATTGTTATAAGGAGCTTTAGCGTCCCACATCGAAAAGCTGAGAGGGTTTGATACTCGGAAGTTTTAGTATAAATAGACTTCACTCTCCCTCTGCTAAAATCACGCAGCCATGGGGTGAGCACAAAGCGAACTATTCTTTCGCCTTTTACTAAAGAATACCGTGTGCTCTCCTCGCCAAGTGGCATACGCCTATTTTTGGAGGGTTTCTGCTTTCGAGTGGACCCAACACTTATCAGTTTGAATTTTGTTCTTCACATACGTGAAGGAATATACAGTAATTATTGTCGAAAAAAGAAAATAGTAATTTTTTGGTTATATTTTCATTTTGCCATTTTATAGTAGATAGTAGTTGTGTTTTACTGTCTATCATATTTGTTGTTGCCTCCTCTTTCGCTTTCTGTCAACCGGTTAAAGTTGGGTTGATATCAATTATGTGGGAAACTAATGAATAAAGATGGAAACCTCAATTATTTATCATTGTATATTAGAGTTTTTAAAGATATAAAAACAATTGGGGTCTTTGTATTTTGTAGAATGGGCTGTTAAAAGTTTGTCAATTTGGATTTTTGGTAATGCCGAAGATTCCAATGTGGCTGATTTTAGAGGTTGTACTCTTTCAGCTACATGTCTATTTGATTTCTCCATTAGAGGCAATGTTCATATGGTGGAACAAAAAATAAGCAAGTGCTAAAAAAACTGGACTGAATTATCGTTATAAAAAAACCCGCTGTTTGATTTCTCCATTAAGCTACATGTCTATTTTTATTTTATTTTTCAATTTTATCAAAAAAAAAAAAACCGTTGTTTGATCTCTCATTTCCTTGACTATTAATGTTTCCAAATGAGTTTGAATTGTATTTATTTTACATTCATGATCGAAACCACAAGGGGAGGGGATGAACACCTCCAGGATCGCTAAGGCCAAACAGTCAGCACCAAACTATTGTAGATTGAGTCACAGTTAGAATTATCGCTTCTGCTCCAAACAGTTGTGATTGTAATCAAGTATGTCAAATAATTAATTAAACTATGTAAACCAATCATACATTAAAACGTTATTAATGATCAAATTTTCTCTAAGCTCTACTACATACACACTTGATATGTGAAACAATTTTCTTGTTCAAAAACTTATTTCAAAGCCACTCTCTAGTAGGATCTTAAAGCGAAGGCATGGTGTTGTAATAATCACCATAGACTATGTACATATATATAAACAAATAATGAAACTCCTATCTCAAATCGTTGTGGATCCATCACGAATTCGTTTGCATACTTGTAACATCATCATCTATCGAAAAAATGGGCTAGAGAGATCTGTTGTCCTAATACATAGGCCCATTATTATCTGCAGCTCACACCATGCCTTTTGGAGGGTTTCTACTTTTGAGTATGACCCAACATCTACTAAGTCTAAATATTATATTGTCTCTTGTGGAGATGATAATTATTAAAGTAGTACTGTCGAAATGAATGAAAAATGTATTTTTTTGGTACTAATTTAATTTTTGCCACTTTTATAGTTGAGATAGATTACACCATTTTAGAAGTATGAGGCTGTTGAAAAAAAAAAAAAACTAGTTGAGATAAATTTGTCTACTACAAAGTATATGCATTACTAAATGCCTCTCACCTTCTGTCAACCGGTTGATGTCATTTATGTGGAAACCTAATGAATAAAGAGAAGCCTCGATTATTTTTTATCATTGTATATAGAGTTGTCAAAGATATAAGCATTCAGGGTTTTTCTAAAATGTAGAATGGCTGTTCAAAATTTGTCTGTTTGGATTCTTTCGTGGCTATTACAACTCGGAGGAGCTTGTTTGCTTCATATATGCTGTTTTGATTGTAAGTACTGGAGTCAGGAAATTTGGGACGAGATACTAACTTTGGCCACAGACCCTACGTACTGTCTCCATGCAACATTGGGAGACTTCAACTAAATGCTAAACCCATCCAAGAAGTTCTAGAGGTGGCACCAGAATCAAAAAGGGAATGGCTGATTTCAGAGATTGTACTCTTTAAGCAGATCTATCTGATTTCTCCATCAGAGGCAATATGTACATGGTGGAACAATTCAAGAAGCAAATTCTTTGATCTATAAAGTTTTCATTTTAAAAACTGAGCAAACTGGTTATGTAACGTATATTGTCCTCCTTATGTATGTTTTTGGAGGATAAGCCTTCTGGTTTTGTCCTCCTTATGTAAAACATGACTATAGCAATAAGTTAAGAGAAATGTACTGAGATGATTTATTTTTTATTTTTTTTGGGGGGGTCAAACTGTACTGAGATGATTATGATTCAATAAAATAATAGTGATCGTGATCAAGAGATGTCAAAATAATCAAATAACTAAGTAAACCACGCATACATTAAAACGTTACTAATGATATAATGTTTTTTCTCTAATCTCTATACATATAGATATGTGAATGAATCTTCTTGTTCAAGAGCTTGGACATATGTTATGCGTCAAGTGCACTGCGTCCCAACTTATGAACTTCTCTGGACTCAGACATTCCGGTACTCCCGATGATCATCGGCATTGTCTCTTTCAGTCGTAGTTGTAAGCTCCACCGATTCCGCAACACTAGTTCAAAGCTACTCATCTATCGTCGCAAATCCATTCAGATGCTTTGAACATCCTTTGTCGTCGTAAGCTCTTGGATCATTCACGTACGGGAAAATCATAAAATACATATGCATTCGATTTCATAGTGTTTACTCTTTAGTTTTTGGTTTGGAAAATATAAAACTGATTACCATTAGAGACCAGTCAAAGAATGGATTTTTTTTCAAATTATAAAAAAAAAACTAAGCTTTAAACTAAGTTTTTGGCTAATTATACTCCTAGACCTAGTATATTAAATTATATAAAAATGATTTCTTCTCGTTCTGTTTGTTTATATCAGTATATAGATGATAGATGATGATTATAATTTGTTTGTGGATAATTTTCAATTGACTTTTGGCACAACAAAAAGAATTTGTAGTTTAATTATTTTAATAGAAGTTGTGACATCCTCATACATTTCCATCGAAGTTGTAATACTAAGAAACAAATATCGGAAGATATATTATCCCTCGTAAATTCGTGATACATGATGGGCCTTGTAATAATACCCACAGCCACAAGGCTTTTTAATAAAAAGCTTTAGCGTCCCACATCGAAAAGCTGAGAGGGGTTGATACTCGAATTTTCAGTATAAATACACTTCACTCTCTCCCTGTTCATATTACGCAGCCATGGGGTGAGCACAAAGCGAACTATTCTTTCGCCTTTTACTAAAGAATACCGTGTGCTCTCCTCGCTAAGTGGCATACGCCTATTTTTGGAGGGTTTCTACTTTCGAGTGGACCCAACATCCTCTAAGTCTAAATATTGTAACTGTAATATACGTAATAAGCTTATATATGTTGTAATTGTAATTTACGCCTAATAAGTAAGTCTTAATTTTTAATTCCTTCAGAAAAATAGTGGTATAAGTTTTGGTTAAATACATGAAATCTTCTAATGGGGATCTTCGCTTTCTAATCACAATGCATTTGTCCCTCATATATTTTTGTGTACTCAAAGTTTTGCCTCTTTGTTTATCGAAATTTGTTTAGTCTCCTATACAAAATAACCCTCTGATGTTTTGTCCTTCACATCTCCTTAGTCAACAAAAAACGAAATATTTAAAATTTATCGAAACCTCTGTTGGAAAATTTAAAACAACTGGGATGCTTTTGCTAGTGCCAAAGCATTCAATGGTTTGGTAGAACTCTGGAATTTGTCAGACGTAAGTAGCAACGAAGATTAAGAGGACAGTTAAGTATTTTATGATCACCAACCTAATATAAGTTATGGTTCTTGGAAAGTAAAAGCTCTAATCATATCCTCTTCCTTATATTTTTTTTTTTATATATACAAACTCTAAATGGGTCGAAGTGTTGTCTGTCATTAGCATCGATCAATGAATTCATCACGGTCTATAAACCGCTCCAGCAGCTCTTTGTCTTTGAGAACCAAGCAATCCTCAGCCTTTCCGAACCAGTCATAACGATGGTTCGCCACATAGTCATACACCGAGTCTCTCAGAGGAGTGGGAACGATGGAGAAAGCGTTCAATGCAGAGTATGGCAGAGGCAAGTATGATACCACTCGAAGTGCAGCTGCAGAGTCAAAAGATGCACAATCAAAAGATCAATCCATGGCTTTGTGGGGTCTAAGGAAAACATGTTGTTGCAAACTATTCAGGTACAACCACTGACATTGACATAAGCAGTCACTACGCAAGCACAAGAAAAGAACTCAAGATTATAACAACCGTAAGGGTAAGACATAAGCAGTCATTATGCAACCATCTGACATAAGCGCAGAAGAAATTCGGCTGATTCATTCATTTCAACATCTATTAAGCTTAAACTTAACTAGACCGACTAAATCCAATCTACCAGAACTAATCAGATGTTCAGCTAATTCTTAAAGAACTCTTTCACTGTGAAACTTCGAAGCAGAAGATTTCACATACCGGTTGATGCCTGGTGGTATAACCCGAGACCTTCAATAAAGAGAAATCGCTTCTGAACATCTTCCTTAGTGACTCCACTCAACGTTAGATACGGCTCAGCGGCTTTAGACTGAAGGCAACAGAACTTTATCTTTCTGTACTTATCCGCTTTGATTATCCACTTCACACCTAACATTCAACAGTTACTTACTCAGCTACAAGCTAACAATTCAATTGAGGAAATCACCAAAACCAGAACATAGTCGTTCTCAGAGAACTCAATTTATCTACAACAATGATTCCAAACAATGATGCACCACATTTTCCCTTTTTAGAGTTCTCATGTTTCCAAGTCAATCAATGTGATAAGGAAACCGAACGACGAAACTGCATATTTTCTTCTTAGCGAACTCAGAGTTTCCACAACAATCATATTCCAATTCAGAGTTTACCAATGCGATTGCTAAAGGAGAAAAAAACTCCGAATCAGTTTGTTTTCCCCCATTTCGTAGAACAAAACTGGAAATCAAATTATCGTAAATCCAAAACAACTATACCCAAATTATTCCAATCAAACGAGACTAGCTCAATAGACGGAATCGATCAATAAACCATTTTTGTTCTGCGCTAAAGAGGGAAGAGAAAAGCATTGTACCTCCGTGGCAAAGATGACAGACTCCGTCGTACACGACGACACGTGGCTGAAGGTGACCGGGCATCGTCAGCGGAATCGCAGTCGCCAATTCAGTTGGGTCCGAGTACGCAGTAGCAACATCGGCGTCAATCTCCGCCGCAGCAGCCGCCGTACGGGAAACAGCTCCGGAAGACAACGTCGGCGACGGAGTGGAGAAAGAAACCGATCGACGGTGGAGAAAACCTCCCAGGATAGACCTGGGTTTCAAAATCCGAAGCGCCTTCGTCAACATTCTGGAAAATCTCTTTGCATTTTGTTCAATAAGAAAGAAAAATTGCTTTTACTCGGCAAAGAAACAGTTACAGGCTTTCAACGAAGCCACTGTGCTTTGCTTGAGCTCCAAGTCGGCGAAAGGTTCAAAGAAAGTCAGCAATGGGCTCACAAAATCCTTTAAATGGGCCTATATTGATCGCAATCTAAGCCCACTTAAGTTAAACTTCACGCGCGACGTAAACGCGTGTATTTCAAGGTACAAAAAGAATCTCACTATGTCAGTGTCACTGTGCAATTGTATAACTAAAAAAGTTAGAACAAAGGCAAAATCAAACTGAAGTAAAGAGACGACAAATGATCAGTCACTTTCTGCTGTTCTCTGGGAGATCCTACACTGCTTGTATTCGTTTTCTGAAAGCTCTCTAATGGCTGACTCTGCCTCATCTTCACTAGTTTCTAGTGGCTTCGTTTAACTACAAGCAAACATAGACATTTTTAACACAAGATATGTTGTTTTCTAAACAAAAAAATGAATCATTTTTTGTCAGGCTATTCAGATTTGGATGTGGACAAACCAAAAATTTATATCTTCGTTCACCGGTAATAAGTATAAAGCCTTCACGCCACTTCAACTTCTCCTTCTGTATATATAATGCAGTATTGACTTTTGTTAGGTTTCTGTATCATTTTGATCTAATATTATCAAATGCAGAGAAAAGAGAGTCTAGGGTTGTCTAACCGGAAAGACGGACAGCCAAGTTTGCTTGTTCATCCGCAGCAGCGTTCAGATTCTATACAAGAACCAGACAATTGCATTAGAAAAACACAATGTATTGATCTTGCTCTGAAGCACAAGACCGTCATATCGAGAGATGCACAGTTAAGAAACATACCCTTAGTACATGACTGATCTCGAAAGAGATACATTCGTCGCTCAGTTGTTTTGCTTCCTTGTGCAGCTTCGAGAGTACCTCGTTGTTTACATTCCATTTACCTTTAATCTGTTTGTTTTTCAGAAAGCGGTGAGAAAGTGAGAAAGAGGAAAAACGAAATGTACCTAATTGCACAAAGATACATACAAGTTCCATTGACGAACCTGCATACAGATTAGCTTGGAGTCACCTTTCACTTTAATCCTCTTGTAACCTCTCTCAATAGCATGCTTCAGTCCTAGGATTAACCCATGATATTCTGCTGCATTGTTTGTGGCAATTCCCAAACCTTGACGCACTTTACATATCTGTTTTTTTTTTTTCACCAGAAAAGATGATATTTAGCTACAGAACTGGATTCTCCAATAGCCGTGATTCAATAGGGTTCATACCACGTTTCCGTCCTCCGTTTTCAGTACAGCTGCCGCACCAGAGAGACCTGGATTTCCCTTTGACGCACCGTCAAACTCAATAAAGCAAGTTTCCTACCACAAGAGGGGAAAGAGAAACAGACCAACTTGAGCAAAACGTTCTGCATCTACTCCATTGAAATTATGAATAACGATTAAATACAAACATAACCACAACTCACGTCTGAAGTAACAGCAGTTGCCATTGGCGTGGAAGTTGAAGGAATATCCTGGGAAAAATGAATACTTTAAGCAATGAGCTTAAGTTGTTTTGACTCATAATCATTATTTCTTCAAACTATATAGTATAAGAATCCAAAACCCATGTTCTTACAACTTACTTTTAAATCGTCTTTTGTTATATCTTTTGACTTCATCTCCGAGGTACCCTCCTCTTCAGCTGCTTTGACCTTCGAAAAAGTTGGCTCCTAGAGAGATCAAATATAAGGAGAGAGAGAGTTAACACCACACTCAGTTCAAAATCCCAAAATACGAAGACACTGTGAAGACCACAATGTTATCTTATACCTGGAAAAGACAAGGTGTGAGAGCGCCAAACATATCCTCTTTCAAGTCTGAAGCTCCAAAGCTGTAGAGTGGTTTCTTCATCCCAACAGAAGAAAGATATTCCTCAGCTTCTTTAGGCAGCGAGTATCCTTTATAAACACTAACCGGAGAATCAAACACCTGCCGTGAAAAAAAAAAGAAAAGCAGATCAATCTCTGTTTATATATTCCCATCCTAAAGAAAGTATATAACACACAAAAACAGAAACTGTAAAGCGCAAAAAAGATGTATGTACTCACCGATGATCCAACTTGAGCCTGACAATCATTCAAATCCTTATAAATCCCAATGACGTCACCTTTCCGAACAACGAAGAAGGCGTCTTTCTCTTTATCCGGAACAGGAGCAGCGGCTGACATCTTTGATTTACCGACCTTTGGTTTCGAGGAAAAGCAATGAACCCTAGACAATCCAAATGCACTCACACCTGCAGGCTTCAAAGAGGATTTCGGAGGCATGTAGAAGCATTGGTTCCATGGAATCTGGGAACTGACGTAGCTGGATCTCTTAAGCAGCCCCAAGGAAATGTAGGAACGCGCATGAGAGAGGCAGTTCATTACAAATGTAGTTACCCCCACAACACTGAGATTTATGAAACAAAACAAAAGAAAAAGCACACAACTTTAGTTAAACGCCAGAGAGAGAGAAGAACAACTATTGATAAGATTAAAAGACGCGAAATTCAAGTTCATAATCAAAACTTCTGTTCACTATGACATCTTTGACTGGATACAATTTAACCAAACGATTGATTAATTTTTTTATGCTTCCTGATGATAATATACCACTAGATATTCGTTGTTACTGGTAATCGATCTGTAATCGGGAATTTCTGAATCTGGGTATCGATAGTTGAAGCAGATAAACAAAAAACATTCTCGACTTGAGCATTCCGCAAAAGGATACCCAAGAATGCATCGAAATCAAATAGAGAAACAATGAGATAGACGAAAATATTAATTTGAAGTTTCTGAATTAACATCTTACCAAGCACAAGGACGTGAATCTCTCGATTAAATTGCTCAGTGAGCTCTCTCTTTCCGCACTGGGGAAGAAGGAAGATGAAATCGATGGGTTTAAGCCGGGTTTTGGTATGCTTTTTAGTGAGTTTTGGTCCGCTTCGGACTTGGGACTTTCGGATACGGTTCGAACTAACCAAAACTTATTCGGTTTGGATAAACTTCACGGTCGATGTTAGCTTAAGCTAAATTTAAATATTAAACACCAGTGTGCATCAGGTTTCGTGGTGTAGTTGGTTATCACGTCAGTCTAACACACTGAAGGTCTCCGGTTCGAACCCGGGCGAAGCCATTATTTTTTATTTTATTTTAGAGGAACTTTAAATCTAAAACTGAAAAGGGCTTCATGGACTTAGCTAGGGCTCAATAATCTCATAGGTTACAAAGCCATATAAGCCTTAGCGCACTATATATTCTTTTTATCTTAGAAGAACCTCCCTACTCAACATATCCTCAAAATATACCTGACATATAAGTGATATAGATTATTATGAGATATTGTTAGCACACACTTACTAACATAGCTAAGCATATAGATTATTATAGATACAAAACTTACTTGCATTCATCAATCATCACCACAGAGGTTTGTGGTGATTCTCAACTGTCAAATGTGATTTTGGTTACATGCATAAAAGAGTTTTTTGAATATGGTCAAACAAATAATCTATATATAATAGCAAAATAATTTTTTTTGAACTGTTGATGTCATCATTTTTTTGTAGGAAAAAAATGACAAATCTAACGGTTGATGTTGTTTTGATTAGTTTTGATTTGAAAATTTAATGGTTAGGATTTGATTACTGATATCATCTTCTATATGTTAAAAAAATATAGATGTAATCTAAACAGATACATAGTTAAAACATTGCAACTTTATATTTAAAAATTTCAATTTTATGAACCATTGTGACTTTTTGTTTTGGTTGCTAAAAAAAAAATCAATCTAATGGTTAACAATCTTTGTTTCCAGATTTAACGATAAAGATTAGATTTATTATGTATGCCTAACATATACATATTGAAAAACTGCTGCAACTGGTAAAATGAATATTTGCAACCATTTCGATTACTAACTATTGCAATTGTTGGGTGTATGGTTACATTATTCGGTGACTAACCATTGCACCAGTTGATGATCAATCATTGCATCCTAATCAACCATTGTAATCTTTAGAAGTGACCTATGGTTTCCTATAAAAGGAGTTGTGGGCATTGCCAAAATCATAACAAAAGATTACAATGGTAAATTTTATAATCTTTTTTGATACAAACACATAAATATGGTTACATGGTTGAGTTTGGTAAACAAAAATGATTTGTAAATTCTTCACATGTTGAGTTTGTATTTAAACATTAAAGGATGGGTGGACAGTAAGTTTGGTATTTTACCAACCAAAATGTCTTGAGATCCTCCAAAGTTTTTCCTATATAAACCAACATTTTGAATTCTACGAAAATATACTAAGTTGAAATTCTATTCATAAGTAAACAAAAATGGGTTCAAACAAAATAGTTACATTGGTTCTAATGATATTTTCACTTATACGAAGTGTTTCGTCTTTGAGTGCAGGAAGAAAGATGTTCATTAATCATGCTGATTGTTTCATTGCAATGTAAAATGTTGATGGTCACCTAAAGCATGCTTGCTGCAATGCGGTGGAAGGATTGACACAAGACTGCTGGCCCATAGTGTTCCCAAGATAGCCTCTTGTTCACATGATGATCAAAGGCATATGCTTCTTCCCATAAACAATAAATATGTGTGTTTCTATAATTGATCAAGGATAAGATATGAGGGAGTAAAGAATACAAATATGTGTTTGTAAAAGGTTTTTCTATCTTATTATTATCTGGGATGATATATCTATATATAATAGCAAAATAACTTTTTTGAACTACTGATGTCATTATTTTTTTGTAGGAAAAAAAATAACAAATCTAATGGTTGATGTTGTTTTGATTAGTTTTGATTTGAAAATTTAATGGCTAGGATTTGATTGCTGATATCATCTTCTAAATGTTAAAAAAATATAGATGTAATCTAAACATGCACATAATTAAAACATTGCAACTTTATATTTAAAACATTTCAACTTTATGAACCATTTTGACTTTTCGTTTTGGTTGCTAAAAAAAAATCAATCTAAATGGTTAACAATCTTTCTTTCCAGATTTAATAGTAAAGATTATATTTATTATGTCTGCCTAACATATACATATTGAAGAACTGTTGCAACTGGTAAAATGAATATTTGCAACCATTTCGATTACTAACCATTGCAATTATTGGATGTATGGTTACATTATTCGGTGACTAACCATTGCACCAGTTGATGATTAATAATTGCACCCTAATCAATCATTATAATATTTGGAAGTGACATTTGGTTTCCTATAAAGAGATTTGTGGGCATTGCCAAAATCATAACAAAAGCAGAAAAAAATTGAAGCAAAAAAAATTAGAAAGAAAGTAAGAGAGAGTTTCACTATTCCAAAAGATCATAAAAAAATTATGGAAAAACACATATTACCATTTGAACTATGTTTTATCCTACAAGAGTTTTTGTCTAACTCAAAGCTTGATAAGGGTCGAAATACTTTTTAAGAGAAGTGTCATTGTGCAAGGTTCAATTATCATTCAAATTTACAATTCATCATTCAGTTTCAAATAACCAACAAGTTTATCATTGTAATTTTTCACTTTAAACTAACTTTTCATTTTGAAAAAAGTATTATTAAATGTAGACCTTCTTAAAATATTTTTTTTTATTATATATAGATAACAGAAGATGTCAGTATTTCAAAAACATAAATCAAATAGTTATAATGCGTTTGAAAGTTGAATACAAAAATAATGAAAATATTAATATTGGGATGCTAGAATTTTATAACGAACAAGGTATTAATTTTAATTGTTATTTTAATGGGCTTAAGTTTTAGTTGTGTTATTATAAATTGCTATCCTTATTTTTATTTATTTTATTTTAGGATGTCCATTAAAAATTAAAGATGCAGGTATTTACACTTCTTTTATTATATATATAGATTATTATAATAATATAGTATATAATCTTAATAACATAAAACTTAATATTAAATTCACTAATATTTCAGAATTCGTAAATATGTTAATGGATGTTGAAAGATCTGAAGCAATTGGTAGAGAAAGTTACAATGCTCTATTCTATAATGGTTTGTTAAAATAAACTTTAGTCTTTAATTAATAATTAATTTAAAATATTTTCTTAAATAAGTGTTATTTTATGGAATAATAGGTTTAAAAAAACAAAAAATATTGCCAACTTCCAAAAGAAAAAAAATTAAAGGTATGTACATATTTGTTATATAATTAATCAATGAAAATGAAAATTTATTTAATAATATTATGAAATATTTGGCAGGCAAGAAAAAAAGGTCATAAAAATTAGAACATAATAAATTAATGAGATGTGAAGATTGTAATGCTTTATTATGGCTTGCTGAAAGCACATAAAAAGATAGTATTACAAAACGTCTTTTATTTATTATTTGTTGTAAACAAGGTTGTGTAAAATTATCTAATATACAAGAGCCTCCTCTTGTGCTAAAAAAATCTTTTATGTGATCCCACTTTTCAGAAAAGCATTAGAGTTTTTAATTGAATGCGTTCTATGTGTTCTATAGGTGCTGAAATAGATTATTCAATCTTAAATTTTGGTGGTCATTGTTGTTTTAAAGTACATGGTAAAAATTATTATAGTATTGGATCTTTTTTACCAATTGATGATGAAAAGCCTAAATTCTTGCAGATATATATATATATATATATATATTTGATACATCTAATGAATTATAAAATCGATTATCAATTATGAATCGAGAGGGTAAAAATTCATTAGATGAAATTTTTTTTATCATCCTTAATTAATATGCTTTATGAAAATAACACTTTAGCTAAAAGTTTTAGAAAAGCTAGAGATAGATATCCAAGTGGTCATATTTGTAAAATGAAAATTCATATGATAGGATATGATAAAAGAAAAAGATAATATAATCTGCCATCAACTAATGAGATAGCAGGTTTAATAATCGGTGATTTTTTAAAAACTATTGGCGAACGAGATGTTCTTCTTTAACATAAATCAGGAAATTTCCAAAGAATCTTGGCAACTCATCCTCTTTATATGGCTTTGCAATATCCATTATTATTTTCTTATGAGAAGTTGGGTTTTTTGAATGAATACCATATGTTCAAAGGTCATCATCCGATCACAATAATGATTATGTTAAAAGGACAGAATATTATATGTATCGTATACATAACAGAAACATCGAAGCATCCACTATTCTAAAAAGTGGTAGATTATTTCATCAATATGTTGTAGATACGTTTACGTCTATTGAGGCAAGCCGTCTGACATTTATTAAACTTAATCAAAAAGCAATAAGAATTAAGAGCTGATGTATTAAAGGACGCCATATCAAAGGGAGATCATGATCCATATAGTCTTGGTAAAAGAATTATATTGCCATCTTCAATTACTGAAAGTCCACGATATATGGTAGAAAATATCAAGATGCAATGGCGATTTGTCGTTGTTTTGAAAATTATGATTTATTTATTACTATGACTGTTAATCCTAAATGGAATAAAATAAATGAATATTTAGAAATTACTGGTGATACATCGGCCAATGGCAGGCCTGATATTGAATCACGAGTTTTTCATTTAAAATTAGATGAGTTAATGGTTTTAATTAAAAAGAATGATTTTTTTGGACCAATAAATGGAGGTACATATATTTATGTTTGGATTTTAAAATTATTTAGATAAAATCTAATTATTTATATACTGATTTTTTTCTGCAGTTATACAATTGAGTTTCAAAAAAGGGTCTCCCTCATGCACATATTCTTATATGGTTAAAATGTGGACGTAATATTGCTTCCTCAATTTATATTGATAAATATGTTACTGTTGAATTGCCTGATAGAGTAATTGATCCCGAAGGTTATGAATTAGTAGAACAACATATGATGCATGGACCATGTGGACTTAATAGACCAAATAACTCTTGTATGGAGAATGATGTTTGCACTTAAAAATATCCCCGACCATTTTATCTTTCATCATGTATTGAAGAAAAATGATACATTATATATAGGCGTAGAGATATAATGTCTAGCCATGTCATGAGAGGTGATATCAAATTAGATAATCAATATGTTGTTCCCCATAATTTAGAGCTACTAAGGCTTTTTCGAGCACATATTAATGTTGAATTTTGCAATACAACAAGTGCAATTAAAATCTATTCAAATATATTACAAAAAGGCTTTGATTAAGCTACAATTGTACTGGAGAACAATGTCAATAACAGTATAATTAATTATGGTGTAGTTAAGTACAATATAAATGAGATTGAAAATTATCATGATTGTCGATATGTATCCACTTGTGAATCGATGTGGCTAATTTTAAATTTGAGATACATCATCAACATCCTCTAGTCCAGAGACTAAGCATACACCTTCTTGGTAGCAACTTGTGCTTTTTAATAATTCAAGTGAATTAAGTAGTGTTGCTCCTAATTATGAAAGAATTAAGTATGTTTATGGCTTATTTAGAGATGAACAAATCAGATCCTGATGCCAGAAAGTTATCATATGTTCAATTTCCGCCAAGGTACGTTTGTAATAAATCAGATCACACATGGACAAAAAGAAAAAAGGGTCAATCAATTTGAAGATTGTATAATGTTCATCTTTCGTCTGATGAATTATATTATCTTAGAATTCTAATTAATTACCTAAAAGGACCTACAAGTTTTGAAGATATGTTAACTGTAAATAGAAAAGAATATAAAAGATTTCAAGAATCATGTGTTGCTCATAGGTTTCTTGAAGGAAATCAAGAATGACATGAGGCTAACAAATAAGATGATATGGAAACAACTTTATTGACAACTTTCAATAATGATGTAACAAAGATGTTAAACATATCAGCTACAGATTTGGTTACTTATTATGTAAGTATGATATTTTTATTATTAAAAATTATAGTATAAATTGCAGTATGTACAATGACACATCAGATAAAGCAATTATTTCATTTATATCAGAAAAACTTATTAAAAAAAATTCAAATTTGATTTGAAAGTTACATCATTTAATTTCAAATCGACTTCAGCTGGATTAACAGTAACTGGTGTCTCTAGTGATATCATAAATATAAAAATGTATAATAAATATAACAAATGTAACTAATATAATATTAGATAAAAAAATAAATTTTAATAATAATTTATTACAGCAATTTTGACAACAAAAAGTATTCTATATCAAGAAGATATATAAAAAAAATATTGCATTGAAGCAACCAAAAGAAGAAAAAAAAATTGAAGATTCAATTGCAAAAATAATTCTGCTATAATAATACAAGAAAAGACAAAAAGAGTAATCAAAAACAAAAACGTAGATACAAAAAAGATGACAACCTTGCTGATGGGGAACAAAAGACAATGATACCAAAAAGAACATAAAAAAAAAGAAAGAAGATAATTGATGATAATTTTATCAGTTCTTAATACAATATGTAAAAATTAAATTATACATATTGTTTATATAATTTTAGTTATACATTTTTAATAGTATTATGTCACTGATGATTTATATTCACAATAAATAATTTAACCTTATTTTTTATTTTATTATTATAATTTATAATTATCAGATTAATTAAATGTAATCATAATATACAATAAAATAACTATTTAAAAATTATTTCTTATAATATTTTAAGAAATTTCTAATTTTAGTTATATAATTATATATTTTAGTAAATATTTTAAATGTCTACGCGTTAACACGCGGGTTTCACTCCTAGTTTCAATAATACTATTTCTAGAAATTGAAATTTGCTAGTGTTAGGTATCACATTTATGTATTTGAAATTTGAAGAGATCATGAATTCGGTTATATTTTTATTTGTTTAGAAAATCACATAATGATCAACTTAAAAGAGGCGATGAATGTAGTTATCAATTTTTTTCTTCATCGTATGGTATTAACAAAAAAAAACAGAACAGTTGCAAATTGCACCACGTTATAAATACGGATAAAAACTGTTTGTTCTTTTTTCTTTTTGTGTGGTTTCAAGTTACGATACTGCTTGTGAGTCACTAGCTAGCATCTCCGAACAATCAGCAACGTATTACAAACTATTATCCCAAACGACAAATAAAGTCTAGGACCTACCAAACTCATGAAAACAATAAGTCCTAACGAAAACAATAATATTAAAAAAACTAAAATAAATAAAACATTTTACTTATATTATTAGACTTAGTGCACCATTGAATCAGAATCTCTCCTGAATATAGTCACTGTGAGCTTAAACTAAACCCAAATATGACTATGTTTCTGAAGCCTGTCATCTTCCTACATGATTCATGTCTTGCCACCCTCTCTCTACTGGTAATTATTAACTTATAAGACATCATATTTCTCTATCACTCACTCTATTTCTCTGCTTTGAGGATAGTTTCCTTCTTTTGTCTATCTATATACTATATATAAAAAGTTCCATGGAGGGAGATCTGAAGCATCCATTAATGGTGTGAAGATAAGCATCGAAACGACTTGGGGACAACAATTGAGGAATTTATTTATAGTTCCAATATTCAAATATTTGGTGGCTCTGTGTTTGATTGTCTCCCTCTTAGTTTTCATAGAGGGTATTTACATGAACCTTGTAATCCTCTACGTCAAGTTGTTTAATCGAAAACCCGAAAGAGTCTACAAATGGGAACCGATGCAAGAGGACGTTGAGCTCGGACATGAATCTTATCCCATTGTCCTTGTCCAAATCCCAATGTACAACGAAAAAGAGGTATGCATTTTACATTTTATTTATTTATATTGGACTGACATATAAGATTTATCTCAAAACTATATGACAATAAGTATAATGGTTTGAATTTCTTTATATAATATACTACATCATATTTGTAATTATAGGTGTGAGATTCCTAACACTGCACGACGCGTTCTTAACCCGCAGGTTCTTCAATTATCGATAGGTGCTGCATGTAGACTAATATGGCCATTGGATCGCCTAATTGTTCAAGTTTTAGATGATTCGACCGATGAAACTATCAAGGTCTCTTGCTAATTAACCAAGTCTATTATTATATTGGACACATATATATATATATATATATATATTGCAAAAATAATAACTAATGTGAAGAGGATTGAATCGCATACAGGAGCTGGTGAACACGGAATGTGCAAAATGGGAAAGCAAAGGCGTAAACATTAAGTGTGAGAGGAGAGATAATAGAAATGGCTACAAAGCCGGAGCTCTTAAACAAGGGATGAAGCACAACTATGTTAAGCTATGCAACTATGTCACCATCTTCGACGCTGACTTTCAACCGGAGCCTGATTATCTCCAACGCTCTGTCCCTTTCCTTGTTCACAACCCCGAGGTTGCTCTCGTTCAAGCCCGATGGAGATTCAGTACGTAGAACACGGTAGCAAATTTGGCATACCTTAAAAACAGTATTAAAAATTTAAATATTTTGTTGACACTAACTATAAGAGTTCATGAGTTTTAATAAAAACTTTTATAATCCTTTATTCCGAAAACTAGTTGGTAATAATTTGAATAACTTAATAATTATATCTCTCGTACATCAGGTCCCTCACATAGTCGCATTTTACTATTAAGAATCGTAACAAAAGTCTATTTTCAAATTTGAGTTATTTGTGTGTGTGGGATTCATCATTGCAGTGAACGCAAACAAGTGCTTAATGACAAGGATGCAAGAGATGTCTCTCAACTACCACTTTATGGCAGAGCAAGAATCTGGATCCACTAGACATGCCTTTTTTAGCTTCAACGGTGCATTTTCCTATACATATTTCACGTTTAATTACTTAAATCTTTTTTTACAAACTTACAAAAAAAAATGGGATATTTCTTTCAGGAACTGCTGGTGTGTGGAGAATGGCGGCGATGGAAGAAGCTGGAGGATGGAATGATCGGACCACTGTAGAGGACATGGACTTGGCCGTTCGTGCTGGTCTTCTCGGATGGAAATTTGTCTTCCTTAATGACCTCGCGGTATTTGATTACGACCCTAACCATTAATTATCCCAAATTAACATTAAAAAACCATTGCATCTTAACTTTACTCACCAAACTGAATGATATCCATTCAGTAACACTCTCTTCTTGATGTGCAATGATATCTTGTTAAGCATTATGAACCACAAACTTACATATCTATAATGAATATAGATGTATATATACACACCTTGTCTATCAATAAAACTGATTATTGCATTATGTATGTATACATGCACACTGAGTTTGTAGGTGAAAAGCGAGCTACCAAGCAAATTTAAGGCCTTTAGATTCCAGCAACATCGGTGGTCCTGTGGTCCAGCCAATCTCTTCAGGAAAATGATTATGGAGATTATTCGCAATAAGGTCTGTCTTTTTTCATTTTATTTGTTGGTTCTTGACAAACACACACGTGCCCACATTTTTCTTTGCTCTTTTGTCTCATGTGCTACAACTTCTTTGTTTTTTCTTGTCCATCGTTTTACTGAGAGACAAACAGGTCATGTGATGTGAGGCTGACGTACAATTCTTTTTGTGATTGGTCAATTTTTGTTTTTTTTTTGTTTTAAATAATCTCCAATCAGTTTTTTTTTGTTCGATTTATGCTTTAATTAAATGAAGATAGATTTTGATGCTGAACTTTGATGTGCAAATGTGATGGGTTTAGCACATCGTTTTGGTTCAATATAGTCATAGGTTACTTATTCACTTTTGTTAATATGTAAGAAAGTAATTAACAAGAATCTGACCTTAAAGCTACAAATCTTTGAAATCATGAGCAGAGAGTGACGATTTGGAAGAAGTTGTATCTGATCTACAGCTTCTTTTTCTTACGGAAGATCATAGTCCACTTCTTTACGTTCTTCTTCTACTGCGTTATTCTTCCTACAAGCGTCTTCTTTCCCGAAGTCAACATTCCAGCTTGGTCAACTATCTACATTCCCTCTATGATCACTCTCTTCATCGTCATTGCAACACCAAGGTTAGTACCATATACATAATTCCTATAAAGCATTTTGATCCGTATGTGACTTCATTGTGATCCTTTACAATGAATTATCCGGGTTTTGTTAGATCATTCTACCTCGTGATATTCTGGATCTTGTTTGAAAACGTGATGTCTATGCATCGGACAAAGGGAACTTTCATCGGTGTTCTTGAAAGAGGAAGAGTAAACGAATGGGTTGTCACTGAAAAACTAGGAGATGCTCTTAAGACTAAGCTAGTTCCTCAGATTGGAAAACCTCGTAACGGGTTTTTCGAAAGGTAAACTAATCAAAGCAAAATAAATCAAACGTCAAGTATAGTTGATACTAACGGGTAAAAGAAAGTTTTGGTTGGTTGCAGAATAAACTCAAAGGAGATGATTATGGGGATATACATATTATGTTGTGCTTGCTATGGACTTGCCTTTGGGAACACGTTGTTATATCTCTATCTTTTCATGCAAGCGGCTGCATTTCTCGTCTGTGGAGTTGGCTTTGTCGGAACTTAAAAATATCACGGTAATAACACATGTCTTGGTTTCTAATCAAGAAAGTAGTTGGTGCACACGATTAGTCATTCTCATGTTAATTATGCGAATTAGCTTAATGACATCTCGAACTAGTGTCTCTAGCGCTACGTTGGTTGTATATCTTGTGTACTGAATAAGACGATGTTAAGTCTAAATTGTTGAATATTATGATGATTTTAGTAGCTACACTTGATTTGTTCTGAGGGTAATTAGATTGTATAAACATTGAAGAAGCAGAGCAAACCATAGTGCATAATTTTTTTGAAAATTACAATTACACAAATATGCATCACAAAATAAATCAACCCTGCATGCTTCTTTAATTTTTATGCATTGAAAGCCATCAGATTTAAGTGCACACAAATGGTAAATTTCTATCGGAGAGTAAGAAGTTTTTGTTGAGTTTCAGAATTACAGCTCCAGGCTATATAAATTAACCGAAAGGCCTGGTAAAAAAAGCGGACAAGACTTCACTGTTCTTGCCAAAAACAGGGTGAAATTAGTCTACCTGAATTTCAATCCCTGAAACTCAAGAAAATCTCTAATCTGCTTATAAAGGAAAAAGCAGATTCTAGGTAAAGACAACAACAAGCGAAAGCGAACAGTACCCACTTTTCGCTGGTCGATCAGATGTAAACGCTTTGTTCGCGATATCACTGACCGACTCCTTTCACTGGCCTTATGTGCCAAAGAGTTGCAACCTTCGTCTCTCCAGCTCAAGCTGTGATGTCGGCAAAAATGCATTAATATCACACACACACAGAGACAGAGGCTTGATTAAAACACTACACACTGAAAATTTGAAATTGCAAGTGACGCTTACCACTTTCTTGACTCGGTTGTTGGCAACATCGGTTCCTCCAAAGACACAATCGGAAAGGTAAGGGCTACGAACGCGTACGTCTTTCATCACCAAAATATCTGAGTTTTCCCATTGCACAGGCATCCTTTAAAAGAAGAGGAAAAAAATCACACTTGTGATTCATCTGAGAAAGAGAATAAAAACATTTCTCTGCTGTGTTTCTAACTGATAATAAAAACTAAAGGATATGTAATCTAAAGCCACATGTATCTAGGCTGCTTCTTATTTGTATCACAGAGGAGACTAAAGATACTTGACACTAGATCACACAACATATGTAGTCTACAATCTTGTTGAATTTTGAAAACAAACAGAAACACAATTCGTGAGCAGCTACTTTCTTTTGGTAATTTGATTCAAACACCATATTATCATTTTTCTCTCTTTCAGCAATGGAATAAAAAGTGGCTAAACAGAAGAGAACAATAAAGACGATTTCAGTTTCAATCCTACAACTAGTAGCAAACGATACTCATACTGTACAGCTCAGGGGAGAAAAAAACAGACTTTGCATATATATATATATATATATAGATTCCAAGCAAGCATCAACAGGGAACCTAGAACAAACAATTTATCTTGGCAATAACAAAACAGAAGCTCAAGCCGATTCCTCCAATACAAGTAGTTCTTAAAACCTAGCAACGATCTAGTTAAAACATGGTCCCATCTCTACAATAGCTATCAGTAACAAATACAAAAAAAACCAATTTTCAGAAAGAAGCAAACTTTGTGTTAATAGTCACAGTAAGATTATAACACCACACTCTAAGCTGTTTTCTTCTTCACACGAGAAGAAGAGATAAGCGCTTAAATCATAGCAAGACCTCTGCTTTTGGCACAGCAACTAGTTAATTCTCACAACGATTAAATTCTAAAATTGGCAACAAAGATCCTTACGTCTTGGACAATGCGTCGAAGATGCTTTGCGCCTCCGCGGTAACACCAACTCCCAGTCTCTCAGCTTCTGCTTCCGCTTGCCTGCTCAATTACGTTTTCTCAGTAAGCTAGAGCAAAAAAAACATCAGAAGACTTTGCATTCAAAGAGATTCAAAAACACTAACTCACCTGATAGCAAGTGCCTCTTTAGCTCGAAGCCCGTCGAGATTAACCCAACAGTTGTCTACAACAAGCGGATCTTCGGTTTTCCCCAAAAACGAAAGCCCGGTTATGAAATTTGCATTCACCATCCGAGTGTTCTTCGAATGCCCAGGTCTAGGTTTCGAACCCTCTTGTGAAAAAACCAATCACTCGTCAAGGAAACCGCAAATTCAGGTCGGGATTAAAAAAATTCATTGAAACAAAATCTCAAAAGATGAAATTAATAATATAAAAGCAAACAAGGAGCTATGAGTATCGAATAAAGGATATCAAATATGACGAAGTTGGGAATGGGATCGTAAGCCATGACGATCCCTCGGAACTCATCTCCGGTGATCACCTTGACCGAATAAATATTCCCCACCGCGAATTTCTCGCCTTCTCCGATGTCGTTGGCCACCGATGCTCCTGCTGGATCCATGGCGGCCGCCCTCCTCGCTGCTCCTCCACCGGCTACTGAATCGCGCGTCCTGAAACAACGCCGATGTACGGAAAAAAACATCAAACATATATACATCTCACGATATGGGCTCAAAGCCCAAATACTTAATGGGCTAAAATCTAATTGAAAAACGCCGCGTTTTAATGTTTTGTCAGTTATTTTATCCAATTTTTTTTCTCGTTAGAACGATTAGCGACTACTGAACAGCCACAGCAAATCGGAGATAGAGAGACGAAGTTTTCTCGTGTGTCAATGGCGGCCGTAAGCATCGCACTTGCTTTCTCTGTTGATTCTCTTAAGCAGAACCAATCCACGAAGTTTGGTCTTTCGTCTAGATATCCTTTACTATACTCGTGTAGATCTCAACGCTCCAGTCTCAGATTCGCTTTCCCTCCTTCGCATTCTTCTTCGGTTTCAACAGCCACAGAGACGGGAGAAGAAGCTGCGAAATCTACCGGGAGCTACGCGTTTCTCGAGGAATCGTTTCGCACGGGGAGATTTTTGAGTAACGCAGAGCTCGAGAAGCTCAAAGCTCTCGAAGGGTTTGCGTATTTCCAGGAGCTTAAATCTGGATCGATGTGGGTTCGGGTGATGAGACCTGAAGAGATGGACTCGACGGTGAGCCTCCTGGCTGAGTCATTCGGCGAGTCGATGCTATTGCCTTCTGGTTATCAGTCCGTGTTACGGTTCTTAGTGAAGCAGTATCTGATTGAGAGGAGAGAAGTGCTGCCACACGCAGTGACCTTAGTTGGATTCTACAGGAAGAAAACGGATTCGTGTAGTGATGGAGAAGAGGCTGAGATGGCTGGTACTGTGGAGGTTTGCTTCGACAAACGTGGCGCTAATGCTTCGCCTCCTTCTCCGACTCCTCCCAAGGAATCACCTTACGTCTGCAACATGACTGTGAAAGAAGACCTTAGAAGGTATTTTGCATGTTTTCGGCTCTCTGGATTCTTTGCAAGAAGGTTCTTGTTTGATTTTGCTTATAAGAAAGTTTGTGTGATGATCGCTTAGGAGGGGAATTGGGTGGCATTTGTTGAAGGCGAGTGAAGAACTGATATCTCAGCTTAGTCCTTCGAAAGATGTATACTTGCATTGCAGGATGGTCGATGAGGCTCCTTTCAATATGTACAAGAAAGCAGGATACGAGGTTTTTAAGACGGATACGATTTTGGTCCTTCTGATGTTACAGCGGCGGAAGCATTTGATGCGCAAGAGGCTTCCACCACCACCTTGCGTCAGCACTTCGGATATGGTAGATATGGTGGGGTCTGATAATGAGCTGACCAATGTGTGAACGCGGGTACAGTGTTTTCTTTCATGTTACCATTTAGTTTTCCTGAATTCATTTACGGAAATTTGATGTAAAGCAAAGAACTCAGAACTGGTTGTGATTGGATTTCATCATGCAGGAGTTAAATGTGACTTGACCAAGGGCACGGGGTTGATACTCCCGTTTACTTCAACGTGCTGTTTATATGATCTTAGTAGAGGTACGTTACATACACTCTTTAAGTTTCTCAGACGTATTTTGGAAGCTTTATCTGTTGTTATCTGCTTCTAATATTGCCAGTGATTGTCTTTCTTGTTCATATCCATTTAGTCCAATCCTTAAGCATAACACGAAAAGAAGAAACAGAAAAGACTACACCCTGAATATATATCTCATATCTCTTCAAGCAAAACATTCATGGCAAATACAGCATAGTAAACAAATATATGAATTGTTATGATTCGATTTACTCTGTGACTTTATAGTATATACATCCACATCCACATAAGTTGAACTTAACATTTCCCGCATTCATAAATAGGATTGTTTTAATTATCTTCATTAAGTTTCATCAGTAACCACCTCTCATTGTTGGAAAAATGATGTAATCCATATTATTACTTCCAAAGAATCCGGTGTCTAGAGCCTTCTGAATGTAGGAATCGTCCCACCCAAACCACCCTTGGAGTTTGTGTAGATAATTAGTTGCAGTTCCTTAAGACAATCTGTCACCGAAGGTCTCTCACTGCTCTCTATACGGATGCACCGTGATGCCAGATCAGCAAACATGGCTATAGCTTCCATGTTGTATGAATATCGAGAGAGCTCGGGATCTATAACCTTACGGAGTTTCTTTCTATCATTCAGTATATTCCTAACCTGAAACGTAGAGAACAGTCAGCAGTTTTATTCTATGCTAAGTTTCCTCATATGTTAAAACTTTTCTGTATGCCAATCTTAGAACCTAGGAGGGCCATTTTACCTGTAGCACCAGGTTCTGTTCATTTGGTCCCTGAGTTAAGTCAACTGCTCTGCGTCCGGTAAGTAGTTCTAACAGCACAACCCCAAATGCATAAATGTCGCTTTGTAGAGTAAGTTTACCTGTCTGCAAAACAGCACAGATGGAAAAAAAATTATATACAACGGTGAAAACCGTCCTTCCTTGCTTATCAGCTCTGATATCTGAGTGTGAGTAAAGTTTTTTTCACTATTAGCGAGTTTTTACTTTAGCTACGTAACGTCTAGTTTACTGTTTGTCTTCTCAACGATATTTATTGGTAGAGAATCTTTACCGATGTGTATTCCGGGTCGAAATAGCCGAAAGTTCCGAGAACTCTTGCTGTCACACAAGTGTCCTTTCCCTCTGGCATCAACTTTGCTAGTCCAAAGTCGGATATCTGAAAGGATTACACTCACGTCTTAGTTTTTTAGTGTATGCTTGAAACTATTGCTGCGCTTGAAACTATTGCTGCGTAAACCATCCACTCAAAATCTATTTGATAAACAAACACCTTTGCGTTATAGTTGGAGTCTAGTAGAACGTTGGTGGATTTGAAATCTCTGTGAACAATTGGAATGCCAACACCAGAACTTGAATGTAGATACGCGAGTCCTTTTGCTGCTCCAAGTGCAATTCTGAGCCTTATTGGCCAGCTTATCTTTGCTTCTTTGATTCCTGTGACAAAAAACGCTCTTCAGTGTCCAATTTTCCTTTTAGTGGAACTCGACTCTTATTTTTCGCTGTGTACTTACCAGTCAAATGATCTTGCAGGTTTCCGTTTTGCATATATTCATATACTAGGAACCGGTGTTTTCCATCTGCACAGTAGCCAATCAAAGATACCAGATTTGGATGGTCGAGTCTGCTCAGAATATCAACCTCCACACGAAACTCTCTTTCTCCGTCAGCCTTTTTAAACGGAGGTAAATCCATCTTCTTGATCGCAACCACCTTCAAATAGCAAGGGATCAATATAGTATTGTACGCTCTTTCTTACAGCTCCTCTTCCAAGAAAAAAAAAATGTATACAACAATACAAACGCCTGTAAATCACATAAATAAAGCGATATAGTTCATTACCTCTCCTGTTTTTAGAGTGCCTTTGTAAACACGGCCAAAGCCTCCTTTACCGAGTAGATTCTCTTCACTGAAGGAACTTGTGGCCTCCTCCATTTCCTTGAGGGTATAAACAGATGACCCGAATCTTCGTTTCCTTGGCTGAGACGCCTGATCTTCGATTTGCCAGCACTCTGCTGTTCTGTAGACCCCTGAGAAGAAGGTCAGTTTTCACAGAGATGGTTCAGTTTCACCCTAAACGCTTTTATTCAGCAAATAGTATCGTCGAAGAAACATACTTTTATGCCATCTGGCGAAGATGATGGAGAAAAGGAACGTACATGGATCCGTATCATAGGATTTGCTTCTCCTTCTCTTGTTCCAAGCTGAAACAAGAGGAAAATGCATAGCTTTAGCTTGGGTTCTTTTACGCCTTGTAGGTGGGAGAGACCATTCCAAAGCCAAGAGAAGAAGCTTCTGATGAATATCCTTCCAAAGAAACAGAGAAGATTGTTGAAGATGAGAGATATATAGTGTATGAAGTCTTTCTTGGTGTTTAAAAACTCTCAAGTATTAAATTGACCTCTGAGGGTCAGATTTCTGAAATACTCAACAGCAGTATTTCAACTACCGAAGTCTTTAGAGAGAGAGAGAGACAGAAAGAGACGGTAGAGCTGAAGAATACGTAAGATTACATGTACGTGAAGCAAAAGAAAATGAGAGAATATTGAAATTTTTGATCTGTTTCTTAAATGTTTCTTAAACTCTAAAGGTTAAGTTAGCCCTTTGGTTCTTTTGTCTGAATCTATCTTCTTCCACCAGTATATGTGTACATACGTATCAGAATCTAGAGAGAGAGAGAAAGAGAGAGAGATGGGAAGCTGCTTTCAGTGTGTGTTCCTTCCCCTTTTCGTTTCAATTTTTTTATATTTTTGCTATATAGTAATTAATAATGTTGTTTTCATTTGTCCGTTGAGAGATAGAGATGCATATATTTATTTATAAGGAGAATTTTTGAAGAAGACCTATAATTTTCGTAAAGCAATCTTAGTTTCATAATTAGCTTTGTCAAATCCTAGGAAACTGTGACTTTAACGTATCCAATATTATATTTCAACATTTGAGTTCGGGTGAACTTTTTGCTTCCAATAGAAAAAATCATGAGTTGGTCAGTTGATGACTCATTTTAAGAACTGTGTTTGTCGTTTTTAAGCTGGGATTGCAGAGTGATTGCTGTTTTATGCGCACACATAAGGTTAGGCGGGCCTCGTAATGGGTAGTTGTGGGTGGGTCCATATAATTTATGTAGGAAGGAGCCTTGTTGAAATTGTTTTGGGCCGTATGGCTTATATAAAAAAAAAAAAATCAAGGGCATAATTACAGATCCTCATCAGTAAAAACTAAAAAGTGTTACTCTCTTATTTTTAAAAAAGGGGAAATGGCATTATTATTATAGAAATTTCGAGTACTGAAATTTATTTCGTTGTACACAATTTACATCATTCAAAACCATTTGAATTTTTGAATCGCGATGACACTTTGTTGGTCCACATAATTATTATGATTTTTAAAGAGGTAATAAATGAGAACCACTCATGTAAAACATGTTACAAATCACAAACTTGGTTCTTTGTTGAAACGATACAAAAGAACGTTAGATTCAATGGCCATATCAATTTCCACACAATGGAAGCCATGCTACGTACTTGATCAATTGAAGAATACAATTTCCCACGGAATAGAATCCTTTGGTCGAATGTTACTTCAGATACTGAAGTCTGAACCATTTAAAAAAAATGTTACTAGTTCGCCAAATTTTAACTATATAACTTTAATTTGACCGAATTTTTAGATATACAGATAATGATCTAGAACAAGTAAGGTAGATGTACAATCCAAAATAAATAAATATCTAAAATAATGCAGAGGCATTTTGGTATATGCACACCAATTTCTTCATCCACCGACATGATTGGGTAAGGTAGCAGTGTAGAATGCAAATGCATAAGGTTTTGGTTAAATTTAAAAGGACCCCATAGGATGAAAAATTAGTTGGATGGGTTGCTCCAAAACAGTTAATGCAATTACTATCTCACTTGGGCTTTTCTAGTTTCTCTATAAATAGAAACGTTCCTTGAGAAGCTTATTATCATAAACAAATTCCCTCATCAAGTCATATACTTAAATAATAATAATAATAAAGTTTGTTTAATTAGAAGATGGGATTGAGTGGTGCTCTTCATGTGGAGGTTGAGGTTAAGTCTCCGGCTGAAAATTTCTGGCTAGCCCTCGGCGATGGCGTCAATCTCCTTCCAAGAGAGTTTCCTAAGGACTACAAAACCATCCAAATTCTTGCAGGCGATGGCAACGCTCCTGGCTCCATTCGCCTCATTACTTATGGAGAAGGTAAATTGTTTCATTTTATCGTTAGTATGTTACCATATATATGTGGTTTCACTCTCTCGTCATATATGTTTATTAAAAGTTTGTTCATTTTATGTTTAACCATGTAAAGGATCTCCACTGGTGAAGATATCGGCAGAGAGGATCGAATCCGTGGATTTGGAGAAGAGAAGCATGACGTACAGCATCATCGGTGGCGAAATGTTGGAATACTACAAAACCTTCAAAGGAACTATCACCATTACGCCTAAGGACGGTGGCAGTATTTTGAAATGGTCCGCTGAGTTTGAGAAGAGTGGCCATGAGATCGACGACCCACACGTCATCAAGGACTTTGCTGTCAAGAACTTCAAAGAGATCGATGAGTATCTCCTGAAGCAATCTAGCGTCTGAAACTAGCATCTTCAATAAATATTTAAGATGGTTCGAATATCATCTATGAAGTTTTATCGTATTAAGAAGTTAAATAAAGTGGAACCTCCTTTTGAATTATCTACTCTTTATAAATTTATTGGAGAAATATGAACTTGTCTTTCAAGATACGTATATGCATAATATAGCTCGGTGGTGCATCATTTGACCCACGATTTAGACAATGCAACAGAGGTTTCTGAGAAGAGGTTTTCATGAATATCACACCTATGCATTGCCTCAAATGATTCATCGCAAACTTCCTTTTCCAAGGGAACAATCAAATTTTGAAATTTCCTCTGTTTAATTAACGCACTCATTTCACCGACCTTCTAGTATAAATAGAGATTACCTTTACACTTGAGTTCCTCATCGTTTATTCTCTTCTTTTTCAAAGCAAACTCCGACAATGCTGCGGCAGTTTTAATCAACTGCTCAACGCCACGATGGAAGGAACATACTGTAATTAAGAAGGTCAAATATCAAAATTTGGTCACTGTAGCACCGCACAGTATCGTTACTACTATCGTATTCCATTGGAGGGCATTGAAGGCGAGGATGTTTGGTTATTGCAAATTAGATTGTGGTGAAATGGGAAAGAATTTCTAGTGCATCTCCCCTCCTCGTTGCTAAGACCTCAGATTTGACAATAAGACAATCATTAGCAGTGTCGAAGTAATAGATCAAGATCAATTTGTCTGCTCATGTGATAATGTCTCTCCCAAATCCTACGGCTAATGGCATTTCTACAAAGATAAAAACCAAACATTTCATATAATTTTGTAGAAGAAACATGATTAATCAACACAACAATAACACTAAAGTCTCTCTATGGCTTGACACCTCAGCTTTTTTAAGCTTTATAAAATGACACTTCAGTAAAAATAATCACTAATCAAAATATTTTATTAATACATCTCATCTACTTATTTTAATTTTTAAACTTTAACCCATTAAAAACCCAAATATTTTTTCTATTAATTTTTGTTTTATTTTTTACCAAACTCAAGCCCAAATAATTAATAACAGCAAATAAAAAATTATTATTTTATTTTTTGCCAAATCCAAACCTAAATAATAAATAAAAATAAATAAAAAAATTAAATCATTGTTTTTTTTTTGCCCAAACCAAATCTAAATAATAAATAACAATAAATAATATAATAAAAAAAAATTCTAGCTATCTGTTTGTTTGACATAGACGTATATGATTGAAAAACTCAGCATCAACTATGCTTCCATGACAACAACGCAAAAAGCCTTATGTTATAAGAAGCTCACACATCAGCAAAAATTTGAACCGATAAAAACATAATAATTTCTTAGTTTTTGCGGTAAAACACAATTTCACAGGAGATAAAGCAATTTTTGGTTTTCGCGGAAAATTGTAGTTTATTTGTTTTTGTAGGAAAGCGTGATTCTGGGCTTGACGAAATTTTTTTTGTTTTTTGTTTTGGCATGAATAGACGATTTTTCAGTTTTCGCAGGAATAATAAATTTTTTGATTTTGGCAGGAAAATACAATTTTTTTTTTTTTGGTTTTTGTAGGAAGATGAAATTTTTTGGTTTTTGTGAAAAAACGTAATTTCTCGGCTTTGGTGGAAAAACACAGGTTCTCGCGGGAAAATGAAATTTTAGGTTTTAAGTTTGACGAGAAAATAAATTTTTTGGTTTTGGCGGGAATAACTGATTTCTCAGTTTAATGGGAAAATAAAGTTTTTTTTTACGGGAAATGCGATTTCTTGATTTTTGTAAGTAGATGAAATTTCTCTGTGCTAAATTTCCAAGTTAAAGTATGTTTACAGTAACCAAAATTTAGTTATTTAACTTTAACTAAAACGATATTTTAAAAGTTCAAACATAATTTTCAATTTAGTTCTAAAGCAATAACAATGGTTTTGATATGAATGTTATTGATTATAGTTTGGTAGTTTTAGAAACATATGTTTATAATAAAATATTTGATAAATAAATAAATTTTATAATTCAAAATAATCATATTAATTAATAAATATTTTTTTTAAATGGCATTTGCTTTATACAATTACAAAGGAGAATCATGTGGTAATTTATTAGAGAAAATAGATTACATTTGCTTTTAGCATGAAGATATTAAAAATGTATTGCTTTATTCTTATATATTTTATTCCTATATATATATTTATAATTAGTTAGCTAACTAAATTTAATAGTAAATTGTAATTTTGAAAAATAAAATAAAAATAAAAAATATAGAATGTTTATTCAGATTTAAAACATATAAATACAAAACTTAAGCTAATAAAAAAAATATAATACTCATTTACATTATGAAAATAATTTTATTATATTAAAAATATATACAAAATTTATAAAAATATCCCGCAGCATAGCGCAGGTAAATATTTAGTATACATAATTATCCAATTATAATTATACGTTTCTTTTATTTCATCTACCTCTCTACAAACTTATTTGGACATAGAGCCCAATGAACTTGAAATAAGCCTAGTTTAAATTTAAGAAAAGTCCAAGCCCAATAAAAGTCATCATCAAGCTCGCCACCTAAACCCTAGAAAACACTACTCTTCTTCACGACGCCTCTTCCAGCCGGAAGCCATGGCGGAGGTCGTCGAAATTGCGCGCTCGGAGAAAGATGCCGACAACGGAGACTACATGATCAAGCCGCAGGGCTTCACTCCGGCCATCGATACATCCCACTGGCCAATCCTCCTCAAGAACTACAACCTCCTCAACGTCCGTACCGGCCACTACACTCCCATCTCCGCCGGTCACTCTCCTCTGAAACGTCCCCTCAAAGAGTATATCAGGTACGGTGTCATCAATCTCGATAAACCGGCTAACCCTTCTTCGCACGAGGTCGTTGCTTGGATCAAGCGTATCCTCAATGTCGAGAAAACCGGTCACAGTGGGACTCTCGACCCTAAGGTCACGGGAAATCTAATTGTCTGCGTCGACCGAGCCACACGGCTCGTGAAATCGCAGCAAGGTGCGGGTAAAGAGTACGTCTGTGTGGCTCGCCTTCACTCTGCTGTTCCCGATGTTGCTAAAGTCGCTAGAGCCCACGAATCGCTCACCGGAGCTGTGTTTCAGAGGCCTCCTCTGATCTCTGCCGTGAAGAGACAGCTTAGGATTAGAACAATCTACCAAAGCAAGCTGCTTGAGTACGATGCGGATAGGCATTTGGTCGTTTTCTGAAACAGAGTTGTTAGCGATGTAGGGTACGCTGACTAGAGATCCTCCGTGAATTTTAAGTACAGCCGAATCTAACCTGTAGATGGTACAAGGATGAATGACCACCTTAGAGGATTAAGATCCGTGAGAGATGACAATGGTGTACACCCGAGAGAGAGAAAGAGAAAGAGGTAAACGAGAAAGATGATGATTATTGATAATGATAAGATCGATCCGTTCAGAGTACAAAGAGTGATATGGTCCAACATTTGACCTTTAACCAGATTATAAACCGAAATAATTCAAAATAAACATTAAACCAGTCTTAAAAGAACCCGATGATAAAACTGCAGGGAATGCCTGTCACAATACTCCCGCTTGACAGCATCTTTGTTTTCAAAGATGAAAATCAGGATACTTGGCGATAAAATCTTGATAGAACTCCCAAGTAGCTTGTGCTGGAGTCTCCCCTTTCCACTGAATCAACACCTTGGTAGCAGCAGTGTTGCGATGTTTAACCACTTTCTTATCGAGCACGCATTCAGGCTCTTTTGAGTTATCCAAATCCAACCAAAACTGAGGTAGTAAAGAAGTAGTGGAGGAAGGGTTCGGACAGAGCTTGAGTTGACTTACGTGAAACACATCGTGGATGGCGGCTTCAGGAGGCAGCTCGAGTTTGTACGCCACTGTCCCCACCTTTTCAGCAACACGGAAAGGACCGTAGAACCTCGGAGATAGCTTGTGAGGGGTCTTCCTGTTCTTGAGTGAGTGTTGGCGATACGGCTGAAGTTTCAGATACACGTAGTCCCCCGTGTTGAACTTCCGGAATGAGCGACGGGGGTCAGCAGTTTGCTTCATTCGATTCTGAGCGCGCAGCAAGTGAAATTTCAACATATTAATCACCTCTTCCCGCTTCTGCAAGCTGCGATCAACCACAAGTGAGGAGCTTTCACCGGGTAAGTACGGGAGGTGTATCAGAGGGGGCTGGCCATACACTACTTCAAAAGGAGTGCTGCGTATGGCTGAGTGATAGGTTGTGTTGTATCACCGCTCAGCGAGGGGAAGCCATTTACTCCAAGTGTGTGGCGTTTCAGCAGTCATACAGCGAAGGTAAGTTTCGAGAGTTTTATTGGTTACTTCGGTCTGGCCGTCTGTTTGAGGGTGGTAGGCTGTGGAGTGTTTCAACTCGACCCCATGAACCCGAAACATCTCCTTCCAGATCTCGCTGAGGAAGGTGGGATCCCTGTCACTAACAATATCCTTCGGCATCCCGTGAAGTTTAAAGACCTGATCCAGATATAGTTGCGCAACCTCTACTGCAGTATAAGGGTGAGACAAAGTCAGAAAGTGTGCGTTCTTGCTCAGTCTGTCCACAACGACGAGAATACAGTGTTTGCCGGAGGAAGGAGGAAGCCCCTCGATGAAATCCATGCTAATAGACTCCCATACACCATCCGGAATGGGCAGCGGTTGCAGGAGTCCTGGCTTAGCAACATACTCGTATTTATTCCTCTGGCAGATAGTGCAGTTGCGGACATAGGCTTGTACTTCAAGATTCATCCGAGGCCAATAGAAGAGAGACTGAACTCGATGTAAAGTCATGTCTCTGCCTGAGCGACCCTCGACGGCTGAGTCATGTAGCCAGTTGAGGATACGCGTTTTGACAGAAGCATCATCCCCGATAACCAATTTACCTTTACGACGCAGCTCCTCGTTGACATAAGAGTAAGCAGGGTGTGAGGAGGGATCAGATTTGAGTTCTGTGATTATCTTCTGTAACCGCGGATCTGTCTGCCAAAGGAGTTGGATCGAATCAAAGAACCCCTCATGGGCTTGTGACAGGGTGATGTGCAGAAGCTCTGAACCTGTAACACGTGAGAGGGCGTCGGCTGCCACATTTTCTTTTCCTTGCTTGTAATGGATTTCGAAGTCATACCCCATTAACTTTGAGAGCCACATGTACTGGAAAGGGGTGGAGACCTTTTGTTCGACCATGTATTTGAGACTCTTCTGATCAGTGCGGATGATGAAGGGTCTGTGAGAAAGATACGCACTCCAGCTCTGTATCGCGTGAACAACAGCCATCAACTCCTTTTCACAGACCGAGAGAGACTGATGCCGAGGGCTGAGAGCTCTACTGATATAGCAGATTGGGTGGTTGTCCTGCATTAGTACAGCGCCAATCCCTGTGTTGGAAGCATCGGTTTGCACAACAAACGTTTTCTCGAAATCAGGAAGAGCGAGCACTGGTGCGGAAGAGAGTGCTTCCTTTAATGTATCAAAAGCAGCAGTGGCTTCGGGTCCCCAAGTGAACCCATCCTTGCTGAGAAGGGATGTTAAGGGTCGGGCAATGATGCTGTAGCCCTGTATGAAGCGCCTGTAGTAATTAGCAAGCCCGAGGAAACTTCGTAGCTGTTTCTGTGAGGTAGGCGTAGGCCACCGAGCAACGGCTGATATTTTCTTGGGGCAAGTGCTCACTCCAGCCGCCGATATGAAGTGACCGAGATACTCAATAACCGTGGCCCCAAAAGTGCACTTAGAGCTCTTCAGGTACAGCTGCTGATGACGCAGAATCAAGAAAACCTCATGAAGGTGGATTAGATGCTGCTCCCAATCCCTGCTGTAAACAAGAATGTCATCGAAAAACACCAGTACAAACTTCCGAGCGATATTCTGGAATACGTGGTTCATCAAGCTCTGAAATGTACATGGAGCATTAGAGAGACCGAATGGCATGACAAGAAACTCGAAATGCCCTGCGTGAGTCTTGAACGCGGTCTTGTAGACATCATCGGGTGACATCCGAAGCTGGTGAAAACCCGCACGCAGATCCAGCTTAGAGAAGTACTTGGCTCCGCCAAGCTCATCTAGGAGATCTTCAAGTAGGGGGATGGGGTATTTGTCCTTGATGGTCTGTTTGTTGAGTCCCCTGTAGTCGACGCAGAGACGCCAAATACCATCCTTCTTCTTCACAAGCACGATAGGGGATGCATACGGACTAGAGCTACCTTGTATGATTCCTTGTGCAAGCATCTCCTTGATCATACCATCGATTGCATCTTTCTGCAGGGTTGAGTAGCGGTAAGGGCGGAGGTTGACGGGATTAGAGCCATTCTCCAATGGGATCTTATGATCGAAACCCTCCCGAAAGGGTGGTAATCGTGATGGTTCCTCGAATAAGTCAGAAAACGAACTCAAGAGAGAGGTCATGGTAGGGTCCGTTGATAGCTCAGTAGCTGTCGCAGCAACGTGAGAGAAGAGTGAAGCTTCAGGCAAATCTGATTCATTGACCCCTCGGATCTGCAATAACGCAATCTGCGGTTGTTGGAGCAACAGTTTGTTGAAGCTGCCTCCTTTGATTACTTTATACGTTGATTTTGTCACGCTACGCAACACATGTTTAATTCCTTGATACTTGAACTTCATCCGAAGGTTGAGGAAATCCCAGAGGATGGGACCTAACGGGGCGAGCCATTGTACGCCGAGGATGAGCTCATAGCCTTCCAAAGGGAGCGTGCGGACCTCGGAGGTGTAGGAGTACCCTTGGACCTTCCACGTGAAGTCAGAGCAGCGGTAGTGTGTTGTCAAGGGACCGCTAGCAGCCGCGACAGACATAGGGTGGATAGCCTCCAGCTTACAGCCCAACACCTTAGCAACTTGGAGGTCAATGAAGTTGTGGGTACTACCTCCGTCGATGAGAATATGTAACTTGCGTTTCCCGTACTGCCCGATCACGCGCATACAATTGAATGTGACGGAACCACTGAGAGCATTAAGAGAGATGATAGGTGTAGTCTCGTGAATGCCTGGTGCGGTAACTATTTGAGTCGACTCGCCTGCTTCTACCTCCGTGGGAAGGGCCAGGTCTTCGGTACTGTCATCATCCTCATCACACTCCATGATATAGATATGAGAACGCTTGTGTTTCAGTTGATGACCTGGGGTAAAGGCTTCGTCGCAAAACATACAGAGGCCCTACGCTCGTCGGTCCTGCATCTCCTGATAAATAAACTTCCGAGGGAGCTTATCCGCAGGAGAGCGTGGGATATAGCTCGGTTTAGATGGGCGTGAAGCATTTGGCAAGGGAAGTCTCTGGGGGTTGGGTTACCCGAGTACTTCTGAGTTGCTAGTGGATTGAAGGGAGCTCGGAGACTTCGTTGAGGCGTTTGAGCAAGAGCGGCCTCATGAAGCTTTGCGATTCTTGCCGCCGCCGAGATAGAAGTAACCGCAAACTGTCGAACATGTAATGAGAGATGGGACTGCATATTCGTAAGAAATATACTCAGGGCGTGGGCAGCTGTGAGAGTAACGCGAGTCCGAACACTCTCGAATTTCTTTAGGTACAATTCGACGGAATCACTGCCCTGCTTCAAGGAGACGAGCTCTGAGAGAGGGTCGTTGACGATTCCGCTGAACCGGCCCGAGATCTCCACCACATAGTCAGACTAGGAGGGCAAAATACCGTACCGCTCGGCGATGAAGTTGTGATGCCACTCGAGGGCCTCGTCTTCGAGATGCATCGAGGCTAGGGGGACGCGGTGCTCCATAGGAGTGTTATCCAGTCCGAAAAACTGGTCACAGCGGTAGATCCACTCTCGCAGCTTAGAACCGTTGAACATAGGGAATCCAACTTTTGTCAGGCGGGAGGATAGACTCTGTGGGAGCTGATGTGGGCGAGAAGCATCGATGGGTCCGCGCTCAGCACGGATCTGATCATATCCCGGTCGATCGGGTGGATCTGGAGGACGACTAGAGCTCGGGGAAAGCAGCACCGCAGATGGAGCGGAGCTGTACTCCTGAGGTTGCGGCTGTTGAGCGGGGGTGTGGGGAAGGTGCGTGAAGAGGAAAGACTCGAGCTTTGAGAAACGAGCATCAAGCGACTCGACGTGGCCTTTGAGCTCATCCGAGTGCTGTTCCTGGCGAATACGCAGCTCCTCGACGATATCTGCGAGTGCCCGCTTTTCCTGCAGCCGTGTTTCCACCATTGTTGAGCTTCCTAGGGTCGGGGAAGGCTCTGATACCAATGAAACAGAGTTGTTAGCGATGTAGGGTACGCTGACTAGAGATCCTCCGTGAATCTTAAATACAGCCGAATCTAACCTGTAGGTGGTACAAGGATGAATGACCACCTTAGAGGATTAAGATCCGTGAGGGATGACAATGGTGTACACCCGAGAGAGAGAAAGAGAAAGAGGTAAACGAGAAAGATGATGATTATTGATAATGATAAGATCGATCCGTTCAGAGTACAAAGAGTGATATGGTCCAACATTTGATCCTTAACCGGATAACAAACCGAAATAATTCAAAATAAACATTAAACCAGTCTTAAAAGAACCGGATGATAAAACTGCAGGGAATGCCTGTCACATTTTCTGGGTTTCTTGTGAGGCGGGTACTTACATAAGGACCATGTGTGTTCACTTGGGTTTGCTTCTTGGTGTTGGTGGGCATATGCAGGAGCTTAGGAGGGTCAGGTCTGGGATCTTGGGTGAGAATGATAACATGGTTACAATGCACGATGTCATGGATGCTCGATGGACGTACGAAAACCTCAACGACGAGACTTATCTCAGGAGGGTGATTATGCTTCTTGAGGTGATATTGACGAGCTACAAGAGGCTCGTTGTGAAGGATTCGGCTGTGAATGCAATCTGTTATGGTGCTAAGTTGATGATTCCGGGGCTGTTGAGATTCGAGAATGACATTGATGTTGGCACTGAGGTCGTTCTCATGACGACTAAAGGAGAGGCGATTGCTGTTGGGATCGCTGAGATGACCACGTCTGTGATGGCTACTTGTGATCACGGTATGGTGGCTAAGATCAAGAGGGTGATGATGGACAGAGACACTTACCCGAGGAAATGGGGACTGGGGCCTAGAGCTTCGATGAAGAAGAAGCTTATCGCTGATGGGAAATTGGATAAGCACGGGAAGCCGAACGAGAAAACTCCTGTGGAGTGGTGTAGGAACGTGGTTTTGCCTACCGGTGGAGATGCTATGATTGCTGGTGCTGCTGCTGCTCCTGAGAAGGTTGAGGCTGCTAATGGAGGAGTAGGGGAAGAGCGCAAGCGTAAGCATGATGGTAATGGTGGAAGCCCTGCTCCTGTTTCAACCAAGAAAGCTAAAACCAAAGAAGGTGAAGGAGATGAGGTTGAAGAGAAGGTGAAGTCGAAGAAGAAGAAGAAGAAGAAGGATAAGGCAGAGGAGAAAGAAGAAGATGTTGGGTCTGGGAAGAAAGAGAAGAAGAATAAGAAGGGGAAGAAGGAAGAGGATACAGAAGAGTTGTCATCACCAAAGTCAGAGAAGAAGAAGAAAAAGAAGAGCAAAGAGGTAGAGGAAGCTGCTGTTGATGATGAAGACGAATCAGCAGCTGAGAAGAGTGAGAAGAAGAAGAAGAAAAAGAAGAGCAAAGAGACAGAGGAAGCCACTGTTGATGATGAAGATGAATCAGCAGCTGAGAAGAGTGACAAGAAGAATAAAAAGAAAGAGAAGAAGAAGAAGAACAAAGACAGTGAGGATGATGAAGAATGAGATTAGTTAGGTTTTGTGGTATCTAGTATCAACTCTGGAAAAAAGTGAGACAAAAGGCATTTATGCTTGTATGAAAAGTCTCACTTCAGATTACACTTAGTTACTCAGTTTTTATGTGTTTAGTTTATTTGCAAGGTTAGCTTCAATTCTATGATTACTGGTCGGCTCTCTTGTTCAAGCACCATGCTGATAATTAGTACTCTTGTGAACATGACTGTAAATAAACTGATCAAAGAGGAAATAGAGAACCCAAAAACCAAAGTGTGATGATGCCTTGTTATTACATTGAAACACACTCATCTTCTTACCTATGACGTGACATGAACCGGGTGAGTTTGAGAAGAACCATCCTAAGATCGAAGACCCAGACTCCAAAATTGTTAAAGGAGATGTCTGAGGTACCTTTTCAACTTATTGTAAATTAATAGACCTTTTTTTCTCTAAAATATTAGTATAAAATAATGAAGTTTTATAATGGCGCACACTTACGATTTATTATTATCTTTACCATGTAAATTAACCAATTGGGTGAATTAACCAGAGTGCAAATGTTTATAGCCGTCTGTTTAGATGGCGGAGTTAGTAAAAATAGTTAGTAATTAAAAAAAAAGCCTTTATATACAGTATATATAAAACACGTTAGTTGAGAAGATTTATTATCAAACCCACACAACATATACTTCAAGAACAAGAAAAAAAATAGAGAAAGAGAATGGTCTTAAATGGATATTTGTCTGTTGAGTTTGACATTAAGTCTCCGGCTAACGAATTCTTTCAAACATACATCGAGATAATGGATCTCCCTAAAGCCAATGGTAACTCTTCTCCATTACATACAACTCATTGATTCATCATTCGATACATATTTCTTGATTAAAATCCTAATTTCTATGTTTTTATCATAGCCATGGTGAAGACCGAGGTTATAGCTTTTGGGAAGAAGAAGACTACATATAGAATGTGCGGCTTTCACATATCGGAGTGGTACAAGACGCTCAGAGGAACAATCGACAAGGCCACGTGGCAAAACCCGGATTTTTACAGAAAGCTCGAAGGAACCATGACCGTCACTCATGTGGAAGACAATGACCGTGACCGTGCGACGTTGACCGTGGAGTACGAGAAGACCCGCCCTGACATCGAAGACCCAAAATCCATCATGGACACTATTGTCGACTTCTTTAAGGAATTGGATAAGTATCTTCTTGAATCATTGAAATAGACTTAGAGTTATACAAAGTGGAACCCCGAATATATATAGTTTACCTACGCTTAATGAAGTATATGAACTAGTTATCATTAATAATGGTTGGCATTTATATTTAAGTCGTATTTTTCATAAAGCTTTCACGAGACATAGTAATATACTATTGATTTGCATAATTGCATGCATATTTATTGTTTTTTTAACATATATTTATTGTTTGTTGTATCGACGATTCTAATATAGGGGCTAAATGAATCCATGTTTGATGATATTAATGGGTAACATTATGTAACTCATTGTTTAAATGAGAAGTTGTTATTTTCTGGGAAGATTTACTCTCAAGAAAAAATCGAAATATAAAAATACAAGAATTAAAAATTCTCAATATGACATATGAATAACAATGGACAATTCACCACTCTATATACAGTTACATACATATTACTATAGGTACAATGGTTTTTGGACCAAAAGGTTACAGCTTACAGTTGCGTATGGTTCGCCTTACTTTTAAATTACGCCGATGTAATCAATTAACTTGAATAATAGACTCATCTTGAACCAAAAACTATTTATACATCGGTTCATTTTAGCGTCAATCAGATCATACAATCTATAAGAGAAAAATAAACTACTTCATTTTTCAATTTTTTAATCTATATAATGTATGAATGGTGTTAAAACACATTGGATACTCGTACCTATAGTAAATGAAACTAAAATTAGTAAGTTGAATGACTTGAACATCAACATATTTGGTTCATAATACTTATTAGTCAAAACCACTTTAATTTCGTTGAATATGCATCGGCTCACATAATCATTTGTAGAAATAATGAACAAACTATTACGTATGGTTCCAACTAGTTGCTGAATTAGCATATGAAAAATAATCACTTTAACACTTTTACATAATCTTCAACGCAGGGACTCGCAACCGAATCATTCTGAAGAAGAAAAGAAACTAGTTTTGGTGACTCATGAAATTGTCATGAACAATACGTCAAGCCCTCATGTTTTATTATCGTTTTTAGTTAAGAGACAAATGAACACAAACTCGGAAACTCCCATCTCCAACTGCACTCACATCATGACGTAGTCATACTTTACTAGAAATATGTTATAAAGAAGAATCTAATTAACTATTACGCAATATATATTGTGGTGTGCACAATTTATTGTATACCTCCACGGTCTTAAGTGAGATAAGTAGAATGCAGATGAAAAAAAAAAAACAAATTGGTTCAACTATAATTTGCTTCTTCAACTATAATAAATTAATGATCAACTCAAATTGGTTAAAATAATTAATGTAATTTTCATAACACCTTCTCTTTTTTTTGTTTGTTCAACCATTTGCTTCATTTATAAACTAAACTTTCGAACTACATAAGGAGTAGACATCCTTTTGGAAAGAACAAAGGAAACTGAGTCGTGGAGCTAAGTAAGCGGGACCCCACATATATAGTCCGTTACATAGCTAATTATAAGCTTAATTATATATATGCATTTGTCATTTATAATGGCTGGCACTTAATTACGATATATTATCTCATAGAGATTCTAAGATGAATAATAATAAGAACTTTCATATTGTTGTTGTACTGACGATTGTAATAGAATGGCTCATACAACGTACGTTTTATAAAAAAAAAAGGGTAATTGAGCTAATGTATCTTGAATATGCCACTCATTCTTTTTGTTAAGAAATTCTCATTCTCCGTTACTTACGATAAGAGAAAAGAACACATATGGAGTAAACAAAGTTTAACGTAGCGAATTTAGTTGTTAGTTTTCCTCTTGAAACGAAATAAATACGAATTAATTGTGTATGGTTTGAGTTTTTGCTAAACTACCACAGAAATTTTAAAAAATCAATGACTTTAATTACACGGTAACTGTAATCCAAAATTACCACAAAATGTTTTTCTATAATCATCAATACAGAACAAGAGTTAGTACGGGTTTTTACAGTTTAGAAAGGGCTAAAATACACAAAATTGTGAAACTCTTAATTTTTATAAATATTAATTTCAAAAAGATACAAAAGCGATAATTTTTAAAAGTCGATTTATTTTGAGTGTAAATAACAATTTCTATGATAAAAATAATAATTACTTTATTGTTTTTTGTGTGTTAAGTATGAAGTGTTAAACACATTGGATACTCATATTCATATAGTAACTAAAACGGGTAAGTTGAGTGACTTGAACATTTGCTGATATTTGTTCCATGATACTCAAAAGACATTAGCATTCCAATAAAAAAAAAACGATTATGTGTCATGAACTATTTGTTATTCGTGGAGCTGCACATCAGCCCATATAATTATTTTTGAAATAAAAACAATCTATTTAGGATGGTTCCAATTAGTTGCTAAATTTAGCAGATTAAAAATGTTAACACTCTTTATATTTTTCTCAACGCAGGGATCCCGCAACTGAGTCATGAAGTTGTGATGAACACAACCTCCCATCTCTAACGGAATATCACTTTTACTGTCTCACAAAAGCTATACAGTATATAATATATACCGTCTTCACATTCCTTAACACATTTTGTTTTTCAGCGCTTACTTTCATTCCACCAAATTCCCATTAGTTCACAGAATCCTATTTTTCGACTAAATACCTAAATTATGCCGTTGAAATAAATTACCTATGCACATTTTTCTATACATATTATTCCAGATTGGGATGTGCTTTTGTTTGACATGCTCACGTTGAAGAAAAAAAACATTTTGTGAGTCATGAAGGCATCAGAATTCACACCCTTAATTTCAAACATTGCCATTTTGGTTAAAAGAAATTGATAAAAATAGTTACACAAACTCTCATCTCCGGCGGTATAAATTTCTTTTGCTCATTCATTGGTTCTCTCATACCTATGCTTTTTTAAAAAGGCAGTAAAGAAGATTCAATTACGTAACAGACTTTAATTTTCTTAGTTCGGATTAAATATTTTATTCATTATTATTAATTCGTTTATATATACAATCAAGGTTTTTGGTATCGAAAGTTTGTTTAATTATATTAGCCGAGTTAATCTCTATAGCATAAAATAGTTAAATAGATCGAAAATCGGAGTGTCGGACGGATTATATGTAGCTCAATTTGCGTAAGTTGAGTGACTTGTGCATTATTGATATTTTTAAAATATTTATTCACTATTCAAAATTCTAAGATCATAGCGTTCACTAGTCACATTTTCTAGTAATGTACTTAAAAAAAATCCGATTACGTAAAACGCTTGCTTGATTGGAGTTAACTGATACACTAGGCAGATAAATTCAATTTGGTTTGCAGACTTTAATTATATTACTCACATGCATGTACCACGTTACTTAAATAATCACACTTGGGTGGGTGAAAGCAAAACTTTAATGCTGACGCCATTGTATAAATTTAGAAATATTCCAGAGTGAAAAAGCTGGATGGGTGGGACTATGTAAAAAAAAAAATCTATTGTAATCGATCGTCATAAAATTTTATACGTATACGCAATGTGAAAACCTTCCTCGATATAGATTATGTATAACCAAATCCACACAACATAAACTTTTAAAATAATAATTATAATGCTTTTCATCAAAAAAAAATTAAAAAGACGATGGCATTTGTAGTCTTGTAGATGTATTGCCTTATGGGCTCGTAGAGCTTATAAATAATTTCATATTCACGTTGGTTTATATACTCATATTTTTTATAAATTGTAGCCAGAGCCGTGCCTACTATAGAAGTAAAAAGGCATTTGCCTCAGGTAGATGAATTATACAAAAGCATATGGAGTTTTATAGCTACAATAATATGGTTTAACAAAGTGGTTTTAGACTGTATGTTTGTGTAATTGAACCTGATTTCAACCCTCATCGACTTCAATTAATTTTTCTTTTTTTGGAAGACAGAATTTAGAAAAAGAAAAAAGAAGTGTTAAAATCTATCAAAAAGGAAATCTCAAAAAAAGAAATTGATTAAAGATTTAAACTTTTTATCAGTTTTTTTTTGGGGTTCAGATATTTAGGATTAGAAGAGGAAAATAGAAATTATGATTGATTTTTTTCGTTTTTTCTGTTCTTTACATGTTTTGAATTTATATTTTATTTATTTATTTTTATTATTTCACTGCTATTTAGATTATTTTAATGCTAATTTTTTTTTTTTAAATGGTTTTCCATTTTGAATTTTGAGTATTTTTAAATATAAAAAAGCCTCATCCTCTTATCAACCTAGGCACGGCACTGATTGTAGCAAAAGAGAATCGATTAATTAATTACGACGTAATTGATTTCGCTTGTTTCGTTAAAACTGTTTTAAATTCATCACATTCGCTGATTCGCATCACTTTATACGGCGTAAATTATATGGCTTTGTTAATTTGATGCATTAGGTCGGCAAAATTGATTTACTTTCTCCATGTGCCACGTGAATTAACTGGGTGGGTGAAGTAAACTGTAAATTCTGAAGCTTTTGGTTAAATTTAGAAAGATTCGATATGGTGAAAAAGGTTAGATGAGTGGGAGATTAGGTAAAACTAGTTAAAGCAAATTTCATTACTTCTATATATAAGCGCCCTTCATTGAAAGGATTATAATCATACCCACAAAACAAATACTTATTAAAAGCAAAAACAACCAAAAGAGAGAGATCGATAATGGCACCACTACACGGGTCTTTTTCTGGGGAGGTTGTCATTGGAGCTCCGGCAGACAAATTCCTCGACAAATTTACCAGCACCGGCAGTCTACCTCCATGCATGTTTGAACTTAAATACATCGGTAAACAATCAACTCTTGCAAAATTTCATTCATGTTTCATGATCATTGATCAAAAGCCAAAACCCTTATATTAATTGCTATGTTTCACTTAGAGGAGATGAAGCTGAAGTTCGAGTCGAAGGATTTGGAGAAAAGAACGGTGAAGATAACCATACATGGGAGCCTAACCTCGGGAAAATACAAGACGGTCGAAGCAACCTTCACCGTCACTCCTAGGGAAGACAGGAACGGTAGCCGCGTGGCGTGGACCGTTGAGTTCGAGAAGATTCACCAAGACATCGAAGATCCACTGTGGCTCATCGACAATCTTGACGTGTACTTCAAGCAGCTCGATCACGGATTTTATCTCGAGTTCGTAACCATTAAAAAAAAGATCGACTCCATTGACGTTAAGTCTCCGGCGGATGAATGCTTTAAGAATCTCATCGAAGCGCTTGAAGATTATGGTAACTCTTCTACATTACATTCATCACGATCATATCCATATTTATAGATTAAACCCTAATTAATTTCCATGTGTTTCAGATCCAAAAGATACGTTGGAGATCGAGGCTGTGGATCGGGAGAAGAGAACAGCTGCGATGAGAATGAGGAGCTCTCATATCTTGATGAAGAAGCTCAAGACGCTCAAAGTAGCCATGACCGTTACTCCTAAGAAAGACAATGGCGGTAGCCACATCAAATGGACCATCGAGTCTGAGAAGATTTCCGATAAAATCATCGATCCGGACTTATCCCTCGACACAGCTGTTTATATCCGCGACATGATCCAGATGCACCTTCGTAAAATCCCAAGATTCAACTAAATAAGTTTATTGCAGTACGTATATGCATATAGAACCGTCTAAATAAAGTGGCACGTATATCTATTTATATATCTATGTTTATTGCAAGTATATGCATGCATCTGTTCTAAAGCTTGGTATTTGGGGATGTATGGATCTCGTTAAGATATATATGAATGATTTTATCGATTAATATATGTTATTGTTGGACCGGTGATGATTATAATATGTCACAAAAAGAAATTAATTATAATAACGAATATCTCCATTACAAAAAGAAACGACAAATCTAGACCCTCTCATCGTACTAAAATACTTCTACTAGCTAATCGTACATACTTTTTTAGTAATAAAATAAATCATCAAAACTTTATTTTACTCTGTCAAAAATAAGATTCAATAACTATTAACTATAAATATCGTACGTTGATTCTAATCTAAAACTACCAAAAGTTCTATAACTATTAAAACTTAAAATACCAAAGAGATTAATTTAGTACGAGTTTTTTTAACAGTATAGAAAAGGCTAAAAATACACAAATTTGTGAAATTCCTTGACGATGCATTGATATTTGGAGATAGGATTCTTTTACTGAAAGGTCTGTCGAAATAAAATCCAGTGAAAATTATACGTATTTATTTAATCGAAGAGGCATTGATATTTAGTAATAGATCCTATCCAAATTTTATATTCAAGAATGTTAGCATACGTTTTCAAATAAAAGTATTCAATTTTTTATTTATATAAAATTTTGAATGATCAAATATAAATGTACTTTTGAGAATTTCTTTCAACTACAAGTTTGTATATTTAATTCCAAAGCTACTAGTAAATCCTCAAATTTCACATTTACAGTTTTTTTTAGAAGTAAGAGTTGGTAAAGTTTAATACGCGTTCAAAAATGCAAATTGTGGTATTTTGAAATTTGTAAAATGCTATCGTATTTGAAATATAAAAATATTCCCAGAATAAAATGTTTATATCTTTTCAGCGTACTAACTTATATAATAAAAACAATTAATGTATTTTAATATTTTCAATGTACGTAATGATGTTATTAATTAAAGATATTGGATACTTCTATCGTCGTTAAAATTGTGATTGGTAAGTTGAGAAACTTTTTCTTTTTTACTAAAGTAAGTTGAATGATTTGAGCCAGTTACTGGTATGTCACCTAACGATCCTCAGTAGTCAAAACTCATTAATTAAGACCGGTTTTAGCTAAGAAAGTTAATCTATTAGTACTACTGGTTCAGATCAATTGCTAATTTAAGCAGATGCAAGACAATTATATATACTGTATCTTTCAACGTAGGGACCCACAAATGACTTATGCTGGAGAAACCAAAAAACATTTGGTGAGTCATGTGGCGATAAATAGATGTTGGAATGCAGCAATATTGCCATTTATAGTAAATAGATTGATGGATACACAAACTCACATTTCCAGCAGAACGAACTATAGGCACTTTTGCTGACTCTTTATTATTGAATATTGGACTCACAAGTCACACAAGCCATATAATATAGTATATCTCTAGGTCGCTTTACCAAGATATATCTATATTTCTCGCCAAAAATGGCATGCTCGTCTCTTGAAGAAAAATCAAACAATACAAAATCCTATAAAATTTTAAAGTAACAGATCCAACAGAGTCTCATATATATTTTGTTTTTCTGTTAAACATGCAATAAAGCAGCAAAATGCTAAAACTTTGCAATTTTTTTTGTCAGCACTTGAATTTTAATTTGTTTGAATGAAAAGGAAGAATTATATGTTCTTCCCAAGTAGCGTCGATCTAGTATATTACTGAAAACTAAACCTCAGTTGATATTTTATTTAAAAAAGCCAAGCACAATCAATCTTGTATAAAATAAAGTGACTTTTTTTTTGTGTGTATGCAAATGGGCATTTATCTAAAAACACAAATCCCAATGTAACAATGACGTTTGCTCTTATATATTTTGTTGTTTTTCTTCTTCTCTCTATGGTCAATCAAGGACTGTGCCGCTCCACTCTCGGACCTGTGAGGACTGGGAGAGAAACCGCCGGACAACCGGAGTGGAAATTGACGGTGATCAACACGTGCACCTGTCTTCAGAAGCACGTGACTTTGTCTTGCAGCGGGTTTTGTACTGTGAAGTCTGTCGAGCCATGGCTGCTTCTCCCACAAGGAAACACGTGTCTTCTGATTAAAGGAGAGGCTTTTCCAGCGGGCGCCACCGCTCACTTCACCTACGCGCCGGCCAGCCTTACATCTTCAGACCCGTCGGTTCCACGGTCGACCCAAGTTGCAACCAATGATTTTTTTTTTCTTCCGAAACATAAACCTTAAAAAAAAAATTATGGAAAAGCATCTGTGAACAATTTGTCCTAGTAATATTTAAATTTAACCTTTTATCCAAAAAGGCATCTGTGAACAAGGTCATTAGGTTTCTTGTGTTTCAAGAAAGTCGATGTATTCTTATTGGTCCAGTCAACTATAAAGTATAAACTGATGCACTCATATTTACTATGAAAACATGAGTTACAGACAGGAAAACAAAATAAATAGAGCTTTTATTACTTCTTAGTTCATGGTATTTCTTTTTTTGGGGGGGCAATATAATTCATGATATCCATTAGTCATAAAACTTAAATTTCTTCGCTTAGTTAACTTATACATTAAGCTCAGGCAGATAATATCAATTTGATCTGTACAATTTTTTTTGTTTTCCCATGTGCCACATGAATTAACTGTGTGGGTGAGGTAAAATTGTAAATGCTTTATGTAGAAAGATTAGATGTTCAGTAAACTGATGCACGCATCTTTTTTTGTCTAACTTGAGTTTCTGGCAGAAATATAAAAAATGACTAGAGTTTTTATTTCTAATTGTTTCATGATGTTCACTAGTCATAACATCGGTTAATATTATTAATATAAATTCGATATGGTGAAAAAAGTTAGAAGGGCATGTGTGGGGTTAGGTAAAAAGGGTTGAATACAAATTTCACCTCTATATATAAGCACCTTCATCGAAAGGAGTATAATTTTAACTCACAAACACACAAACTTTTCAACAAAAAAGTTCATACAGAGAGAGAATGGTACTACATGGAGAGTCTTGCGGGAAGTTCGACATCAAGTCTCCGGCGGAAAAATTCTTTATATCTTTCACCGACGACATAAACAGCACTTTTGACATAATATGTAAATCATCCAACTCTTCCACATTTCTTTCATATTTCTTGATCATCGATCAAAACCTTTAGTTAATCGCTATATGTTTTCACCGTAGCGAAGGAGAAGATCACCGAGTCGGTGGGTTGGGAGAAAAAAACAGTGACGCTGAGTCTGAGTGGAAATCTAGTCTCGGATAGCTACGATATGTTCAAAGCAACCATCACAGTCACTCCTAGGGAAGACGATGCCGACGGTGGTCACGTGCTGTGGACCGTCGAGTTCGAGAAGACTCGCCATGATGTCGAAGATCCAGTGTGGATAATCGACATTCTTATCAGTTACTTAAAGGAGACCGATGAAAATCTTAGTAATATATAGTTTTTTTTTCTAAATCACAAGGTTCGTCTTTATATATATAGGATATAATCTAACAATTTCATTGAAATGGAACCTAAATATGTATTTATGTTTATTGCAGTACCTTTTATTACGTTCGGCATATTGGGGGTGTATAAACTTTTAAGGTTTTCAAGATGAATGATATATCGATTTGCATATTATTGTTATAATTTTGCCCGTTTTTGTGAACCCATCCATGATTCTGAAAATTTCACATAAGGTTTAATTAATAGAGATACGGTGGATTATGCAACTCATTGCTTTTCCGATTTTCCATTAAATTCTAAAAAACCGTGTACAACTCTTATCAACCTTATCAATTTGGTTAAGAAACTAAATTATTTATCTAAGATAAATTAAAAAGGAATAGATATAAGAACAACGAATCTCCATCACATAATATAAACTATGGACAAATGTAGACCGTCAAATATGTATATCTACTAGGCGTTTGGACCAAAATGTTTATATTAGTAAATCGCACATATATACTTGCTTACTAATATAAGAAGCCATCAAACTATTTTACTTCGTCAAAAATTCCATTCAGTAAAATTTATAATTACACTGTAATATATATGATGAATGTGAATTCATTTTTTTAAAGAAAAGATTTGTAGTTACAAAAGTGCATTTGATTGGCCGGATCATTATAAAACATAAGAATTTGGTTTAGTTTTTAATTTTTAACTGATGTGGCATTTCTTTCTTTTGCGTCTGGCCAGCAAATGCATGTGTCAATAACGCAGCGGTCAGTTTGTGGAAATTGGTTTTGATCTAGTCATTTAATTATCATCAATAATTGACATATTATGTTCATTTGTCAGAAGTCACAACTATTTCAATTTCATCACATTCACACAGTTTATATAGTAATGTTTTTATACTAAAATGGCAGTAAACAAATCAATTACTACGTAAATTACCTCAATGGTTAGAGTTAATTGATACATTAGGCAAGTGATATCAATTTGGTCTGTAAAATTTATTTTTACTTTTCCTATGTGCCACATGAATTTAACTGAGTGGGTTGAGTCATTTAGAAAGATTCGATAAGGTGAAAAAAAGTTAGATGAGTGGGGTTAGGTAAAAATAGTTGATGCAAATTTTCATAAAGGTCTTTCTCTATATAAACACACCATCATCGAACGGATTATAATCCAAACCACAAAACATAAACATTTTATTAAAACAAAAAAATAGAGAATATGGCACTACATGGAGTTTCTTCTGGGAGCCTTGAAATTAAGTCTCCGGCGGACAAATTCTTTAGAGCTTTCACCAAAGACATAAGTAGCACTTTCAGAGGAATAGGTTAACCATTAATTATTTTATTTTTCGCATTTCATTCATGTTCTTGATATATCATCGATTTAAACCATTAACTAATTGCTATAAATGTCTCTCACCGTAGCGGATGATAAGATGGAGTCGATGGATCCGAAGAAGAGAACAATGACAGTGAAAATGAGTGGTTGTCTAATCTCGAAAAGCTACAAGACGGTCAAAGCAACCGTCACGGTCACTCCAAATCGAAACGGGAACGGTAGCAACGTGGTGTGGTCCGTCGAGTTCGAGAAGCTTCGCATTGGCATCGACGATCCACATTCCATCATCGACGCTATTAGCAACGCTCTTACCAATTACTTAATGGAGACCGATGGAAATCTTCTTCATTAAGCTTTTCTAAATCACAAGGTGGTTTTTTAATCGGCTAATATAACAATATAATAATGAAATGGAACCTATATATACATATAAATGAAATTGAACCTATATATATATATATAAATGAAATTGAACTTATATATATAGTTCTACGTTTATTGCAGTGTCTTTTATATTATGTTTGTCATTTTGGGGTGTATAAGGCTTTCAAGATGAATAATATTATATGGATTTCATATTATTGTTGGACCGATGATTATAACAATTATTATGCAACTCATTCTTTTAGATAAGGCTATCTCTCCGATCTTCCGTTACATTGAAAAAAAACGAAAAAAAGTCATGTCTTAACCTAAGCAATTTGGTGTTATATTTGTAAAGAAGCTAAATGATTTATCTAAACTGATTAAAATATAAAAATTACAAATCTGAATTTCATAAGACACGCCTGGCAAATCAAGACCAACCTTTTATTTTGATTAAGCCAAAATGAAAATTTGATAAATTTACCATGTTTTTTAGAAAAAAAATCACGTAGTCCTATTTGATATTTTTTTAGAAGATTTGTTGTAATAATCAAGAACTAATTTTGTATGATGATAAATTTTAATTAATGAATTATATTAGTTGTAAAATTTGTAATGTATGATTGAAAGTCAGGGTTAGTAATTAGAATTTTAAGAGTTGAAAGTGACTTGAGCATTTAATGTTATCTAAACACCATTATATTTTTATCAAACTTGTAACAGTCCACATAACCATATACTTTTATTAGAAAAGTAATAACGATATACATCAATACATGTACGCATGATATATATCGATACGCATTTTATCAAAGATGAACGTGAGAGTTGAGACACATGGATTATGCTTGACTATCGCTAAGGACGGTTCTGACGAAAAGCAAAGGGTGCAAAATGCTAAGGACCCATTTTTCTAATTCACGAGGACCCTAGAAAAATTTGGAATACAAAAGAAATTCACGGTAAACATTCCCCAAAAAACTCACGGTTACTAGTTCATTTTAGGATTTATGAAAGGGAGAAAGAGACGAGCGTGTGAGGTTACCACGTGACTTGCTCAAATCTTTTGACATGTAGGCCCCATAGTGTCAATGGATGTTTTAGATATATAGGCCATGATATTTTGTTTATCAGAAAAATCATGAAACCTTTTTTGATTATTCTTTTCCAAAAAGGAGAGAGTCCATTTGGCCATTTCTTGTAAAAACAAGAGAATGAGGGGACATACAAAACATGGCCTAGACTTTGTTTGAGAATCTTTATTACATAAGAAAAACCATAAACAACTTTAGACATCCAAAAATATGGTAAAATGTTTCGCGATTATCTACTTTTAATTGGCTTTTTATCTAACACGTTCCGATTTAATTCATGCGATGACTTTCTTACAAGTTTTTGATCCATTAAAGACACACTAGATATAACATGTTCAGTCTCCACTGTCAACCCGACAGCACCACACTCATATATTACACGTATCAAAGAAAAGTTTACACGATCTCTCTTTTTTAGTTCTTACTTACCAAGTTTCCATCGCTTTCTCTCTTTAATTTCCACAAAACGATGAGAATTCGAAAAATAATATCAAACAAACAAGAAAGATCTCACGAGCTTAGATCAGAAGCTGCTAGGGTTAAACGCCATTGAATCATCGTTAAGCCTACCGTTTAACAAGAAACATAGCTTTTTATCGACTTCAAAAACTCATGCTGAAACAGAGCCAAACGTTGCCGTTTCTTCCGTCGGCCCAAATTGAAGACGCAAACCCCAATTAAGGCCCACCTAAGTATCCGAAGTCCATTAGCACTTTAACATTATCTTTATTTTATGGCTAGAATTAAGAGTTGTTGAGATCTTATTCTTTTTTTTTTTGACAAAAATGTTAGAGATCTATATTAGTTCTAAAATGTCACTTTTAATTTGATTCTAGAGTTTTCGTTGGCCTAAACAAAAAATTTGATTCTAGAGTTTTATACCGTCGACATTTCTTTTGACTTTGAATCATTGAACTAAGGCCTATGGGGCAAATTTTAAAATTAGTAGGCCCATTATGTATGGCTATATTAGTGGCAATAACGTTTCGAGGTATCTGAAATGACATGAATGTGGAAACGCAAATGTTAAAACGGCATACTGGTCACTAGACGAAAGAAATCAACGCTCATGTCTCTTTGGACACTGAAGAGCCACGGTGGATGAGTTGGCAAAACACATGCAAGTTATGGGTTGCACTTTGCATGCGTTTCCTCAATTAATTTTGGATGATTTGACTAACCATATAAACAACTGTACTGCAACAAATCCATGACTAATGTACTATCATATATATTCATACATACGTATATGTATAGTTGCACGTTCGTTTATGATGAAATTGGAAATAAAGTGAAAAAAATAATGAGAGATGATGATGGAAGAATTTATATATGCAAATAAATTTGTAAGTAAAATTGAATTATAATATATGCAAATTAAATTGCAGAGCATATTATAAAAGTTTCGTTTTCGTATAAAAGTATACTTTAAATATTGCAGATAGTCCGACTCACACATAAAACCGCCAGAACCAATCGTGTAAACCGATCCATATCGATCGGAATGTAGTGAAAATAATACATCTAGTGCTTTAACCACAACTACGTACGACCGCATCACTTGATTATAAGTAATGTCTTGAATCAAATGTTTCGAGATTTATGGAGTGAAACAAATCATGTGGTTCTCGATTGATACTGGTGGCGAAGTAATTTATTTATTAAAGGAAAAAAGAGAACCATGCAGATTCAGGGCAATGGAACGTAGGCAATGATCGGACAAATCGGGAAAGGTTCGTAGACCCAACAAGGACAAAGGCCAGATGGGATCTACGTGGGGACATAAGATTTGATCACATCAGCCACGTCACAACAAACACAATGGTTATTGGTCAGTGTGCTCTTCTGTTTCATGTCTCTGTGAAACCAAATATTCGAGTTGATTTAAACACTTGACACGTACGCTAGCTTATGGACTTTTTAAGACAAATTATTTTAGCATTTAATGGAAATAAAATAGACATATAATATTTGATTTTATTAGCAAGAAATTGAAATTCATTTCATTTGTATTCAATCTGTAATGAGCGAATCTCCGATTTCAAAGATCAGCTAGTAAAACCAGTTTCATTTCTCACAGCGCACAGCAAAGGGCAAATCAGATCGAGCGTGTGGATGTAAGTAAACGACCAATGACACAAAAATTAACTTAATTCAAAATAAGTAGAACATCAGCATTAAAATATGGAAAGCGGCATGCAAAATAAAATATAAAACAAAAAGATAGCTAAGAAGACTTGGGAGTATTTAAATATGGACCACCTCCACGTCCATTTGCATATCACAAAACTCTGTCGTCATAAGCAAAAAAAAAAAAGGCAATGGAAGAGTCGAGATCGTACAGCAAGCAGACGAGGCAGTCGAAGAAGAAAACAGGTCGTGGGTCAGGTTTCGGATCCGGGTCGATCCATATGAGGATAAGGAGGCTCCGAGTGTTGATACCAGGCGGGCGAAGATTGAACCAACCGGATCTGCTTCTATCAAGGACTGCTGATTATATTTTGCATTTGGAGTTGAGAATTAGGTTTCTCAAATCCCTCTCCGATATGTACTCGCTCTCTCAATATTGATGATACTTTTTACGTTTCTTCTAATATTATTCACCTCAAAATTATGTTTTTATCACAAACTCTACGTAGATCATTTGTTTATTACTTCGTATTGGAATTCAATTTTTACTATTATTAGTGGTGTGTTAGTTGGGCCTGCAATAATAAACATTCTCGTAATTGAGCCCATCAGTCCATAAATTTGTCACTTAGCTTCTCTCAAAAGTGGCGATGACAGGCTTTATCTTTATTTTATATTTATCATTTCCAAATTCCAATGTTCACAGACTCGAATTGTGTTTGTTTTAATCATTTGTTGACATTACCATGTGGTTAATGGTTTCCTCAAAAATTCAAAAAAATTATTTTCTACTAGTACCAGTTTGTGTGTGTGTGTGTGTTGCTTCAGTTTATTTATACGAGTACGAGTCCCTAGATATTGAAATTCGACTGACACAGAAAGTATATAGTACTAGTACTGTTTAAGTCTACTTTATTAATTTATTTCAGTCATTCTTTTCAGAAATTAGTGGCAACGATGAACGATTATTGCGGATTGTCCCCTTATTATTGATGACTTGATGATCGTATACCAACCATTGGATAATTAAATGTGGTATTAGGCCTTTAGCTATTGAGTGATTACCAAATAAACGCTTAATAAATATATAAAAAGAATTAAAAATAAGGAAGCCTTAACTTATTGACGGTAGGCTTTTCTATATTCTTCGAAACTGCTAGGCACTAGATCCCTAAATCAAGCATAGGGCTCCACACCAAAATTGTTATTTTCCAGTAATTTACTCAAAGTTTTATTTAAAATTAAAAAACACAAAAAGGCAGGTGACCTAATAGAGACCGCTTAATAGTATGACTCTATGATGAGTTTAACTGATTAAGTATAATTTAACTAAGCCTTAACTAATATTTTTTCCCCTAGCATGTTTTAAATTAGTGATGGTAGCTCTCTGGTTGTGCCAAATCTGTTTAACAATCCTTTCCGATTCCAAAGTTTCTGCTACATTTTGACTGTAAATCGATTGGAAATTTTTGTTCAGCTCCATGGAGAAAAATCATAAATTTGGGGGTTTATGATTAAATTCGAGAGAAGCTCAAGTGTGAATGGTGTCTCTGTTCTTCGTCACTTAGAGGGAGAAGAACAACCCAAAAAAAATGTCTGAGATTATTCATAATTGGATCCAAATCTCGCCTTCTTCTTCTTCATCTGCTCCTCCTCCTATTACCGTGAATCAATCGAGCAAATCATCTTCCGGTGGTAATCGAATAAGCCCAATCGTTCTGTTCATCATCGTTCTCTTGTCCGTCGTCTTCTTCATCTGCAGCGTTCTGCATTTGGTTGTGAGATATTACTTGAAGAGGAAAAGATCGAGCCTTTCGTCTTCAGCGGCGGATTCCGATCGAAACCCAGAATTATCCGACTCCGACACTTACCAAAGACAGCTTCAACAGCTGTTTCATCTCCACGATTCAGGTCTGGATCAAGCTTTAATCGACGCCCTTCCCGTGTTTCTCTACAAGGAAATCAAAGGCTCGAAAGAGCCGTTCGACTGCGCGGTGTGTCTCTGCGAATTCTCCGAGGACGATAAGCTCAGATTGCTCCCGATTTGTAGCCACGCTTTCCACATCGATTGTATCGACACATGGCTTCTCTCGAATTCGACATGCCCGCTCTGCAGAGGAACCCTTTACCCACTGGGGCACCAATTCGAGAACCCGGATTTCAATTTCGGGTTTTTCGCCGCCGGGGAAGATGGAGCTCGGGTTTCTCCGGTGCAGAAACCGGCGGAGAATGAGATTGGGAAGAGGGTGTTCTCGGTGAGGCTTGGGAAGTTTAGAAGCAGCAATATTAATAATGGTGGTGAAGGAGGAGGAGGAGGAGAGACAAGTGGGTGTGTGAGTGTGAACAGCAATCTTGATAACAGGAGATGCTTCTCGATGGGGTCTTATCAGTACATAGTGGCTGAGTCGGATCTGGTGGTGGCTTTGTGTCCTAATAACGAAGGTCTGAAGAATGTGAAAGAAGGAGAGAGTAATGTCGAAGGGAAGAAGATAAACATGAGAAGTAAAGGTGAGAGCTTTTCTGTGTCAAAGATTTGGCAATGGTCTAATAAAAGATCCAAGTTTGCAAATCAAGCAGAAACCAATCTGGTGGGTCCTTCTTCTTCAACTTCTTCTTCTTATGCTTGTTCTGCATCTGCTAGTACAGTTGCTGCTGGATTATCATTGAATGGAAAGAGATTTCAGGGTCCATGAGAAGAAAAAGTTAGGTACAGATCAAAGAGGGTAGCTAGTTTTTATGCCATTGATTTAATTAAAATCATTGATTTTGAGTTTTTGCAATTCATTCTGTTCTAGCACTATACCGTAGTGGTGGTCTTTTGTGTCTCTGTAGCTGAATCTCTTTGTGTTTGTTGAGGGGAATAAGCTTGTTCTTTAATGATGTTATATGGGATGTTTCTGTTAATCCCCAGTTCTAATTAGTCTATGTTCATAAACAGACACAAATTTTGAGAAACCTAACCTGAGTTTGTAAGTCAATTCTGAGATGAACCTCATGTTTGAAACTTTGGATGATTTTGTCAAGAAATGTTTATACGTTTAGTTCAAAACTTTTGAAAGAGAAGAAGATTGTTTTCTGTCAAAAATATTGTAAAAAAATGAAATTTAGAATGAGAAGAGAAGTCAAATATTATCTCTTTGGTGGGGTTTTGAGGCTTTTGAAGAGTACCGAAAAATGGGATGGAATCATTATTGGTAGGGATAATGAACCATAATTTGTTATTATGCTTCTTTTGGAGCATTTGAGTAACACTGTAAGAGTAGGTGAGGAACTCTCTCGTTGGATCTCCAAATTATGCCTTCATACTAATTACGTCACGATGATCTCCCAAGTCACATGTTGTCTTCAAAATCATATTCAAACAAGTCACATGAACTTCCACTCTTTGATAGTTTACCAATTATACAACACATGATAGAAATTAGATAGTATACCACTTTTTGTCGCACAGCTCTAGCGTAATGAATTTAGATAGCAGATGGCAGGGTTCAGAATAACCCCGAATTTCGTCGCCTTCTCATTTACAATTTGCACCCACATATATGTATATTAGTACCGTTACTCATTTTATAGACTGTCACGAATTGTCCATTGATTACCTTAACACCCTCTATGACCACTGAGTGATATCCGACATATCGCCTCCAAAATGGAACCATAATAAATCCATTTTATTGGCTGTTTCACAATTCTTTAAAAGCCTACTCAATTGTAGGGATTCATCGAAAACTTTTTATTCTTCTTAGGTTCATCCAAAGTTCATCAACAGCAGAAGAATGGTGATCAATGCGGTCAAATGTTTTGACGATCTTTGTGGGAATTCCATGTGTTTGGATATGGCTTGAGGCATTCTCTATAGTATCTCTCTAGCAGTGATGTTTCTTGTTTTCTACGATATTTTAAGGGTTTCTCGATCACAAAGTGCAAGATAGGGACAAAATCTTCATATCCAAATTGCGCAGACACCTGACAGTACGGACCAGATCACAGCCTGCATAAGTTCATCAAAGAATAAAAGGTTTAGAGTCTAAATATTTACAAATTCTGTTATCATCCAAACAAGAGCAACGACTGAGCCATTGTCAAAGTGAGTCATTTGACCTAGGTAAAATAATTAAATAAAGTTTAGTGTATGGAATTGTTTTAAAAATCTGCTGCATTATTGGTAATTTGTTGCGAATTGACACTTTTTAACATAAGTTTAATTTGCCAAATGATTTTTTTTCCGCTTATATTGTGTCTTTTCATATATTTTTATGAAACTCACAAAAATATTTCTAACTTAGTATATACTTATTAGTAAAAGTTAGTATAATGACCTAGATAAATTTTATTTTTGGAACCACTATATTCGTCATTTAAATTTTTCCTTCTCCAATAGTAGGTGATGTTGGCCATAAGCTCAAAAGAGATTTAGTTAGCAGAATCCTTTATCTCCTATAGCTGCTCCAATAGGTCTGCTGCGGATTTTTGGGCACATTTTTTTTTGAAATAAAACAAAAATAAAATAGGAAGATGATTAGTGGAGAGAAAGAGAATTCAGTTTGTTGATAGCAAAATTTAGCTTGTACATTATCCTTTTGGCGACAGTTGGTATCTTGATTTTTTTTTCAAGAAGGGTTGACAATAGTGTAAGAAGACTTTTTTGACTGCAATTATTTCTGTAACATACATGGACAATTAAATTTGCGCAACTAACTTCATCTAGTTGCTTCATCCATAGCCACATTTGCTTTATGAAAGCTGGTAATTTCTATAAAGACAAAATTTAGGTAAAATAAAGAGTTAAGCTTCCATAGTAAAAATGCTAGATCTTTTAGCAAAATAAAGAGTTTATAAAGATATGTTTGTCTTGCTTTGGCGCCACTGATTAGATTTCTATGTATTTGGAACATGTAATTTGAACGTAAGTTGCACACATCGATCACAAATGTAAGTTTTGCATATCGATTAATGACATATTATGAGTGGAACGGTGCTAACAATAAGAATTAACACCAAATTTGTTATTGCAACTGTTGGGGCTAGGTGAAAACTATGTATAAGTTGGAAATTGTGAAAATAACAATAGAAGCTAGTATTAAAAATGTAGAGCCATTTAATGAGAGACTTGGTAGAAGTGGTCAATATACCAAACCAAAGATTTTGAGCTCATGAGTGGTAAAAAGCGACATCGCTTAGATTAACTATTTAGCAGTTCATATACTATTGTTTTACTAGTTTAATTGTTTTTTTGAGAGAAAAAAAAATTTGGTGGGGTTTAAGCTTTTAAATAATATCCAAAAATGGGATGAAATCATTATTGGTAGAGATATATAAATGATGACCCATAATTTGCATTCGATTAAGAGGTAAGGAACTCTCCGGTTGATCTCGAGTAAGAGGGAAGGACAAAGTTAAAATCTTGAAATGACCTTTGGAACAGCAGCTTGGAAGATGAAATCTGTGAAAGTATTAGGAGATAAATTAATAAAAGTGGCCTGAACATTTGTTGTATGTGGGTTCCCTGGTGTCTTTGAGAAGCTGAACTCAATCTTCAAGGAGCTGCTCTCGTATGCAACAATAGGTGGATATGCTGGGCCATTGGTTGCTGCAATAACGAAGAAAGCCTTTTTTATTGATCTTCGTAAAAGAGTTTCAATGATTATATAGAGCTTGGTTTCAGTGAATACATAGAGTTTCGTAAAAGAGTTTCACTGATTATACAGACACAGGGATATTCGATTTTCACAACGTGTCCTGTGTTTCCGAACAAACCTAATCTTCCAAAACTAGAAGTTGAACTGTTCTTCATTGCCTTGAGGGTTACGCTAAGTACTTGAGTTTCTCCCATTGCTATAGAGAATTGAGTAGGAGATAAGATACTTTCATTGAAACACCATAAGGAGGACTCCAACATTGTATGTCTCATTTCCGGCTAAGTTCCGCATCGATCTTTGGAAGGTTTTTTCGCCATTAAGCGTCTGATACTGTAATCGATGGCAAATTGAGATTAAAACCGCTGATTGTAGAGTTCTTAGCGGAACAACTAACCCCGGTGTAGTTAAAACAGCCGAATTTGAGCCATTGATCCCACAAAGAAATGACATATAGTCTTCAAAACCTACACAAGAAGAACAACACATTTCAGATACAGTTTTGTTCTTATTTGCTCTGTTTTAGGCCAATGTCGATATAAAGCACTTACTAGTATCGAAAAATAGGCCAGGGTCTAAAGCTGCGGTTACTCTAAAAGTTACTGACTTTATACCAAGAATCCTCTGTTTTCGCTTGTTTATAGTATACTCTGAAAGTTACTGACTTCATAGAAAACCCCTCTGTTTTCGCTTGTATATATAGTTTACTCTGAAACTTACTGACTTACTAGAAAAACCCTCTGTTTTCACTCGTTTCCTCCATCTTTGTTGCCTTTTTTTGGGGAAGAAGGTAACTTCTCTGTTTCTTCTTGAGCTCCAGATGGGTTTATTGGGATGTTAGGGTTAACCATTGTGAAAGGGTACTTGGGAAAAGGCCAGATTTGTGCCGGAGAAGGTGTTACAATTGATAGAATATCCAAACAGTCAACAAACCTGTGCCAGCTTTTGGAGACTGGGTTGCACCTGAAACATTCCAAAGCCATTGAGGAAAAAGATCTACAAAAGATTGCTTTGCTTATTCAGGGACAAATCACAACTGCACACGCCATCAAATGAAAACGTAGAGACGCCAAACAACTAACCAGATTGTGCTTACGATGATCCCAAGTCAACACCGAGAAGATCCTGAAGAAACCCTGCACCAGACGAACTAGGTGGAGCCAGGATATCGTCAGAATCCAGGTCTATCAAGTCCACAAGTGGAGCTGCAGCAACACCGTTTGGAATACTAACTGAAGGCTTGGCCATTGTTGAAACTGGCGCAGGCAAAGAGCCAGCCCTCTTCAATGTCTAGTACCGGCATTCTCTCAACCAGAGAAGACCTGTAGGCACAGAGACCTCGCTTTCATGAGCTTTGAGAATTGAGCTCAATAGCTCTCTGCTTCATTTCAAAGAGAAGACTCCCTTTCTGCAAGACGCAAGAGCATATCTTGTTTTTTTTGTAAGTTTATCCTTATTTGAGCTTATACTTCCGGAAACAAACATTGGATCTTTCTCCACGATGGTTCTCCTTTCCCTAACGTCAGAACTTGATGCTATTTGAATTTGATTTGTTTTCTATAAGTTGTCACGGCCATGTACAAAACCTTGAGTTGTTTCTCTAATAAGATCATACCCTAAAAAGCTTCTCAGGTCGATGTTCTTGGCTCTCACGTTAGGTGAATTTAGGTGCTGACCGTGCTAGCTAGCGTTACATATCACAAGAGCCCTTTCGATATTTCTCTTCAGCATCTGTTTATCGTTAAGATAGATAAATCCGTTGACGGATTGACAAATCTCCGAAACACATGTGGTAATTTGCGGTTACGTGCACATCAAGATTCCGAGGCTGAGGGGATGAAAAGAAGTGCCACTTACCGTCTAATTCGAACGTGAACAAGAGACGTGGCCTTGTTCACAATATCTCTACAAAAAACCTACATATAGAGGAAAGTTGAAAATTTCATCCATCACATTAATCAATAACTGATTCATAAAGAACCAACCACTTGATCAAGAAGCTCTGTTTCTTACATAACCACTCTGCTTCTGCTCCCAAAACCACAGAGATAGAGTATATATATTTACATTCTCCTGTAATCTCTAAGTCAACTGAAACTCTCCTCCATCAATTCCGAGTTCTTAATGGCAACGTAGAGCGGTAGAGAAGAGAGAAGCAAATGGCGATCAGTCCCGACGCAAACATAAACAATTGTCGGAGTTTTCCCTCTTCTTCCCATCAATCCTTTCCCAAACGGATACATATGAACCAAAAAAACAAATCTCAAAGAACGTCCCACCAACCAGATTCCTCCTATCACATGCCATCGCTTTTGTAGTCATATCTTGTTTTTTTAAGTCAACAAGATATAAATAATGAGTTAAGACTGGTATTGTAATGCTCACTGTTATTGGATCTTCAATACCAAGCATACCGACATTGTTAACCAACAGATCGCCATATTCCCCAATGCACCATATCGCCACTCGAACAAGAATCTCAAAGGAATCATATTTAGGAAGGATAACACTGATTGAAGACCGAAATCGATTGAATATTAGATAAACAATAGTTACCTGTTCCGAATATGTCAACAAGACTGCTCTGTATAATGCCCTGACTGTATATCCATGAGGCTCTGATGCAATGCTTATAACAACAATAAGTGCATGCCACATATCATTTTTCACAAACTTTCCAGCCTACTAACATGGTGTCTAAAGGATTAAATATTGAATTAATGATCTAATAATAATTAGGCCAAACTCAATAAGACTTGATCAAGTTCTAGAGTTTTTCTAGAAAAATCAACATTTCCACCTTTTTAGTTAAAAAGTTATAGAGAATTGTTAAAAATAAACATTTCCACCATATGAACCCTTGCGGTGATCTCCCACGTCACAGGTTGTCTTCAAAATCATCATATCCAGGCAAGTCACATGAACTTCCACTATTGCATAGTAACATATACAGCACATGATAGAACTGGCTTTTACGTAGGATGTGGTCAGCGGTAAGGTACTAATCTAATTGTACATCACTATGATCTCCCAAGTAACAGATGTTTTGGGCAATTTTGTAAGAAAAAATGAATTGGTTTCAAACAATAAAAGTGTTACTAATACTGACCAAGACAAGAATGAAACGTATTTGCCAAACTAAGAAGACGAGATCAAAAAATCCAAAACTTTTGTGCAATAAGAAGCTGTAACTGTGACTGGAGAGATACACCATTCGCTGTGAATCACATCTCCTTAAGGTTTGGAGACACAGAGACAGAGACAACTCGTGTGCTTCCTCCATCATTTTCCGATTCCAAACATCGGAACTTTTGTACAAAAAGAAACCCCAACAACCTCAAATCCCAAACAAAGCTAAAGTACATTACACGGATGAGAAAAAAAAAATAGGAAGGTAAAAAGCTGATTTTGCTGCATCAATTCAACGGCTCGGGCAATACTTATCTTTCTTTTGTTGAAATCCGAATGATGAGAATACATACTCAAGTCCTTATGCTGGAAATACAAGCAGCCTCACAATCCGCGAGGGAAGTTGTTGATTTGTCCTTCCTCCAAAACATCTTTGCCGTTCACTTTGTACCCAATCCTCATGCGCATCACAAGAGATTTCTGCCATAAACATTAAATTTCTTGAGTGTTAAGTCAACGAACCCAGAGGATCAACCAGTCTCTATTTGAGCGTAGATGGAAATGCTAAACAGAGAAAGTGTGTATACCTTCCCGTGTTGGCTGTTAGTGACTCTTAGATTCTGCGTGATGTTACCGCTTGCCTGGAGTGTGTTACTGCTAGCTGGATCCAAGTGCAGCTGGAGGAACTGTAAATTTCCCAGGAAAAAAAAGAGAGAAGGTTAGAGAAAGATTTGAAAAACTAGACAATAGTGGGGGAAGGACGAAGTTAAAATCTTGAAATGACCTTTGGAACAGCAGCCTGGAAAACGAAATCTGTGAAAGTATTAGGAGATAAATTAATAAAAGTGGCCTGGACATTTGTTGTTTGTGGGTTCCCTGGTGTCTTTGAGAAGCTGAACTCAATCTTCAAGGAGCTGCTCTCGTATGCAACAATAGGTGGATATGCTGGGCCATTGGTTGCTGCAATAACGAAGAAAGCCTTTGTTATTGATCTTCGTAAAAGAGTTTCAATGATTATATAGAGCTTGGTTTCAGTGATCATATAGACTTTTTCTAACCTTCCTTGGATGGGCTTGGAGAAAGACCATCTAACAAATCAAACATACCACCAGCAGACGCAGTCGTTGCTATGTGAGGTGGAGCTGGTGAAGAGAGCGTCTCTAGCGCAAAAGAGGGATTACTGTTAACGTCAGCTGTTGATAATAAATCAATCGATGATGTGCTGTTTTGTGCCGGAGAAGGTGTTCCAATTGATAGAATATCCATCAACAGATCTGTGCCGGCTTTTGGAGCCTGGGTTGCACCTGAAACATTTCAAAGCCATTGAAGAAAAGATCTATAAAATATTGCTTATTCAGAGACAAATCACAACTGAGCACGCACTAACCAGATTGTGCTGACGATGATCCCAAGTCAACACCGAGAAGGTCCTGAAGGAAATCTGCACCGGATGAACTAGGTGGAGCCAGGATATCGTCAGAATCCAGGTCCAGCAAGTCCACAACTGGAGCTGCAGCAACACCATTTGGAATACTAACCGAAGGCTTGGCCATTGTTGAAACTGACGCAGGCAAAGAGCCAGCCCTCCTCACATTGAAGGTAGCCTCATCTAGTACCGGCATTCTCTCAACCAGAGAAGACCTGTAGGCACAGAGACCACGCTTTCATGAGCTTTGAGGGAGAGAGAGAGAGAGTAGAAGATGAAAATTTACACTGGAAGATGGATGAGGGAGAGACAAACAAGGATTCCGATTAACCACCTGATATTTTTATGCCTGTCAACAATAGAATTGAACTCGATAGCTCTCTGCTGCATTTCAAGGAGAAGACTCCCTTTCTGCTTCACAATTATATCTTTAATCCTCCTGCCATTGAATTTAAGAAAATTGTTTAATTACCGAAAGAGAGCTGCGGACATGGATTTGCAGGTATGATGTATTTATAATAATATCTCAGAAGGTAACCGGCTACAGTTTTTGGTAGACAGACGAAATTCATTATTCACATACTCAGTACAGATATTAGATTAACGAGTTGGGAGTAAAACACACACTGAGATTGCCAAAAGTTGAACATACTCTGAGGTAGAAGGAAAGCGAGATGACAGCTTTAGTAGAGCAACCAATGCCATCGCTTTTGTAGTCATATCTGAGTTATGGCGAGTAATAGCATCCTCGATAACGTCCACTGCATCACATTCCGTTACCTGCTTAAGGCAGTCAATTAGTCATTGCATGTTTTTTTAAAGTCAACAAGGGCAAGAGCATCTGCATATTAAATATGGAGCAAATAATGAGTTAAGACTGGTATTGTAATGCTCACCGTTATTGGATCTTCAATACCAAGCATCCCCACATTGTTAACTAACAGATCACCATATTCCCCTATGCACCATATCGCCACTCGAACAAGAGTCTCCTGGTTAAAATCTCAAAGGAATCATATTAGGAAGGATTACACTGATTAAAGGCTCAAATTGATTGAAACATTAGATAAATAAGAGTTACCTGTTCCGAATATGTCAAAACTGCTTTGTATAATGCCCTGACTGTATATCCATGAAGATCTGATGCATTGCTTATGACAACAATAAGTGCATGCCACACATCATCTTTCACAAACTTTCCAGCCTACTAACATTGAATAGAGGACAGTAGAGTTACGACCGATACAAAGAAAATGAATTTAAAAGCAAACAATAAAATGGCTCGCGTTTGAATCCATACCTCCGACAGAACCTTGAGCATCTGATCAATGTACCAGAGTTTCTCTGGAGAAAACCTACAATATCAAAATTGAGAACAAATCAACATAAAATCTAAATTAACTAGACACTCACAGTAGGTTCACATGCCCCTCACCCCAACTTCAATCCGCCTCTCTCTTTTGAGCATGAAAAAGGTCAAAGCACTAAGATCCTTCACTTTCTCAAATAGAATACTTACTTTTCAACGATAGAACAAATTTTTGCACTAAGATCCTCCTTAAAATCTTCATCGCTGATTTCCAAATAATCAATGAGCTCCTTTGTCAGTTGTTTGACATTATTCTCATTCACCAAAAGAGAGACAAGCTCAAGAGCTCTTTTCCGGATAGAAGCATCTGGGTCCTAAATTGGTGATGGAAGCAAAAGCCAAATCAAAATGTATCCTTTCTCTAATACAACTTACTTAACAGTTAACATTGTATACATATATTTTTCCGGGTAGTACGAAAAGACAATACCTTAACACATTCCAAGATTGTAACTCTGTGCCTTTGCACTGCTTGATCATCAAAAGCGATTGCTTTCATCAGCATGTTTAATGCAACATATCTGAGAAACGAGAGTTAGAAAGAAAAAAAAAACCAATATTGAACAAAAGGATGCACTGGTTGATAAAAAAGAGCATTAGTAGAATTAAGCAGATCCAACGAAAGATGAAACAAAGTAAGAGCAAGCAAGCTAGTTCTATTCTAAACATACAATAATCATATGATTCTAGAAGGGGGTCGAACCTGATATTATTATCGCGGTTAGATAAGAATCTTCCCAAGATATTGATAGCAAGCACACGCAAGCTACTGGTGTCTTCAATGGCCATTATTGTTTCAACACACTCATAGAGTACGGCATTTCCTGCGTTTTTGTTTGATTCAGTTTTTGTTGCCACCTACAATAGCATGAAAGCAACTAGAATTAGGATATCTCTCAGCATAACAGCAAGGATCAAGGAACCAGGAAAACAACACACAGTATATCCCTGACTCTGAACTCAAACGATTTCAACAACAAAGCATGTAAAAGAAGCAGGATGCAGTTTTTCTCATCATGGTGAGATAGAACGGAATGGCGCAACCTACATACTTATATGGCAACACATAAGAACTCACTAAGAATACCAAGACCGGCATCAAAAGAGAGAAAATTCAACCCGGCCAAAAATACGAGTAAAACTCTGTACTCGATAAGTCTTGAATCTACCAATGAGAATGGGTCCATCACCCCTATCCTCTAAACAAACTTCTTTCTCCCTTATGCTATAAAATTGAACAGAATCAGTTCCAGCACATGATATAACATAGCTATCATACAACAGTTTTTTAAACCCATAACCTTTTTTCGAAAAATATACTTATTGCAACTGAATAAAAAACCATAAAATATTTGCGTTTCATAAGGGAATAACAGTGCAAATGTGAAATTGGTGAACCATATCCAAAATCACTTACTAATTACGACTAACCTGGGCAAGAATATCAGTCATCAAGTCACTAGCATCAGCGTCACCGTGGCCTAAAACACGCAAGAGCTTAAGTAATCGTATGTGAAGAAAAGGGTCCGTGATCCCTGCAACATCATACTCAGGCTGATATGAGCTATTTGTAATATCCCTCAAAGTTTTTATCAGCCCCTCCGTGCATTTCTGCAGAGACAACACAAAGAAAAGAGAAGAGTTTGTTAAACTGACTGTCTGCCTCATTTTACCACAGTGATCTAATTCTAAGCCAATACCGCATATGAAAGTTACTATAAGAGAAATATAGTACACAGAAGCTTAATACAAGTAAGATGCTAGGCACATGTACTAATGTTCTATGAAGCATATTAAACTACAATACGCCAATGCTCCTGTATGCATAAATAGAGTGGTCTACATAAGTTTTTTGATCTACCTTTCTGAAGAATTCTAGGGCCTCATCATTGATCGTGCATAACTCATAGCAAAGTTGAACTCCCGTTATAAGAACCCCATGATGCTTTTCTTTAAGCAAGGACGAAGCAGCATTTACAAAGTTTTCTGCAAGATCTGGAACTTTCCTTACTATTCTAGTGGAGCAGAGTGCCGCCTGCATATAATACAACGTAAATGGTCAAAGGGAATGAAGGAACAAAAACAGCAGCAATCAAACTCCATCAAACCATATACACTATACCTTCTTACGGATATTAGGGTCACGAAACTGGATTAATCTTTCTACTTCTGGCGCAAGATCACGGGCCATTTCTGCTGAACAAATGTTCCCTAAAGCACAGAGCGCGAGTCCTACAACATACTGGTTCGTGTGGTTAAGATCTCTGCACGTGACTTAAGGTTAAACCGGAACATAAAAATATTTCCCTCCAAAATTCCCATCACAGTAACTGAAACCCAAAATATAATTTTTCCACTAAACACTGAACAAAGAACCCATGCAAAAGACCATGGATATAAAGATTAACACTAGGAGTAGCAAAGGATACTGTTTTAATGAATTTGTGACGAGCATCAACACTTCTTGTCTCTCATCAAGAAGCAACATAAGCCCGAGATATCCGATCCTCTTCTCTGGAAATCCGGGAGATGCAATTAGTTTCAAGCACTCCATCTGACCAAAGTGTGTCGGGTAACCCAGCATGTGTATGAACATGAGCTTCGCGAGGTTCCGGTGCCTATCATGTGGGTCGTTCTCATTAATCGATGCTCGTATATCGGCACACTCTTTCCTCACAACACCACGCTCCTCCGCAGCTGTTTTGCATGCTCTTATGGATCGGATCATGTCCCTGAATCATCATATTTCACATCTTCCCTTTAACTTCAGAATCATAGAATAAGTAAAATTCAAACTGATCTGACTTCCAATATTCAATACAGATTCCATAAAAGTATTGGTTTCATGATGTTCTTCGACTAAGGAAATCAAATTCATCTTCGAGACAGGACAATACAAAAACTTAAATCAGAATTTGATCATCAAATGAAGGAGCTCAATTTCTTCAAATTTCCTTCTCTCACTCATATAAGTTATATCATATTTCGTTGATCAAATACAGAAACTACTAAGCAAAACGAATTAGAGAGAGAGAGAGAGAAAGAAGAGAATCGAATTACCTTAGACGAGTACCAGAAGAAAAAGGATTCATGATTGGGTGCTGAAGAGTTGGGGACCTTAATCGGCCGGCAACTGAAGGATGAATCAACAAATCAAGTTAGCCGCGCAGCAGAATTTCGCCGCCGGGATAGTTCAAATCCGTTACCGGAGCTCCGACCAGCTGATCAAATACGAGAGATGAAAAAGAAACTGAGGATTTGGATCTCGATGGACGAAGATGCTCGTTTTTTTTTTTCCTCAGTCTTCGTAAGCCAAAATGCCAAATTAAATGCGTTGTATAATAATACGACTTTAATTTCCATCGACAACGGCAGCGTTTTCCATCAGCAATACAAAAATAAAAAGTAGGCCGCTTTTGGGCCGTTTCTACCATGAAATTAAAAGTCCAAGAATGAGATAGATGATAATTGGTTGTTATCAAATTCTCTTCCCTACACTTCAACACAGCGGATTTTTGTCTCAGGGCCCTAGTAGTATCCCCCATTACTTGAAGAAGTGCGATTCAACTTTTAATTAGCTTTAAAGATGCTATGCAGCAAAAATAAGTAAGACACAAGTCGCTCTCGATTCCGACATGGCTGGGGGGTTTTCGTCCGTATTTCTCTTGTTGTTCGTCGTTTTCAATCTGGGTAAGTGTTATTTGATATAAATGCTCTTCAACCTGTAATAATTATTTGAATTTTTGGAGCCAAAAAATCGAATTATCTGCTTTCTGAGGTTTTCTCATGATTTTGATTCTGTTTACAGTCGAGGGTAAGCAAGTTTTGGAAGACGGGTACGAGGTTACAACAGTGGTCGACGGTCACAAGTCTGGTCTGAATCCATACACGATCCATGCTCTACCAGGATCTTCCAATCTGATCGTCCTTGATTCTTCCGGCAGCACATTCTACACTAGTTCATTTCCTTTATCCGTTGGTAATTCACACACAAAGCCATCCTTTTTTTGTATCATATACGGAACCGATCATCATAATTGTATTTTTTTTTTTTGTATAAAATCTTGGATTTGATTGTTGTGTGTGAAAGTTCTAAAAGTTACTGTCTTTGGTGAAATTTTTCAAATTTTTGATTTTATATTTCTTTCAATTGAAGTCTTAGTAGCTCATATGGAGCATTTGTGTGTATGTTTGTGCAGATAGTGTGATAAACCGGTTTGCTGGGGATGGAAATTTCGGTTATGTAGATGGTAAAGCTGCTAATAGCCGGTTCAGCAAGCCTCATGGTTTCGCTGTGGACGCTAAAGGGAATGTCTATGTTGCTGATAAGAACAATAAAGCCATACGCAAGATCAGCTCTTCAGGTGTTTAATCCATTTTCTTGTGTCCCTTTGCTTCAATGCTTGTTTGTTAATATTTCGATTACGCATCTTTTGTTGACTGTGACTTTGTAGGTTATGTGACCACCATCGCTGGAGGAATCTCAAAGGAAGTTGGACACAGAGACGGACCTGCACAGAATGCAACTTTCTCTAACGATTTTGAGATAACTTTTGTTCCTCAAAGATGCTGTTTGCTTGTTTCCGATCATGGAAACGAATTGATCCGCCAGATCAATCTTAAGGAGGAGGATTGCCTCGAAAGTTCTCATTCTAGTATGTTTTTTCTTTTCTTCTACAGTAATAATGTTTTTTTGTTGATTTAATACACTCTGCTTTTTAGAAACTTCAACGATTCTTCTTTTGCTGTTTTTTCAGGTTTTCTAGGGACATACTCTCTTTGGTCAATAGGGATTGTCCTTTCATGCCTTCTTGGTGTAGCCGTAGGGTTTGCTTCTCGCCCTTACATCATTCGTCATGTAAGTCTTCTCTTGATCTATCATCGCGTTTGTTGTATAAAACTTCATATCGAGATCTCTTAACCAAATCGTTATAGACAGGAAGAAGTGAACCACCTCTCGTTCATCATGACGTGGAAGCTTCTCCTAATCAAACTGGGGGAACAAGTTCTGACCTTCTTCTCCTACATTAGAAACCTAGTCGCTGGATCAGCGGTCTACTCGGTACTAAGTAGACTTGTTATGATGATCGTGTCTCACCTTTCCCTAATGTATTCCGCAATAAGTAGATTAGTAAATTCCATGGTATCTCGCCTTTTCTTCTTGTGTCAACCCAACAATGTAGCTGTTTTAGACAAGACGGTGGTCTCTTTCTCGGATCCGGATACCCCAAGTCGAAGCAACTCAAAGCCGCCGCTTTCTCTGAAACCCTCTGATGATCTTATGGACCTGATTAGCTTTGATGATGCACAAGAGCGGACTGTTCAAGAGACTAACACTGCTCTGTCTCTTCCTCATGCAACCATAGATGACATTATTAAGGTTCAAGTTGAAGGATTTTTAAAGATGGCTGAGGAAAACGCTGCAGCTCGTGGTTCTTCCTCTGCTGAGTAGGTTTCAGTTAACAGAACATGGAAGCAGAGGAAGTTTGTATCTTTTGTAAATTATGCTCAAAGTAGGTTTGTGGAGAACGTTTGCTTTAAGAATCTTTATGGAAGTGCTCATCTTTTTCTTTATATTACGGAATTAATTATTAAAGTTTGCTACTTTTTCTTACAAGAAAGATCTAAATACCCAAACCCCAAAATGTTACTTCTCAATAAATCTCAAAACCCAACTATACCCCGAATCCCCAATATGCTCCTGTTTCATATAATCTCAATCAACTTCTCATGTATATGAGGAATAGTAGCCATATGGGTAACTCACAGATTGTTGTTGTGCTCTGTAATGAAGATTCTGATCTCCAAACTCCGTAGGCTTAGCAGTAGCTGATGCTGCCACACGACTCCAGTCTTGCTCTTGGACCGCCCCAAACACAATCTCGTTGGTCTTCTCACTGATCCGCTCATAATGAGTGTGGGGGATCGTTGAGTGATGCCTACGGTGATGCTGCTGCTGCTTATGTTTCTGTTGCTGCTGCTCTTGGAGGAATTCTGGATCCAAGCTTCTGAACAAGGCACGGCTCTGCCGCAGCTGTTGCATTTTCTCTGCGTCTTTGGACATGAAAGGGTAAGTTTTTTGGGGAGTCGGGTTCCTGGTCTCGATGGGAGGTGGTTCATCTTTGTCGTGTATCACAAAGCTCTCTTGGATTGGCCATGTAGCTGTGCTGAAAGCAGAAAGATTTGTTTCTTGGTGATTGAAGATGAAGCTGAGTGTCTGCTTCTTTTTGAGACCAGGAAACATTCCACTGAAGAGCTCCGCTAAAAACAACTTGGCATTCGAAATGAATATGCGGAACGGCAGGAGGAGGCTTTCTTCTTGTTTCTCTTGCTCATCTCCGGTTGAAATCAGAGGTGGTCTGACTGGTTTCGTAGGCTGTTGATCCGGGACGGCTTTGTATATTTCTTGATCCTATGTAAAACACAACAGCCAGAAATGTTGGTTATAGCTATCATATAGTAGCAGAAGCAGAAGATGGGTAATGTAGGATACGATTGGAACACTCACAGTGTTATATGAAACGATAGAAACAAGCCTTCGTTGCAATAGAGCCAGCATATAACCAAAGAAACCTGCTGCTATAAGAACTGCAATCCCTGCAATACTTACAAGCATTGAACTCAGAAATAGAGATGACTGAAGAATGAAAGAGACAGCAAACCCTTAGGATTTGGAATGTGAAATCTTACCAAGAGGAAAGCCACTTCCATACTGATTAGCACAGTCATCGAAATGGAGCTGAATCTCTCTAATGGCTCGGTTTCCTCGGTCAATGACTAGCAATGAACAACTGCTTCCAACATAGACGACATCAAAATCATTTGAGAACTTTGTATCTTCACTCGGACCATCCACATGACCTCCCCCATGAACCGTTTGCCCCCCAGCAAGGGTTGTGACACCTGCAATTGCATTTGTTATTTCTCTCTCAAATCTGATTCTTATCACATTAAATAAGCCAAACAACACTTCTCCCAAACACAACAAAGAAAAAAGGCTTAAAATTTTTGTTGTTTTTAGCTAAAATCTCTCTTTAGCTAAAATTTTGTTGTATGGTCCATGTGTGCAGAGTGTACATCGATTAGGTAAGAAAATAGTTTCTTTATTCACGTGAACGCAGAGAAAATACAAAAATCCCTTTAGGATCATCAAATATTGAAATCGACGTAACAATAGTACATACAATGTGACACAAACCCAAGTGCAAGTCGGAAAGAAATTGTAAAAGCTTGATATTAACGATGATGGCACTTACATAGGGAAAAAGAGGAGAATATCTTGTAAATGTTGCTATTCTGAGAATCGAGAATAAGCAGCTCGCCATTGTTACTTTTCAACGATAGAACATATTTTTGCACTTCGATCCTCCTTAAAAATTTCCTCGCTGATTTCCAGATAATCAATTAGCTCCTTTGTCAGTTGTTTGACATTATTCTCATTCGCCAAAAGAGAGACAAGCTCAAGAGCTCTTTTCCGCATAGAAGCATCTGGATCCAAAAGTGGTGATGGAAGCAAAAGCCAAATTAAAACGTATCCTTTATCTAAGACAACTTACTTACAGTTAACATTGTATACCAATATTTTCCAGGGTAGTACGAAAAACAATACCTTAAGACATTCCAAGATTGTAACTCTGTGCCTTTGCACTGCTTGATCATCAAAAGCGATTGCTTTCATCAGCATGTTTAATGCAACATATCTGAGAGAACGAGAGTTAGAAAGCATAAAATAAATTCAATATTAAACAAAAGGATGCACTGTCTGATAAAAAGAGCACAATGTGCTTCGTAGAATTAAGCTGATCCAACGAAAAGTGATATACAGTAAGAGAAAACAAGCTAATTCTCTTCTAGCAAACGATAATCAAATGATTCTATCAATAGAAAAAGTTGACGTAAAGGAGGCCGAACCTGATATTATTGTCGCGGTTCGATAAGAATCTTCCCAAGATATTAATAGCAAGCACACGCAAGCTACTGGTGTCTTCAATGGCCATTATTGTTTCAACACACCCATAGAGAGTACGGCAATTCCTGCGTTTTTGTTGTCACCTACCATAGCATGAAACCAACTAGAATAAGGATATCTCTCAGCATAACAGCAAGGATGAAGGAAGTAACACGAAGTAAAAATAAGATTCCTGACTCTGAACCTTTTTTTTTAACATTTCTTTACGCCCATTTCGAAAAATATACTTATTGCAACCGGAAAAAGAAAACCATGAAATGTTTTGCGTTACATAAGGGAATAACACTGCGAATGTGAAAATAGTGAACCATATCCAGAACCACTTACTAATGACGACTAACCTGGGCAAGTATATCAGTAATCAAGTCACTAGCATCGGCGGCACCGTGGCCTAAAACACGCAGGAGCTTAAGTAACCGTATGTGAAGAAAAGGGTCTCTGACCCCTGCAACATCATACTCAGGCTGATATGAGCTATTAGTAATATCCCTCAAAGTTTGTATCAGCCGATTCAGCCCCTCTGTGCATTTCTGCAGACACAATACAAAAGACAAAAGAGTTTGTCAAACTGACTGTCTGCCTCATTTTAGCACAGTGATCTAATTCTAAGCGAATACCGCACGTGAAAGTAACTCGTATGAGAGAAGAGCTTTACTGCAGGATAAATACAGTCAACCGAAACATATTAAACAACAATACATAAGTTTATTGAGCTACCTTTCTGAAGTATTCTAGGGCCTCATCATTGATCGTGCATAGTTCATAACAAAGTTGAAATAAGAACCCCATGGTGCTTTTCTTTAAGCAAGGAAGAAGCAGCATTTACAAAGTTTTCTGCAAGATCTGGAACTTTCCTTACTATCCTAGTGGAGCAAAGTGCCGCCTGCATATGATTCAATGTAAATGGCCAAAGAAATGAAAGAACAAAAACAACAGCCATCAAACTCCATACGATATACCTTCTTACGGATATCAGGGTCACCGAAACTGGATTTTATATGCACCGAAGCATATTAAACAACAATACATAAGTTTATTGAGCTACCTTTCTGAAGTATTCCCAGTATCTGTATAATGCCCTGACTTTAACTAGAGAATCATAGAATAAGTAAGTCAAACTGATCTGACTTCCAATATTCAATACAGATGCCAATAATTATTGGTTTGATGATGTTCTTGGAAAAGGCAAAATTCAAAGGAAATCAAATTCATCTTCGAGACAGCAGGCCGATAGAAACGCTTAAATCAGAATTTAATCATCAAATGAAGGAGCTTGATCACATACGTTATCTACGTTATCATATTCCGCTTGATCAAATACAAGAAACTAGTAAGTAGCAGTATCAACGACGTGAAACTAGTAAGCAAAACGAAAGAGAGAGAGAAAGAAGGTAAAAGCTGCTTGTTGTTGGTGCATCAACGACGGCTTCTTTTAGACACAGGGGGTCTGTCCTTTATGGGAACGTAAAGTTCTTCACCATCTCCATATGTTTCCATTATTCTGTTCTTCTCTTCCTCCTTCTCATTAACCTCTTCCTCAACAGGACCGTGCTTACTAATCTCTGGTACAATGAAATTCGTAAGCAGATAACTGGGCTTAGCTAAACCCCGAACATGAAACTTTTTGTCCTCTGATACCCCAACTGCCATGTATTGCGTGGCTAGGGATACGTAGCAGTATCCGGAATTGGCAGCACGTACTCCGTTGCTCATTTTACACTGGGCAACCCATTCTCCACCAAGTTTCAGAACTGACTTTATTATCACAGCGTGATATCCCATGAAACTATAGCCTTCGGATTTAGGACCGTAGTATATGTCTTCTTCTTCAAACAATTGTGCGTAGTTAACCAAATCAGCCCCAATTGGTTGATTCTTCAGCTCCAGCAAAGCTTCTTCTAAGGTGTTTATTCTTCGCGCACCATCAATTCTTCTTGTTTCCATGTCCGGTTGCTCAGCACTTATAGGCTCGTAATCACTGCAGTCAAAATCTTCCACATATTCTCGGGGAATCCCCTTTTCTTGAATGTGAAGCAAGTAATCTTCGATTGTAGAGGACAAAGAGAACACATTGACAGTAGTAAAATCTGGGCTTGTACTTAGGTTTTTCCGAAGAGGCTAGTGACGGCTTCAGCTCTGGCTTCGTCATCGCACTTGATTTTAAGATCTATCGCTAGAAACCGAAAATGATTTGTTGCCAAGAGTAAGCGATGAGAATGAGAGTGAGATCAACGGGAAAGCTCGATTTAGCAAAACACGATGTTTAGACGGCGATCTCGATCTGTTTTGTGATTGGTTGAAACCAAGAGTACGTGGATCGCTCTACTCACTTCTAAGTTTGTTTTAATTATCGTTGGATCTATTTAATCGAACGGTTTAGAAGGCATGTCTTTGGTTTTTCTTCGTACTGTTATTGGTTTTCCGAATAATGCCGATATAAAAAGTTGTGTTTTTCAAAACTAAGCAAATCAAGGAGTGAGGCAGAACCATTAATTGTTGGATTTTGATTGCTTTTCGATGCAAAATCATTTGATTGGATACTACCCAAGCTGAGACCATCTTCTAGAATCTGTTGCACGGCACTTGTTGATTTGTGATATTTTTTTATGTTAAAAAATAGCCAAGAGTAAAATCGTTACTTATTTTAGTATTTACGAAGTTTAAGCATGTCTGCATGTGACCAATTAATTTTATTTAAAAATGATACATTTGTATAGTTTTTTGTCTTTTTTTTATAACTACATTTGTATATATAGTTTCACAATAGTTATGATGTATATTGAGGTTTCATTTCGTATGAACAATTAGAACATCATGAAACATGGTTTATGCCTTTATGGTATCATATGTATTTGTTACCTTGTTCACCTACGGATGGACTGTATAATTAACCAAGGCCATGCTCTTCACATTCTAATTTGGGAATTTGGATGCAATACTGGAGGTACTTTTGGATTGCAGTTACAGCAAGTGATAAGTGTAGGACCGCGAAAATCCAGATTGAAAATCATGAATCTAAAAAACGATTTAAATCAATAATAAACGATAATTAAAGTATAAAACGTTTTAGTAAATTTTTAAGGAAAGACGATATACGGAGTCGAGATATGATTTTTTTCCTTAATTCTTTAAATTTTCTGCAGTGTGATGGTTTGAAAAGATTTAGAATCCCAGGATACAACCGTGTTGAGACTAAAGTCGCAGCACCCGACTATAGAATCTGCGAACTTAAAAATATACGCTATACTCTCGAGACTTACCTAAGACTGTAGAGACGAGGGGGATTTGCTGGATATTTGTGTTTGAAAGCTTATTGTTTTTTTGGATTAAGAATAATGAATGAGAGAGGTCCTTATTTATAGTGGAAGAGAGGCTTGTGGCGCAAGGCATTTGCCTTTTTACTCATGAAAGATAAACGGAAATATTCCGAATATCTTTGTTCCTTGTTCAACAAGCTTAAGGAAAAACGGAAATATTCCGAAAACCTTTATTCCTTGTTTGACAGAGGAAACAGAAATATTCCAAAAAAATTTATTCCTTATTTGACAAGGATAAGAGAAATAGAAATATTCCGTAAAATAATTCGACTCAATCAACAAATATTTATCGATATTATACAAAATTATAAATAGAATATTGACAATTTTATTAAATAAGTCAATAAAGATTTATTCCAAAAAAGAAATTCTTTTATGGTTTTGCATAATAGCCCTCATACTTTGACAAATTCACATCTTGACTTTTAGTCTTGATTACATGTCCACTTTGACCATTGATTTCTTATTCATTAACTTCCATTTTGACAAGTAATTACATTGTCTATTAGTGTTCATTACAAAGATTTCAAAGAATCCATAACTGCCAAAATTTAAGTTTCAACAATCCCCCACATGAATAGAAATTACTCTAAAACATATGCAGACTCTACTAACTCGAAAGACTATGCAGACACACTAGAACTTGACACCAGGACTTTTCGAGAGTATAGGCGAAAAATTAACTGTGTATGATATAGTAGCATAATTCAGCCTTGAACTATTCATTGTTGATATCTGTCGAGTTTACTTGTCCAGGAGGTGAACATGATGTCTTCAACCGCCCGAATTTTTATGTAAACTTAGACAACAGGTACAACCCAGTCTCATCTTCTCGTAGAACTAAGTTCTCTATTGTGTTCATTGTGGCCGTGAACTTGCCTGGTTGTCATGAGTGAACTTGGAGATATAGCCTTGTCTTCATCCTCCTAGAAACGGCCGCATTTCACACTCACTAGGTGATTTCTTTGAGCTCCTGACATATACACAAGTATCCTGTTATACTTTATATTATGAAAGCTACTCAAAATCATTAACAGTATAAAACGTATCCTTTAATACTTACAGGGAGCACTGTACATCGTTTTGGGAGATGGGCATAGACGTTATGTCTTTCAGTGCTTTCATCAGACTCTGTTCGATTTGGTTGTCCCTTTGAACTTAGATCTTGGGATCTCCAATTACATAAGTGGGGTTTCCATCAAACATCCTCTTTAGTCATAGGCAATAAACTCATTCCCTTTGATGATTTCAAAACTTGATCTCTATTTAAACCTTTAGTGAACGGATCCGCAAGGTTATCAGCTGACTTGATGTAATCGACCGAGATTACACCCGTTGAGAACAAATGTCTAATGGTCTTATGTCGCCTTCTGATGTGACGAGATTTACCATTGTATAGGTTACTCAATGCCC